CCCAACTTTGTGGAAAGAGTTTGTGGATGGCCCCTTCCTGTTCCAACATGACTGCGCACCAATGCACAAAACAAGGTCCATAAAGACATGGATAAGCGAGTTTGGGGTGGAGGAACTTGACTGACTTGCACAAGGTCCTGACCTGAACCCCATAGAACACTTATTCCCATAAAACACACTCCTAAACCTTGTGGACGGCCTTCCCAGAAGAGTTGAAGCTTTTAAAGCTGCAAATGGTGGGCCAACTCAATATTGAACCCTACAAACTAACACTGGAATGCCATTAAAGTTTATGTGCGTGTAAAGGCAGGCGAACCAATACTTTTGGCAATATAGTGTACATTGCTTATGTGTCACATGAGGTGTCCTGAATAATACATTTGAAGATCATAGTATTTGATCAAACAACGTGTGGCTATATCAATTGAATGGGCTGTACACAGGTTCGGACTGGGACAAAAAATAGACCTGGGCATTTTGTACTGAGCATCCCAAAGCCCGGGGACCCTTTCCTCAGAGCCCGGTGGCAGAATGCCAGGGTCCCGTCGCAAAAGCGACCTTTGCAACCCTGGTAGTTCCGTTACTAGTGTCAGTAGATTTTAATTTTTATTTAATTTACTACAATATTATATTATAGAAGAAAGAAAAAGAAAAGAAAGGAGGCATGGAAAGAAAGAAAGAAAGAAAGAAAGAAAGGAAGGAAAGAAGGAGGGAAAGAAGAAAGAAAGAAGAAAGGAGGGAAAAGAAAGAAAGGAAAATAAGGAAGGAAGTAGGGAAACAGGAGACAGAGAAAGAAAGAAAGAAAGAAAGAAAGAAAGAAAGAAAGAAAGAAAGAAAGAAAGGGAGACGTATAGAAGGAAGGAAAGCAAGAAAGAAAGAAGTTAAGAAGGGGAAAGAAGGAAAGAAAGGGGGAAAGAAGGAAGGAGGGAAAAAGAAAGAAAGAAAGAAAGAAAGAAAGAAAGAAAGAAAAAAGAAAGAAAGAAGAAAGAAAGAAGAAGGGGGAAGAGAAGACACAGGGCTGGCTGGGAGTGTGGGCGGGGCAGACACAGGAGGAGAGGGCGGGAGGAGGCTTTCTCTCTCCTCTCCAGTCTGTGGTGGTGGGCGAGGAATTGTCAGCACTGGGGAAGGCATTTGCTGACAGATCCCCCCCCCCGCAGTGCTCTGGGGGATGAGGGGGGGGCGGCCGTGGGGGGAGCATACCAGATCCCAGGGCATGCAGCCTGCAGGAGATAGGAGAGGAGACTGGGCAGAACATAGAGGAATCAAGAAATGCATGATCCTCTATGTGCCACCCGGCCTCCTCCTATCCATGCGGCCCCGGCCTACCGGGCACACGCCTGGTGGTGTGCCCTATGGCCAGTCCGGGCCTGGCTGTATATTATAAAAAGATTATTCCTACCAGGAGAGATCCACTAGAAAAGAAATCAATCATTTATTAAACTGTGTATGGCCACCATAACACTTTTGTTAGTTAAAAAGGATATTTCTATAAAGGTGTACACAACAGACCATGAACAGGGGCAGCTGCGTATGAAAGAGGGACAGAGGGATTAATTTCCTAAAAATGGGACAGTTGGGTTCTATGCAGTTGGAAGCTCTGTATGTCCCTAAATTAACACGCCATATGTATGTAGGTCACAAATGGTGGTCATACACACTTTGATAAATTACCAATGTATTTTCCAATTGATTATTTCTGATAGAAATAATTGATCCATAGTCAAGGATCCATTTGATCAATATGATGCACGTGGGGAAGTGGAGTGTGAGTAATAGTAAGAACGCAGATGCAGTTTATGACTATAAGCTATCAATCACATCTCTGCTTGCACCAAAAATCATGAATTATCTGCTCTGGATGCTTTGACATCAGAACTCTTAGGGTGCCTTAAGTAGTTTTACTACATAGATTTGTCCTAGCTGCTTGTCAGGTGGGTGCTGAATGTATGTAGATGTCTGATATATTTATACATACTAATAGGTATAGCTGTCCCATATCCCCTCTAGATAGTTTGTGCTTTTTTTTTTTGCTCTTTTTTTTTTGTTTATTTTTTTTTTTTTTTTTTTTTTTTTTTTTTGTTTTTATTTTTGTTTTGTTTTTTTTGTTTTTTTGTTTTGTTTGTTGTGTTTTTTTTTTTTTGTTTTTTTTTTTTATGTTTTTTTTTTTTTTTTTTTTTTTTTTTTTTCTCAATCCCTTCGGATATTTTCATACGAATTGTCTTGATCGGCTCTCAAAAGCTGTGTACTAACGATCCGATTATCGGACGACTGGTCCTCGTACGAAAATTTTGTACAATTTTCTTATAGTGTGTACGGGGCATAAGAGTTTTATGTCTAAATAGTCCATGGTCTTATCTGCTAAAGCTGAGATAAGCAGTGGTCTCCAAATTGCGGCCGAGGGGGCCAGAGGAGGCCAGATGCAGCCCTTTGCTTTCTTTTATCTGGCCCTTGGGGCACTATTTCATCTACTGATACCAACAATGGGGCATAATTACTTCCAATGAAACCAATGATGCAGCACAATTCTTCCCAGCAACACCAATGATAGTGCATGATTCCTCCCGCTGACACCAACGATGGGGCACAATTCCTTTCAATGACATCAAAAATTGGACCCAATGACACCAATGAAGGGGCACAATTCCTCCCACTGACACCAAAGATGGGGCATTGTCTTTTCCCACTGAAGTTGTAACCTATTGTACTCCCCACAGTCAAAGTCTGCCTTCCCCTAAAGTCTGAAGGACAGTAAACTGGGTCAACGTTTAGAAAGTTTGGAGACCCCTTCACTAGAGGAAAAGCACGGTTGGTTAATTTCAGTGTTATAAAAGTATTATACAGTGCCTGGGGATACCCTACTAACCATGCCCACTTTAATAGGGGTGGGGCAGGAGTGAGGTAGGGGGTGGTGATAACAACTGCATACAAAGTGTGTCACACCAAATGTTGGGTGTAAGGTGAGAGGGGCATAAAGGTGTATGGTTTAATAACACCAGAGCCCACTTTGCTGTAGGTCAAGGATGCAGGCAATAATGTAAGGAATGCTCTTTGTTCCATGTTTGATAGTAAGATTTTTCCTTGTGGTTGGAAAAATTAACACGCATTTATCCTACACTCTGGGCCAGTTCACACTACAAAAACGCACTCCAGGTGCATTCCGGATATGTTTTTGCTTATAGTTCACACCACACACAATTCCATTTCAGTTTTAAAGCAGTTTGTACACAGCTTTTGAGAGCCGATGAAGACAATTCGTATGACAATATCCGAAGGACAAAAGCAAAAATGTTTCTCGTACAATACCAGATCGTACAATTTTTGATTTAATCAGTACAGTAGCCATCTGAAAATATAATACGAATACAACGCAATACATGACATCACTTTTGAAATTCTTTTCTTTCATAGGAGAATTTTCGTATTTTTGTAACCTTTTCACTTTCGATGTGAGACTAGCAGGCGAAAAAAAAACGGCCGATATTCTCATCGTGTGTACAGGGCATTACTCTCCTACAACACACTAAGAAATAAAATGATCACCCTCTGTTTTGCTCCATCAAGCAGATCCTACAAATCTGGAAATCCATTAACAATTCATAGTCTGGCCTACTCTAAGCCACCAATATGACAATTTTTCCCAGATTACAGTAATACTTTAATTTGCTTCCTATCACTGTCCCCTCCTTTGCTCTTTGGGACTATTATCACCCTCCAGCAACATTTGGTCATCTACTGTTGTGCAACAGGCACAGCTGAAATGCCAGTAGCAGCCCTGCTGCGAATTCAGAAGTGCCACATTTTTGCCACACCATCACATGAATCTGCATTAAGTGGACTTCACTGGCAGGCACAACAGGTATTTCTGGGACTTTTACAGAGGGACTAAGAGAAAACCGAATGTATTGGTGAACGTATAATTAAAGCAGAAGCTCAGGCAAAACTTAACTAAGGCTAAACCTACTCCCACCCCCATTCTAAGCCTATTCTATCTAACCCTGGGAAAAGATCTGTATACTTACCTATTCTGAAGTCACTCCGGTCCGGTCCCAGGAAGACACACAATTCAAAAACCGGTGTTCAAATACAATAATTAAACAAATAAAGAAAACCCTTAATTGACACTCAAAAAGTCACACTTCACCCCTGAAAGTCCAAAATGTAAACTAAAAACCCTCTTGGTGTCAGTACATCTCAGGGGAAATTCTTTATTCCTTTGATGTAATAATCCAAATGTGGTATAGGCATCCACCGTGCACCTCAAAAGGAAGAGCTGTCAGCAGCAGTTTCTGTGTAGAGGAGGGGCAGCCAACAACGGATGTCTCATAGTAAGTCTATGGGTGACGTCATCTTCCTGGATTATCCATTCATTGTTGGCGATCTCTCCTCTGCACAGATACCGCCGCTGGAGACCAGGTTGGAGCAGCTTCAGAATAGGTAAGTATATACATATTTTCTTTACAGGGTTAGATAGAATGGGGGTGGAGGTAGGTTTAGCCTTAGTTAGGTTTTGCCTGAACTTCCACTTTAAGTGATTTTTTTTTTTTAATGGGAGGCCAATGTTGTCCTTTAATTAAACAATGCATAGCTTTGTTTCTAAAGTTAACAGTATTTTACAAACAATAGGTAACCTTGTCTTTTTTCTTTCTTAGGTGTACTTTTCACATATTAATGGGGTGGTCTATCAATGTGTAGAGGACAAAGCTGAACATTTGAAAAGACAATAATGATGGTCCACTTGCAACCTTTGCTCCAACAAGGTAATGTTTCACCAATTAACTGTATTGCAGAACAAACTCTTGGCTCTGCCTTGTGAGAGCATATAAAGGGATACCTCTCCAATCCCAGTTCCTGCAGCATCTCCTCCCGACACCATGGGAAAGGGCTTCTACATCAGCAAGCTTTTTGTCTTTGTTGCCATCTTTTTTGCCATAGCTGCAGTGGCTACAATCATTGCACTCTCTGTAGCTTATGCTAATGAAAAAGCCAATAATAAAGTAGAAAATGGGGGCTCTACAATTGAAACCTTCCCCAGTGTTTCCTCCAGCACTATGAAGCCTACCACTCCTGCATCAAGGGAACCTTGGGACAGCTACCGGCTTCCAAAGACTCTGATACCTGACCATTATGATGTTGATCTCAGACCGGTCTTGGAGAAGAACAATCGGGGACTCTATGTCTTTCACGGAAAAAGTGTTGCACACTTCAGATGTGAGAATTCCACTACTCTTGTTATTATTCACAGCAAAAAACTTAATTATACCAAAAATGTGGTACTCCAGGATGATACAGATAGAGACGTCACCATAAATCGAGAACAGCTAGTGGAGAAGACCAATTACTTGGTGCTGCATCTTGCTGAGAGTCTGCAAAGCGGTAAAACGTATAGGCTTCACACAGAATTTATTGGAGAATTGGCAGATGATCTGGCAGGATTCTACCGCAGTGAATATGTGGAAGATGGTGTAACCAAGTAAGTAGTTATATATACTGTAACGTACTATAAAAAATAAGGCAAATGTTAACAATTCCTGTACAACATCAAGAGCCTATAGCAGAACTATAACAATGAGTATGAATATACATGTAGTATCATTTTTGATGTTGTAAATTTGATGCTTAGGGCTTGAAATACTAAAGGCAAATATGCTGTTCTTTTTGCAAAGGAAGTTGTACTTTGCAAGGGAATTATTCCCAGAGCTTAGTTAATGAGGTGAAGCTCTGATGACTTCCATCATTTATTATTTTTCTTACACATCAGTGAGTACTCTTGGCAAGGTAAATTTTTACTACATTCACTAATATCTAGAGAAGATCCCCTTGCAAAGTTCAACTCTGCTTGCAAAATGAACAGCCTATTTGCCTTTAGTAAATCAATCCTTTAGTGTGCATTCTATTGCCACTCCATATCACTATCCCTTTAATGCCTTATATCTACTTAGACGTGTGCAGAATGGAAAAATTAGTTTAGTTTCATTTCGCATGGATTCATTATGCTACTAATTTTGTTTCATTGATTCTTTTAGGAATTTGTTTAGTTTAATTTAGTTTTGTTTATTCATTTTCTAATGAATTCCAAATTTTCAGAAGGAGTAGATTTCAAATCAAATCAAAAATTGACAGATCCTGGACCCATATGTGAATGAGTATGGGGTAAATAGTACCCCTACTCATTCACCAAAAAAGGTAAAAGTTAGTAAAAACACAACAACAGTTTTTGACAAGTCCTTTATTTGTTTAAAGTTTTGTGGGTTTTTTTCACATTTTTGCATGGAGTTCCCCTAAAATTCATACTAGACCCAAAGGACCCAGTATGGATGGGGGGGCCCCACGCCGTTTTTTTTTCAGAATTTTTATTTGCTGGAAATTCTTTTGCGTACATTCAGCTGTTATCTGATGAGTCATCAGTTGTTAACCACTTCAAGTTCGGACACTTTCCCCCCCTTCCAGTCCAGGCCAATGTTCAGCTTTCAGCACTGTCACACTTTGAGTGACAATTACTCAGTAATGCAACACTGTACCCATATGAAATTTGTATCCTTTTTTTGAGACAGATAGAGCTTTCTTTTGGTGGCATTTGATCACTACTGGGTTTTTTATTTTAATTAAAAAAATACCGAAAATTTTGAAAAAAAAAAATTTTTTGCTTAGTTTTTGTTAAAAAATGTTGCAAATAGATAATTATTCTTTATAAATTTAGGTCAAAATGTATTCTGCTACATTTTTGGGGTAAAAATAATGCAAAATAGTTTATATTAGTCTGTGTGAAAGCTATAGAGTCTACAATCTATGGGGATATATATTTGAAAATTAATTAGTAGAGATCCTAAAATGCTGGATGCTGGTATGGTATATGGCAGTGATCAGAATGCTGTTATGGGGTATTGTGATGATCAGCACATTAGCATGAGGAATGGTGGTGATCAGGATGTTGGTAAGGCAGTATCCGGGACGCTGTTATAGGGTATGGGTGGAGATCAGGATGCTGGTATGGGGTATGGCTGTGATTGGGATGCTGGTATAGGGGATGGTGGTGATCAAAACGCTGGTATGGGGCATGGTGGTGACCAGGGAGATGGTATGGTGTATGGCGGTGATCAGGATGCTGGTATAGTGTATGGTGGTGATCAGGATGCTGGTATAGTGTATGGCAGTAATCAGCACATTAGCATGAGGTATGGCGGTGGTTAGCACGCTGGTATGGCAGTAGCCAGGATGCTGTTATAGGGTATGGGGGTGATCAAGATGCTGGTATGGCATATGGCTGTGAACAGGATGCTGGTATAGGGTATGGCGGTCATCAAAATGCTGGTATGGGGGGTATGGCAGTGATCAGAACGCTGCTATGGGGTATGGCGGTGATCAGGGAGATGGTATGGTGTATGGAGGTGATCAGGGTGCTGGTATGGTGTATGGAGGTGATCAGGATGCTGGTATGGTGTATGGAGGTGATCAGGATGCTGGTTTGAGGTATGGTGGTGATCAGGGAGCTGGTATGGTGTATGGAGGTGATCAGGGTGCTGGTTTGGGGTATGGTGGTGATCAGGATGCTGGTTTGGGGTATGGGGATGATCAGGGAGCTGGTATGGTGTATGGAGGTGATCAGGGTGCTGGTATGGTGTATGGAGGTGATCAGGGAACTGGTATGGTGTATGGAGGTGATCAGGGTGCTGGTTTGGGGTATAGCGGTGATCAGGATGCTGGTTTGGGGTATAGTGGTGATCAGGATGCTGGTATGAGTCATGGTGGTGATCAGGGTGCTGGTATGGTGTATGGCGGTGATCAGGATGCTGGTATGGTGTATGGAGGTGATCAGGATGCTGGTATGGTGTATGGAGGTGATCAGGGAGCTGGTATGGTGTATGGAGGTGATCAGGATGCTAGTATGGTGTATGGTGGTGATCAGGGATGCTGGTATGGTGTATGGAGTGATCAGGGTGCTGGTATGGTGTATGGAGGTGATCAGGGTGCTGGTATGGCATATGGCAGTGATCAGGGTGCTGGTATGGCATATGGCAGTGATCAGGGTACACTCACACACTGCAGGATTGCTTCTGCGATCTGTACTTTCAGTTTCATTGTTTACTATGTGAGTGCTGTGATTGGTCACAGCAGTCAGATGATAAAACACATGATCGCCCTGGACACAGCGGTAATATGATCCGCTGTGTCCGGGCAGCACACCGATCACTGGTTCTGGGGTGCACGCTCTGTGAGCCCTACAGGAGCCATCAATGTGGGCTGACGTACTGGAACGTTAGCCCACATTGGTGCTGCTTCCTGTCCGCCATCTATGTAGAATGCGCAGACGGGAAGGGGTTAAGGAGGCTTGCTGGCCTGCTCCTCAACAATTAGCTATTCTTTCACACAATTTGAATCAAAAAATTTTCGATTAATTCGAATTCTAATCATTCTAAAATATGGAATGCATGATGGAAATGGATGAGAAAACTAATAAAACAAAACTAAATGAATTTCAACAAAATTTGTTACTATTGTCATTCGGAGATTCGGAAATATACAAATCTTCAAATAACCAAGAATTTGTCCGGATTTAGATTCGGACCGAAACGAACTGCTGACTAACATGTTTTGGACTTCTCCATGTAGAAGCTATGTACGTAGATATAGACTAAGCATGCATTCGGTTTTACTGAAGTGACATACAGAATGTTGTAGAGATATTCAGAGTCAGAGCTGAGCAGTTTGCATGTCTGGCCTGAAAACCCGGTCCTCTAAGCTCATGGCATTTATTATCAGATTTTTTTTTTCATTAGTTACCAGACCAATGTCAACCTGACTGGATCCCAAAGTCAAATTGGAGTTAAATCCAAAACCCAAAATGTAATATATTGCAGCTTACTGACCATTAGTTGTAGTGGCTGCATTAGTTTTCTTTTTTTTTTAGGCTATTTCCCCTGTTTTCACTTGTTGATCTGACCAGTAACACACCTCCTGTGCTAGATTGCCTACATTCTGGATGAAGGAGCAACAGAGACACCTTTGGACAGCAGCATTGTCAGTCTGGAGGGGGAGGAAGTTTTAGATGTACTAGCACATTTAAATACACTAACAAACTGAAGCCAAACTCCAGATAATACTTTATAAGCAGTTACAGCAACAGTTTTGTACCTTTTGGGATAAAAGTTTACCATTATTAAATAAGAGGTGATCATTGTAAACACCCTTTGAAGCGTTAAATGGTTTGTCTCATCCCTCAAACTGCTACATCTGCAGGAAAACTTGTTCTTTCAAAAAACAACAGACCTACTGGCAGGATCACCAGGTGAAAATAAAAGAAAAAAATTCATCATGTCTAAGAATTGGTAAATTGGAGTATAATATGTGTTTGCTTTTTGGTTTAATACCTAAAACTAAAAAACAAAACTGTGATATATTGTAGCTTTCCAGAACTTAGTTTCCTTTTTTTCCCTTTATTTTCACCTGGTGATTTGGTCAGTAAGTCTATTATTTCTTTTTTTTTTTCCCAAAAAAGATTTTTATTAGAAAAAAGCAGACAGAACAATACATTTACAGACGTGAATCCAAAGTTGGACATGGCACTGTATGTCGCCTCCCGTGTCACAGACGGGTCAAATCATAACAGGCAACACAAAATATAACGTTGTAAAACATTGTGTCAACATAATATTACATATTATGTCAACTTCATTTACCAGACCAAGCTGTCCAGCAAAAAGTGGCAGTTATAGGATGGACATAAACCATTTACCACTGATAGGGGGGGTTAGAATGATCAGCTTTTATTCATTTATGCAAAACCTTTATCCCAAAAGGAAAAGAACTGTTGCTGTAACTGCTTAAAAAAGTTCTAGCTCGAGTTTGGCTTGAATTTGTTGGTTGAGTCCATTTACTGTAAATCTACTATTACATCTCCACAGTATGACAATGCTGCTGTCCATGGGTGTCTCCATTGCTCCTCCATTCAGCGTGGAGACACCTTAAGTTCAGAATTTTTATTGACTAGATCACCAGGTGAGGCAAAGAGACAAAAAAGAAAACAAATGCAGCCACTACATTTGAGGTTTGATAAGCTGCAATATATAACATTTTTGATTTGGGGTTTAATACCGCTTTAAGCCGGCCATTCCCCTTTTTTGTTAAAAAGTTTCAATTTAACAATGTACAGTTTTGGGTGCAGTGATGAGAAAATTTGATGGAAAACTTTTCTCAAACAAATTTCTAACAGTGAATATGGTTTTTATTTAGGAAAGTCCATTCATTCCAAAAATCAAATGTTAAAAGCAAAAAACTGTTGAACTTCTTTTGGATGACATTCCTCAAGTTATTGAAGGGGTTGGTTTACTAAAACTGGAGAGTGCAAAATCCGGTGTAACTCTGCATAGAAACCAATCAGCTTTCAGGTTGTATTTTCAAAGCTTAATTGCACAAGCTGAAGTCAGAAGCTGATTGGCTCCCAGGCACAGCTCCACCAGATTCATGCATTCGGTTTAGTAAATCTCCCCCTGAATGTACTGAGGACTTTCGTATGAATGTTCTTTCGAACATCTACCAGTGTATGGCCAGCTTATCAGACCATTTTGTTTCCAGCAGAGAAGCAGGTAAAGTATTGCTGATCAGGATGATTCTCTATCACTGCAAACACCTGAATCTGAGAACTAGCAGTAGAGTCAATTGTTTTTCATAGTAGTTTTTTTTTTCTTTTTTGTTGCAAGACTCATCGCCACAACGCAAATGCAAGCACATGACGCAAGGAAGGCATTCCCATGCTTTGATGAGCCAGCAATGAAAGCAACTTTCAGCATCACCCTCAGATACCAGCCCAACTATGTGGCACTCTCCAATATGAATCCCATCAGTAAGTCAGAGAGTATTCCACTGTTTGGTGCATCAACATGTAGATATAAAATACACCCTAAACTGGACCCAACATCAGATATATTTGTTGTTTTAGTCAATTGAATGCAAAGTAATGTGTAAGGGCCGGTTCACACGATAGAAACGCAGTCCAGATGTGTTCCAGATGTGTTTCCGCATGCGCGTTTTAGACGTGCTCCGTGCGTTTTTGATGCGTTTTTTGACACATGCCACAGGGTGGATTTGATTTAAATCAAGTTGATTTAACTCATGATTTAAATCAAGATTTAAATCACTAGTGAAAAGGCTTGATTGAAATCATAATTTTAAAAAGCACCTGTCATCTCTGTCCCGCAGTGGCTCCTCTGCTGACCTGCTGTTGACTCACCGACAGTCCCATTCACTTTAATGGGACGGCTGGAGATGTGGCAGTGACACAACAAGGTGAGGGACGTGGTGGCAGCAGGTGAGTGGATGCCCACTAACAGGCGCTGCCATGATAGATCTAAAATGACAGGTGCTCTTTAAATGTGAAGAATCCAACTCATTCTTGCTGGTAGTTATAATCTTTAATATTTGCAAACCAAATGAGGGTTTCCTTTTTAGAATAATAGCTGACAGGTTAGTAACACATCGATATCAGAGCCGATTTTAGGTTAATCACACATAGCTCTTATGGTTACTGTGAAATTGTGTGAATGCAGCAATGCAGTGCATGTTATCTCAGCTCGTAGAGCTTGGATTCATTGAATGAGTTTACCAAAAATGTAAATATTGCAGAATATACAGCCTCACGATACAAAACTAAGCTCCATTTCATGCTGAATAAACTAAACTATTAATGTATCTTAAATAGAAAACTATATTTAGATAGATTTTTAATCCAAAGGCATTTTATTAAAATAAATTTGATAAAAATAAAAAACTCCTATTTAAATTTTAAAAAATCCGATTTTTTGTTTTTTGAAAAAAAAATCGATTTTTAATCACCCTGCGTTCCGGTGCATTTTATATGCATTCCAGTTCATTTTTCCCCTCTCTTTTTCTTCAATTTGAGGCTGGGTTCACATATATGCGGTGCTGTATATCGCATGTGATTTGCACAGGAACGGCACCGCATTTTATTCGATTTGTGTGCGGTGCGAGCGGAGTCGTACATGTTGTATGGTTCTATTCACACCGTATCCGCAGTAAAAAGGTGCAGGACCCTCTTTTTGGTCCGCATTAGAATCGGATCGCATGGGTATTCACACCTATGTGATCTGATTCTGCACATTGCACTGTGTTTTGTGGACCGCTTTCGGGGTGTTGTTAGCTTAACATAAAGACCCGCAGCAGTTTGCATGAACGGGGTGCGATTCTGATGTGGTGCGCAATTTGCACAGAAATGCTGCAAGTTCGGCACCTCATCAGTGTGAACCAGGGCTAAACAGAGACATGTGCCTTCCAGTGTGTTTTTGATGCGTTTTGGTGCATTTTTTATGCATTTTACCGCATTCCAATGCAGTTCTGTATAGAAAAAATGCAGCATGTTCTACTTTTTTTTCTGCAACCGGAATGCACAGGAACTGCAAGCAGTGATGCGAAATGTGACATTAACAACCATATAACCGACTTAATGTGCGTTTTGGATGCAGAAAAAAAGCAACTGAAATGCATGTAGTGTGAACTGGCCCTGAGTGTAAGATTTACAGGCACTTATTAGCTCATTAGCCCTCCCCTTAGCAATGCCTACATCTGTTTGTTCTCCAGAAGGGCAGCACCATCTTTATTCAGGCACCATCCAGGGTCGGCATATACTTCCTGGATGAGAATGCTGGCTCATTGATGATGCAATCATGTCAATCCTGGTGCCTGTGAAGATTCTGTCTGTGTACAAAACTTTACAAATGTGTGATACAAATCAGTCCTTGTTGCAGCCACTCACCTACAAAGTTACAGTATTACAGTCTGATCATTGGGTGAGATGAGACTGAGGCAGGGGCGGACTGACCTTTTGGAAACTCAGGCACTGCCCGAGGGCCCGGGGTCAGTAGGGGGCCCCATGAGATGCCCCTGGTACCTTTTTCATAGGCTTTTTTGAGTTTGGGCAAGGACACAGGGGCCCCATGATCCCCTATTGCCTGGGGACCCCATGAGTTGTCAGTCCGCCCCTGGACTGAGGTAATGTTTTTCTCCTGCTTGCAGCAGAAGGAGAACATCATCGCAGTCTAGGACTTGACTGAAACTCAAGAACTTTTAGGCTCCATGTACACTGGCTTAAAAATTGCTGTTTCTACAGGAATTTAGTGTTTTGCCTGTAGAAGCAGCTTATGTTATGCTATGTGTCCATGCACATTAGGACGATTAGAGGCATATTTTAGGCTCAATGTTTAAAGGGAGGAAAAAAAACCTTCTGATTTGTGTTTTTGATTGGAGCTTTCTGGTAAAAAAAATGCTAAACTCTCCTAAACTGTGTACAAAAATGCTCTATGTCAGCGTTTTTTTCTGCCAAGGGAACTGGCTTTTTTTAAGCCCAGTGTGCATGCAGCCTAACAAATAAAATTTACTTTTTTTAAATGAAACTATTGCTAAATATTACGACATGACAAAAGTGTATTGATGCAGACCAATGAAGATACTAACAGGTCCACTTTAGGCTCCTAAAGGGGGCTATTTGTTCCACTAAACTGCATACAATGAAAACAGTCCATGCCTCCTCCAGGCTCTCTCCTCCTCGCCACATTTGGCTTGTCACTTCCAGTGCTAAGCTGACAGGAGTAGTCACACTGTTCTCATTACTCCTTTCACATGTAGCGGCAGGAACTCGCCACCTAGTGCCCCCCCATATGATACTGCCCTGCCCATGGCAGCTGACCTTAGTGACCCCCCCCCATATAGTTACATAGCAACATAATTAGTCTGGCTGAAAAAAGACAAAACTACATTCAGTTCAACCATTAAAACAAAAAAAAGTTATAATCCTATACCTACAGTTGATCCAGAGGAAGGTAAGAAAACCCAGCAAAGCATGATTCAATTTGCTCCTGCAGGATAAAAAAAAATCCTTCCTGATCCCCGAGAGGCAATCAGATATTCCCTGGATCAACTTTACCTATAAATGTTAGTATCCAGTTATATTCTGTGTATCCAAGAAAGAATCCAGGACTTTTTTAAAGCAATCCACTGAGCTGGCCAGAACCAACTCTTGAGGGAGTCTATTCCACATTCTCACAGCTCTCACTGTGAAGAAGCCTTTCCGTGTTTGGAGATTAAACTTCTTTTCCTCCAGACGTAAAGAGTGCCCCCTTGTCCTCTGTGATTACCTCAGGGTGAATAGCTCTACACCGAGTTCACTATATAAACCACTGATGTATTTATACATGGAGATCATATCCCCCCTTATGTATTATACATGGAGATCATATCCCCCCTTATGTATTATACATGGAGATCATATCCCCCCTTATGTATTATACATGTTGATCATATCCCCCCTTAATCTCCTCTTCTCAAGAGAGAATAAATTCAGTTCCTCTAATCTTTCCTCATAGCTGAGCTCCTCCATGCCTCTTATCAGTTTGGTTGCCCTACTCTCTACTTTTTTCGGTTCCCCAATGTTCTTTTTGTGAATTGGTGCCCAAAACTGAACTGCATATTCCAGATGAGGTGTTACTAATGATTTGTAGCGGGGTAATATGATATCTGGAGTCTATACCTCTTTTAATACAAGAGAGGATTTTGCTCACTTTATAAACTGCAGCTTGGCATTGTATGCCATTATTAAGCCTGTGATCTACCAGAACCCCCAGATCCTTCTCCACCATATAATACCACTGTGCCCAGGGCAGTTGACCCTATTGCCCTATACCCCCTTGTACTGGCCCTTTTACTACTGCCATATTGTAAAAATGGCAGGTAGGTAGACTTAATTTTTTTTTCGACCACTGTTTATAAACTGCACTGCAGAAACTACACACAGGTACCTAGTAGTGAACCCTTTAAATGTCTGTGATTAAGCTGTTATTAGACAGTGCAGATCGCAGACAAAATGCACAAAGCTAGTCAGAATGACACGGGTCGTGAGCGCTGCGATGGTGAATCCCAGAGATTGCAAATGTGCTCACTTCCTGTAATTACAACTCACAATGGAGGATTGCAGCCTGATCAAAGAGGAGGAGAAGGGAAGCAGCACAGGACATCTTGTGATTCAAGGTGGGAGGTTTTAGGTGATACTGACCACCAATGATTGTGGGTTTCCTTTTTAAAGGTGGGTGGGGGTTTAAGTGCTGCTGGCCACTAATGATGGGGGTAGGGGCTTTTAAAATGCTACTGACCACTAATTATTTGAGGGAGAAGGGAATCTTTTTGCCACTGCTTTACTTCAGTGGGCAACATGTACAGCTTTGGAACAGTGCCAGTGGACCAGAATGAATAACTTCTGTACATTCCCATGTGCGATGTCTTCCCTCCCCAAAGAAGAGGTAATCACCTACCAGAAGTAAGTATTTTTTACTTTAGTTCCCACTTAAGTTGGTGCAGCAGTCCAGGGACTTGATATCTGATCTCAACTGTAGAGCTTTCAACTAATGTTTGACTATTGCCTTTATTAGGCATAGAGGAACTTGTGAAAGTTCCAAGGACAAGCACATTTCATAGGTACTGATGAGATTTGCCCTAAGAAAACTGCTCTAACCAATGACAACAATGGTTGTGATTTATTCCTTGCGTTCAGTAAACTTAAGTCTAGTACACACTTTGAGAAAATCGGTCAAGTGTTAGTTCGATCTTTCACAAAAGTGCGTGTCTGTGATGTTTTAGGAATGGTATTGACTTGTACGAAAAATCTCATCCGACAAAGGCAAACATAGGCCAACCCGAGCTACGTACTAATGTAGTATAAAACAGAAGTGATGTAGTGTGTGTGAGCCTTCAGGGCAACTTCCACTAATTTCGTTAACAGTGCTTTTGTGCCCAACTTCTTCCAGGTCGTTCTTTGCTTCTGATCATGCACGTTTTTATATTCGATTATTTCAGTACGGTGACTGTACAAATATAGTGAAAATTGGATGTTGTGTTCACATACAAGAAATATTTTCTAGCTTGTCGGGATCGCCTGTCGAATGCCTTATACTAATAATCACATAATTGACCGATTGGTTCTGTTTTTCGTCCAGTTTTCTTATCGCATGTATGGCCATAACGCTTCCACTTGCAAAATGATTTCTTCCAATTTTTTATCATTACCAATGCCTGTTTTTTTGTTAAATTGGCTTCTAGGTGTTACAAATGAAACGTGGGAAGGACAGCAATGGCAGGTCACAGTATTTAATAAAACTCCAAAGATGTCCACCTACCTGGTGGCCTTCATAGTCTCAGAGTTCAGATCGGTTGGTGATGAGAAGGTGAGTGCTCTTAGCTTTTAAAATCTATGAACAAGCTGGCTCAGATCAGACATTCATCAATATACTGTATATACACACGCACATGCACACTTGTAAACTATTGGTTTAAAAAAAAAAAAAGAATTATTGATGGTTGATTTAATGGTTTCAGCACTTTTTCAGACATTGACCCAGAACAAGCACACAGTATGAGAAAGTCAAAGTAAAATAAGAACTCCTGATCTGTACACTTGTTCTGCATCACTGGCTCAGAAAACACTGAAACCTTTAATTCAGCAGAACAGACAGACATCAACAGTTGCAGAACAAGAGGTCAGCTAAGGTAACCTTCAATGCATGTATCCTATAAAGCAAAACTTTAATGACCTTTAATGATATTTGGTCAGTCTATTTAATTTTAATGCTTTTACCTATAAACAATTTTTTGTACAATTTCTCATTATTTATAAAAAAGATTTATTTTACAACTAAAAACTTTATGAGGTTGACAGAGCGCAGGGGGATATGTTCCTCTTCTGACTCATCAGTCATTCTGCTGTGTGCATTGTGAATAAAGATGAAAAGAGCAAATTACAGGCTATTCACAGCATCTAAAAAACAAAAACTTTTGCGCTAGATGTGTGATGAAATCGAAATAAAAAATAATTAAAAATAAATTATAATAAATGCTGCCACTTCTATACAAATAAATATGATCAACAAAAAGAACCTTCAAAGTGATTCAGTAGCGCAATTAAAATATATATGTGCATAGAAATAAATAAATTAGTGATAAAAAAATGTGAAAAACTAAAAGTCCATAAAAAATCTTTTCCACCAAATGAATCTTCCAATTCTCAAAAGTTCACCATGTGCAATAAAGATGGCATTCCCCCTTTCAGGTGTGCACTCACCAGATAGCCATGCCTCCCATTCTCATGCTTGGTTAAAATTTCTTATAAAGTGGATCCAAATGGGAAGGAGATCAGTCAAAATGGGTATTATCACATTCCTCTCTGCTCATCCCAATTGCCATGATCAGTTGACACCACTGCATGTGTTAACAAGTTCCTAATAATGAGGAACTAATAGCAACATGGATAACACTCTCCTCCTCCTTAATCTCTCTCATTCAGGATTAGTAGTCCAAAATCCTGGACACTGGCCACATAAAGTGCTTCTTGATACCACATTGGCTGCTATATCAGTCCTGAATTATTCCTCTGTAACCTTTTACCTCCTTTGGTAAAGATGTCTCATTTTATTTGCATTGTTGAACCTTGCTTAGTTCTTGTGAATGACTCCTGTAGTAAAAAATAAGATCTAAACCTAATTTGTTTAGGGTGAAAAATCATCAATGCACATTCTCTGTAGAGCAGTTTGTGCTCAACTCTCTTGATATAGGAGGCCTCAACTGTCAATTGACTCAATCTTTGTGCAAGAGCTCTTATGCATCATTTTCTTAGTACTTGACTAATAAGGAGTAAAAATTATTAACATTTTATAGCTCTGGACATAAAATAATGAAACATATAAAACAGCGCTAAAGGGTTTTCATCCAAGGTTTAAGCACTTTTCTAATTGAGTTTTATGTAAAAAAAAAAAAAAAAAAAAATATATATATATATATATATATATTGGGTGAAAGTTCTGTGAATCCTGAGTGAAAATTTTATTAACAGACCTCCTTATCTTTCTTTCCCAGTCACACTTCATATGTACAATTTGGAATAATTTACTTGACAGCTGACAACTGCCATATTACACTTGTGTTATGATATTATGATATATTTTGCACTATATTTGTGGAAAAATATTGGTATAAAGAACAATATGTATCTTCAGTGGTTTGACATGAAAGTTACATTTAGTGCTCTTTTAAAGGTTAAAATTTGGGGACGGAAAAAATCTGTTGAAGATCGAAAGCAAGCAGAATATGCGTTGAATGTTTCAAAGCCGATTCTGGAATTTTTTGAGAAATATTACAGGGTTCCTTACCCTCTGCCAAAATCAGGTGTGTGGATGATTATCTACTTTTTCACTTTGTTCTATCGTACACTGTTCTATTCTGGACTGTTGGAAACAGGGCTTTTTTTTTTTGTCTGAGAATAGGCGCATATCTGTGGTGGAGAGTATTGTGGGTGGTATTTGCACAATGGAAGGATCCTAAAGGGGCGCTGGAATGTATAACGGGTTCAGAAGTGCATTATGCATGAGGTGTATGGTTCAGGAATGTGTTATGTATGAAGTGCAGGTGTGCATTAAACACAGGGATCAGGAGTGCATTACGCACGGGCTGCAGGGTTCAAGAGTGCGTTACGCGCAGGGTTCAGGAGTGTGTCATGCACAGGGTGCAGGGTTCAGGAGTGCGTCATGCACAGGGTGCAGGGTTCAGGAGTGCATCATGCACAGGCTGCAGGGTGCAGGATTGCATCATGCACAGGGTGCAGGATTCAGGAGTGCATTACATACAGAGTGCAGAGTTTAAGTGTGAATTAAGCATCCCTATCCACAGTGTGACTTCTGTGTTTACAAGTGAAAGTATAAAGCAGTGAGCACAGGGATAGAACTGGAGGTTGTGGAACTCTGTTTCACCATGTTCCATCTGAAACAGAGCCCTGGTTACAAATGATCTATCTATCTATCTATCTATCTATCTATCTATCTATCTATCTATCTATCTATGTATCTATCACAATGTAAGATACAATAAAAGTATAGGTTCACATTGTTGTCAGTTGGTAAGAGTGCCAAATCTTGTACCTCCCTGACCCGCAGGCAAAGGCAATGCTCTTTAGTATAGCTAAAAATGTGTACATTGCTCAAATATACAACATAAATTGAATAGTCCCGCTTTAATTCACCAGCCAATCTTCTATTCTGCAGACCAGGTCGCTTTGCCTGACTTCAGTGCTGGAGCCATGGAGAACTGGGGGCTGGTGACCTACAGAGAAACTGCTCTCTTCTGGGACCAAATGGAATCTTCGATCGGTAACAAGGACAGAGTGGTCACAGTCATAGCTCATGAACTTGCTCATCAGGTGCTTTCTCTCTCTATTCCTAAAAATATATTGAAATTATCTGACCATTTGGTATACTGAATTTATAGACAGACAGTGCTTAGTAAAGTTCTTCCATTAGGCCCATTCACAACTGATCTAAAGTGTTGGGTTAACACATGTGCAATAACATGTTTGATGTTGCAGATTCATGTATGTTGCATTAGGGCAGCACCTTTATTTAAATGGAATGCCAAAACACAGCTCAGGCATGCAGGAAGGAGGGTGCTCTCCAGATGAAAGAAAAAAAAATGTCTATTTGTTTAAAACAAGTAAATAGAATATATCATCCTATCTATTCAATAATGTTATCAGCATAAGGATTAAAAATAGTTCATGTTGGTTGAGAGAGTTTAGCTCCCTGTTAAGTTTATGTTTGTAATGACATGACACATACTTTGTATTTTCTATTGCTAATGTTGGTGATCTGCTTCTGTTTTAGTGGTTTGGGAACCTTGTAACAATACAATGGTGGAATGACCTTTGGCTGAATGAAGGTTTTGCCTCTTACGTGGAATATTTGGGAGCGGATTTTGCAGAACCCACCTGGAATATAGTATGTGAGACATTATGTCCTATTTTGACAATGAATACATAAAGAGTTGTATTAGAAACAAACAGCGAAAAGAGAGGCTGATTTTGCTAGGGAACAACTCTAGAGTATATATACTGGACAGGCAGACAGATTGATTGATTGATTGATTGATTTATATACTCATTGTCCAAATCCTTCATTTGTGAAACATACCTGATTGCACCTGTAACATATGTTATTATTTTTCTCTCTTCCCTTTCAACTCACGCTGATTAGATTTTTTTAATTAAAAGGTAATGAAATTAGAATAGGGACCATTATCCAATATAAACAGCATGTTTGTGCAGAATATGTATCTAAGAAGTGCATACTGTACATGAAATAATTTAGATTGTTAGTATATGTACTTATATGTTAAATATATACTGTAAGATATATTATGTTTATCTGGAAAAACAAAAACGCTTTACATGATATGTTACAGTATAATACATGGAAAAGAAAAAGTTGGATCCAATTAACACCCCTGTCTCATCGGGTGCGACTTGGCATGCGATTTGCATGCCGTAAGACTTGAAAATCGTATGCCAAGTCGCACCCTATTTTCTGCAATTAGAAAGGTCAAATCAGTGCGCTTCTGACTTGGTCGGAGCAGCACTGATTTCTAAAGTAGTACATGTACTACTTTTGGTTTCCATTTGCATAGCCATCTGTGCCAGATGTCTTGCAAATCGCACCTGAAATCGGCATCTCACCAGACTTTGAAATCATGCGACTTCACTGTAAGTCCCACGATTTCAAAGTCGGGCTTGATGTGACCGGGGGGTTAGCCAAGTCCATAGCAACAAACTGCCATCTAAAACATGACTGGCTGGTACAAAAAAATGTCAACCAATTGCACACAGGATGCCGACTCACTGTGATCAAAACTCAACCAGTAATGTAAGATGGCTTCAGCCTCTGCTCTCCACCCGCAGGAGAGGTCACTCAGATGTGTTTTGCCCCCCTAGTGGGCTTAACCATTGAAGCTTTCAGAACTGCCTTAATTCTTCATGGCATACTGTAGATTCAACAAGGTGTTGGAAACATACCTCAGAGATTTTGGTCCATATTGACATGATAGCATCACGCAGTTGCTGCAGATGTGTTGTCTGTACATCCATGATGTGAATCTCCCACTCCACCACATCCTAAAGGTGCTCTATTAGATTGAGTTCTGGTGACTGTGGAGGCCTTTGGAGTACAGTGAACTTATTTAACTTAAATCAAGGAATGCGCTAAAACCACAAACTATTCCTAATTTAGTGTAGAAACATTAGTGCAAAAGATATATATATCTATTATCAATTAATATCAAAAAATATCAAAATTATGTGCAAAACATAAGTAATTTAAATAATTAAATTTGTGAATATAAAAAAAACAAAAATGTCCAATTCTGAATTTCTTCAAATGTCCAAACAAATCCTTTTCAAATTCAGGTGCTCTCAAAAGAAATTGTGCCAAAATCCACCACCAAAAGTAAAGTTGGGTAACTCACCAGAGCTCCATGCTGATCAATCTCTAGATCAGCAAAAAACGCTTTTTGCTCTGGGAGCAGATGCAATGAATCAACTTCTCAGGTGTGATGATCAATAGCTACACATTCATCCATAAGGTAGGTATCCACCACTCAATATAATGGTTCCAGGAGCATTATATCACTCTCTCTGTTTATATCTCTCCACCGAGGTCATGTTTGGGAATGAAAGAGAAAAAATCATGGTGCAGCCAGTTTTTTTTATAAAAGTATCCAACAATTTAATAAAGATTTACACTCACAAAAAGGGTGTCTTCACCGACACCAGTATAAACAGCATAAAACAGCAATGTATAACAGTCCCCTGTTCCCCGTACACTCACTACAGCGCTCGTGACTTAATTTTCTCCAAAAACGTCAGCATCCAGTAAGCCCTACTAGTTTCGTCATGAATGACGTCTTCAAGGGGCGGTCTGGAAGACGTCATTCATGACGAAACTAGTAGGGCTTACTGGATGGTGACGTTTGTGGAGAAAATTAACTGTCACGAGCGCTGTAGTGAGTGTACGGGGAACAGGAGACTGTTATACCATTTGCTGTTTTATGCTGTTATACTGGTGTCGGTGAAGACACCCTTTTTGTGAGTGTAAATCTTTATTAAATTGTTGGATACTTTTATAAAAAAACTGGCTGCACCATGATTTTTCTCTTTCATTCCCAAACATGACCTCGGTGGAGAGATATAAAAAGAGAGAGTGATATAATGCTCCTGGAACCATTATATTGAGTGGTGGATACCTACCTTATGATGAATGTGTAGCTATTGATCATCACACCTGAGAAGTTGATTCATTGCATCTGCTCCCAGAGCAAAAAGCGTTTTTTGCTGATCTAGAGATTGATCAGCATGGAGCTCTGGTGAGTTACCCAACTTTACTTTTTGGTGGTGGATTTTGGCACAATTTCTTTGAGAGCACCTGAATTTGAAAAGGATTTGTTTGGACATTTGAAGAAATTCAGAATTGGACATTTTTGTTTTTTTTTATATTCACAAATTTAATTATTTAAATTACTTATGTTTTGCACATAATTTTGATATTTTTTGATATTAATTGATAATAGATATATATATCTTTTGCACTAATGTTTCTACACTAAATTAGGAATAGTTTTGTGGTTTTAGCGCATTCCTTGATTTAAGTTATAGCACTAAGAAATTTATTTGGTTTCTTTGAGGTGGAATTGCTGCTTTAAAGTATTAAGGGTGTGGCGCTTTTATTACACTTGTGACAGTGAACTTATTGTCATGTTTAAGAAACCAGTTTGAGATGATTTGAGCTTTGTGACATGGTGCATTATCCTGCTGGAAGGAGCCATCAGAAGATGGGTACACTGGAGTCATAAAGGGATGAACATGGTCAGCAACAATACTCAGGAAGGCTGTGGCATTTACACAATGCTCAATTGGTACTAAGGGGCCCAAAGTGTGCCAAGAAAATATCCCCCACACCATTACACCACCAGCCTGAACCATTGATACAAGGCAGGATGGGTCCATGCTTTCATGTTGTTTATGCCAAATTTTGACTCTACCATCTGAATGTTGCAGCAGAAATCAAGACTGATCAGACCAGGCAACATTTTTCCAATCTTTATTTGTCCAACTTTGGTGAGCCTGAGCAAATTGTAGCCTCTGTTTCCTGTTCTTAGCTGACAGGAGGGGTGCCCTGTGTGGCCTTCTGCTGCTGTATCCCATCTGCTTCAAGGTTCAATGTGTTGTGCGTTCAGAGATGGTATACTTGGTTGTAATGAGTGGTTAGATTCACTGTTGTCTTTCTATTGTCTCGAACCAGTCTGCCCATTCTGCTTTGACAAGGCATTTTTGTTCACACAACTACCGCTCACTGGATATTTCTTTTTTGGACCATTTTCTGTAAACCCTAGAGATGGTTGTGTGTGAAAATCCCTGTAGATCATCAGTTTTTTAAATACTCAGAACAGCCCATCTGGCACCAACAACCATGCCATGTTCAAAGTCACTTAAATTCCCTTTCTTCCCCTTTCTTTAGATTGTAAGCTCCATGAGTAGGGCCTACCTATTCCTTCTGTACTGAAATGTATTGTAATTGTACTGTCTCCCTTATATTGTACAGCACTGCGCAAACTGTTGGTGCTATATAAATCCTGCATAATAATGATATTAATAATAATTCTGATGCTTGGTTTGAACTTCAGCAAGTCATCTTCACCACATCTAGATGCCTAAATGTATTGAGTTGCTGCCATCTGATTGACTGATTAGCAATTTGTGTTACAAAGCGATTAAACGGGTGTACCTAATAGAGGTTGGTGTGTGTGTGTGTGTATATATATATATATATATATATATATATATATATATATTTATAGGGGTTAGACAAAAATTATGGAAAAACTACATGATATGCAGGTGTGAAAGTGACAACATGTTTCGCATTGAAAGTGGATGCTATAAGATTATATTTATATTCTTGCCAATATCTTTCCATTGAAGAACCATATTGATTGATTCAGCAACTGAGATACAGTTTGACTAATATGCCTTTTCATCCTATTCTTGCAGAAAGACCTGATAGTACTCTATGATGTACACAGAGTTATGGCAGTTGATGCCTTGGCCTCTCCCATCCTCTTACATCAAAGGAAGAAGAAGTGAACACCCCATCAGAAATAAGTGAACTTTTTGATTCCATTGCTTATAGCAAGGTGAGTGTTGTAGCTTCTGCCAGCCAATGTCCAGTGCTGTATAATAGGTGGAAAAGGTAATGGTAATAAGCACCAGCAAACCATGTATGGTCACAATACACCAGCCTTTCTCAACTTTTTTTACCCAAGAGGAAACCTTTAAATAATTTTCAGATCTCAGTGCTAAAATGTATTAAAATCTACTACTCATGATTCATTAACAAGATCAGTATGTTGAAGAAGGGTTTAAATCAAAGAATAAAGAATGTGGAGTATCTAGAGCAATGGGCGTCAAACTGTTGGCCCTCCAGCTGTTGCCAAACTACAAGTCCCATGAGGCATTGCAAGATTGACAGTTACAAGCATGACTCCCAAAGGCAGAGTTTTGCAACAACTGGAGGGCCGCCAGTTTGACACCCTTGAACATCCAGCCTGCCCACACATGGTTCAAATCTCAACAGGTTCCTGCTGAACTGGCCGACATTCGAACAGTCTATGGCCAGCCTTAAAGGATAAGTTCACCTTTTAACAAAAAATTTTGCAGAAATTTGCATTTTTTGTTTCTGGAGCCATAAAATATTGCACCAGTGATCAGAAGATCGTTGGTGCCATGCAGGTCTCCCCCTGACTTGTTAGTATATCTGCTTGCTCACACATCCCATAAGGGCAAGCAGATACTTATTGACAAGAAGACTCAATGAACTACCATGGTGCTGTGGAGCGCCATGTTAGTTCATTGAAAACTACAAGCTGACAGCCACAAAGGCTGCCGGAACTTTTCCCATTCACAGAATACTGTGAGTGACACGGCCGGGCGGGCGAAGCCCCACACAACCTTTTTTTTTTTTCTTGTTTTTTTGAAACTGTGACAGCTAGCAGGGAGGAGAAGATCCCCCACTAGCTGTCACAACTGGGATTGGGGGGTGCAGGGGCTGGTCCAATCGTAACATGTTACACCCTGACTATGGGTGTAACATGTAACATGTTACGAAAAAGTGAACTTATCCTTTAAATGCATGAGGCAGAGTGCACATGGCTTGAGCCCTGTAACTGCCACTATATATATACTCAGATCAACAGCCCACCATCAGAAAATTGTTCTGTATACTCAGTTTTACACCAGTGACCATACAGTGAATTTTGCATAGAACTTTAAATGAAAGTGCAGAAACATGAAATATACCTACAGTATATGACAATAGGGAAACACATTGCCACTGTCTGTATACTCAGGTCAACAGTCCACCTGAATCTGAACAGGTAGTTAATACAAGACATCCCTATATGCAATTTACAGGACTATAAAACAGAAGAACATACAGAGCAAGGTAGGGTCATCTAGAACTCAATCAATAATAGCTTTACAGTATGGTGATAAAATCCTTGATTACAGTATTTGTGCTCATAATGCAGACTTATTTCATATACAGCAGATATTTTAGAGTCTATAGTTCAGCTTGGCTTCATTAAAACATTCACTCACATGTAGTTTAAGCTCTACATTAGGGGTGTCCAACCTTTTGACTTTCCAGGACCACATTGGAAGAAGAATTGTCTTGGGCCATGCATAAAATACACCAACAACAAGCAGTTGAGTTGGAAGTTCACCCCCCCCCCTCCTCCGCAGCCTTAAAGGATATTTTGCATGTCCCAGATGACTGCGGGACCATTCACAAAGCACAGTGCAGTATGAAACCGGCTGTGAAGCCGCAAGGCTTCATTGCTGGTTTCCCTTACTGAATATGCTGGCACCTGCATCCAAAGTCGATTGAAAAATCGGCTCGGGTGAGGACATCGCTGGACCCCTGGACAGGTAAGTGTCCTTGTATTAAAAGTCAGCAGATGCAGTATTAGTAACTGCTGACTTTTATTTTTTTAGGGGGAGCCTGGAGCTCTGCTTTAATGATCAGTGATACTGTTGGATTTTAGACACATATAATACTTCTTCTAGTGTCTTGAGGCAATTATGAATGAAAGAGCCATTGAAATAAAAGATGAAGTGTGATTTTATTCTATCACACAATGGGGTAAAATAACAATGTAAAGCGTATTATGAACAGTTCCATGTAGATAAAACTACTGTAGAAATAATAAGCAAAAGTTTAAGATAAAGTCACCATTATTTGTCATAGAAGTCCGGTCATGTGCTGTGCTGTCCTTCATGTTCTTGTTGTCTTTCTCATGACTTTGTTGAAGAAGCCGGAAGTAGACGGAAATGATGATCTAGCAGCATGCACCTGTTGCAGCTTCTCAGTCGTGTATGTATGTGTGTGTTATGTATGAAAGAGTGTCAGTATTAGCGTGTGAGTGTCTCTCTTGTCCGTTGTCTCATGATCTTTTATGAGGCAAATTTATGTCATAGTTAATGATCTTAATACCTTGTATGGCATAGAAGGGAGGGGACAATACTCACATAATGTTTTTGAGAGACAGGAACATATGTATGCTGATGTAAATAATATTATAAGCTAATGACGTAACCCTCAGCTATATATTTAAAGAATAATATAGCTTAAGAACATATCAATGTATAATCACTAAACTATATATGTATCAATGTTAGAAACGTATACTAAATACACACAGATACTATTGAAATACATAATGTAATAGTAAGTCACTTCTAATAACCTTGACATATACTACCAGAGAAGTTTATGCCTAAATATAGTATACTCAGCCTTCAGCTAGTTAGCTGTCTCAGCTAACTTACCCATATTTACTGTCTCAGCTTAACTTGTATATCTTTTGGTCTCAGCTATAATTGAAGAATTGTAATACTACCATTTGTCAAAAGACCATTCACACATATTAATATTAATTATGACTAATCATAAAAACCAAATATTTTGCAAGCTTGCCATCAATATAAGTGCCGAATCATAATTTTGATTTATTAACAGATACAGATAATGTACCTATCTGAGTAATAAGACTTTTTTTAATATGTTTATATAATATTTTGCCCTACATGTGCTTTATCCTTGAAAATAGCTGCTTGCTCGTAAATATAGATGCTGCCGACAACTGATGACATGGATAAAGCATGATTGTGAAGAGTGGGATATTTTTCTTTGAAAAGATAAAATTTTAGTAAAGGAGACATTGTCAGATTATTCTTTCGCCACATGTGTTTGCTAAGTGTAAACCCTTTTTTACAAAAATTTACAAAAAAAAAAAATCAACATTTTTAGGTAAGTTTACAATTATGTGTTGGACCTCATTCATAGCTGTCTTGGGCCGCATGCAGCCCGTGGGTCATGGGTTGGACACCCCTACTTTATAGTATGATAGTATGATGATAAAATCCTAGATTACAGTATTTGTGCTCACAAAATGCAGACGTATTCATATACAGCAGACATTTTAGTGTATACAGATCAGCTTGTCTTCATTATATCATTCACTCACATACAGATTAAGCTCTACAACTACTATACAGACATATAGCCACTACATTATGAGTTATAGAACCTACTATAACAAAGCAACAACCTTATAAGAGCATAAAACTAAAGTTTGTATAGGGAGAATCATCAAGTCCCACATTGGGAAAAACTCCTTTTGCACTCAGTGGGCTAAACCAATTAGGAGCACAGTGGTAGGTTGGTAAAGTCTATTGCAGCTTGACAGCCTGACAAAGCATTCCTTGGTTTTGTTATAAGATATTAATTATTTTGAGTATGCAAAGTCAATGTCAATATTATCACTTAATATCAATAATGTATAGTAATCTCACCATCCTGGCCAACAGTATAAGAGGCTAGTAGGTGATTGCATTAGCCAGTGACCACTATAGACATATTCATTTTAGATGGAGTTTGCCTTTAATGTCATATCCATGATAATATAAACAGTAATAATAACATTTTTAAAATGTTTTCTGAATGTATTTTCTGTTTTGTGCAGGGTGCATCAGTTATTAGAATGTTGTCCTCATTTCTCACTGAAGAGCTTTTTGTTGAAGGATTGGCTGTAAGTATCTCTAATCAATGGTTTAAAACATCTATAATCTGTGCCTTTCTAAGGTAAAGGTATGAAGAAATCTCTAGGTTAGCTGTTCAAAACAGGACAGCCAATAATTGCTCATCTGCCTTTACTCATATTCATAATTGCAACTTTTATTACTCTTCCCTACCCCCAAAAGCAGCTAACTAAGCACAAACTGTGCTTGATTAGCTGCTTTCTCGGCTGTAGCAGCCATGGAACGACAGCTCTGAAACTGAAAATGATGAAATCATTATTGCTTTCAGTTTCATTAGTCACAGAGGAGATGGGGGAATGGGGATTTCTCCATTTCCTCTGTGTTAGCTATCCCAGCCATTTACTGCAGTCCCAGGCTTCCCAGAGGAACCGGAGAGCCCAGGAACCACCATGGACGGCAGCACAGATGGAGGGACCATCCCTTTTTCTCTGCAGTAAAAGTGATTGGGTGGCTGTAGGGTCGCCCAGATAACTTTTACTGAACAGCCGATCACCAGCGATCAACAAAGCAACTTGAGTCATCCATGGAAGTCTGAGAAAATCTCCCCAAAGTAAGAAGGAAGGGCACCTTGTATAGAAATCACTGAAACTGGTGTGCCCAGTGGGAGATTTCTCTCCAAAACTATTCTCCAAACTTTGTCTTCTGGTGACTAAGCCAATGGAGACACAGACAGCAATACGAACCTGACAGGGAGTCTGACCTATTCACATTTTATCTAAAACTAGAAAACAATCTGTTTGGCCTTCCACTTTAAGAAGGAGGTAAAGTGATTTCATATCAAGTGTTTTTCTCTCTCTCTCTTGTGTCTATGCTAGAAATCTCTATATTTCCTGGAAGTGCAAAGAGAGGTTTCAACTCTGCATATGGAAATAGTTCTTAGGAACTGTGAAAATATGGAATGTTGTTGGAATAGTTCTACTAAGTTGAGCATTAAAAAAAGGTTGTTTTCAGTTCTGAACACAAAATATAAAAGCCTTACTTATAGGATATGAATTATCCAATTGATTTTTGAGTTCAGAAATTATTTTTTCCATTGGATTATCCTATGGGTAAGTGTTTTGAGGATTCAGTGTCATGTCAGTAAGTTTTTAAATCATTTGTACAGTCGTCATCTTGATTGGTAATTTCGGGTCAAAGTGATAGTGTGCCCTGACAGCATAAACTTGTGTTCTGACAATCCATACCCCCTTGCCACTTTCTTGCTCTGTCAGAGCCCTTACTCTGTTGCTGTAACAGCACGTTTTTCAAGTATGGGTAGTGTGTCTTTGTTCCTGAATGGCCAATCATCAGGTGCAAACACTAATGTCATGTGGGGAGCAGTGACACCATCCACAAAGGTAAGCTAGGACACCATCCAACATTGGATCTTTCTCAGGGTGGACTTCTTCAGCAGGGAGATGAGGTGAGGAAACAAGAATCAGTAAGTATACTTTGCTGGGGCATAGTCTATCAGAAGGTATTGTCATATTGCTCCATTGATCAAGACACTGCCTTGTTGTCCTGTTGAGGACCTTTTGATCAAGCTACATAAATGTAGTCCTGCAACATAAGTTAAAAAAAAGGAGATTTTAATGCCTCTACCTCTGTATCCCAAACATTGAACACAGGAAATTATGCAACTGCTTTACTCAAAGTTTATCTTTGCACTTTTTAATTTTTTTCGGATAGAGTAGAAAAGTGTTGAACCCATAGTCAGGATTTTATTAGTCCCTATCTCTGCTGGGGAGATTTATCCTTTCTAGTTGTTTTGGTTAGCACGGTCGCTGGGATAGAAAGTGATAGGTAATCCAAAACTCTACAGTTGTCGACAGCAAAATGGGGAGAAAATTTCCAATGATGACACCTATTCTGGTGACAATTGTCTAAGAGAGGATGTCCCTTCCCCTTGGAAAAACTTTCTTTTACTTCATTTGGTGTCGTGGGGTAGGAAGTAAAGAGAAATTTCTGCAAAACGGACATAGCAACAGAAAAAAAAAAGATTGGGATTTTAATCATACCCTTTTAAACATTCCCTAATCTATCATAAATTTAAAAAAAATAACTTAATATACTTTAACATGCAAGTGTAGTGCAAAGTATTCTAACATGATGGAGGCTTTAAAAGTCTATTTATGTCATTCAACTTGACAAATACAAATACTGAAAACGTTGTGTTTTGTTTTCTAGAGCTATTTGGAAGATTTCAAATATGCCAATACAATATATACTGACCTATGGGATCCTGCAGATGGTAATTTAACTAACTTTCATACTTAAGAACCTAAGAATGAATTGTGTATTTTGTGTATATTTTATACATAACACCTGGTACCTATTGAAAGTTTTATAGGCTACATTGGTTTCAAAATGTATCCTAAAAGCAAGCTTCTTTGTCTTGCTAAAGTTACTGAACAGGCTTGGGATTCAGTATTACAGCTCACATTGCTACCATTTATACACTTAATAGTGCATATCAATCACACATTACTGCAAAGACATCTATACAAATTGCTTAGAAATTAATCCTCTAGAACTTTGGTTTTGGGCTACTCTACGGGAGTGCTACAGGGGCATATGGCAGAACAAAACATACACTTGGCATAGCTGATGACTGTTAGGTTCCAGGACATGTACCCAGATTATGATGTGTCATGAGAGACAATATAATATAATAGACATAAATGCAAGACTCGCCTATTTTCCTTTTGGAGAAGGATGGGTAAACCAAAATCGCATACTCCTGCTTTGTCTAAATGGAAAATTGATGCATTAAGACTGGTTCGCATGGTGACATCTTCATATTCCCTCCAGTTGTCTTGCTTTACAAAGGTGGCAAGTGCCCAGTCACTTTTGCCTTTCTTATTTTTAATGTTTTTGTGATGCAAAGCCATTTTATTACATGCTATCAGTAACAGTGCCTTATTTTATTAATTTCTAGGCTGTAGATAAACAATACAAAGTAACACTTCCTGATTCTGTTAGAAACATCATGGACACCTGGGTCTTGCAGATGGGGTTCCCGGTGGTAACAGTAGACACAGCAACAGGTTCTTTAGACCAGAAGCACTTCCTTCTAGATCCAGAATCAGTCGTCACTCGTCAATCACCGTTTAAGTAAGCTGATGTGATAATAACATAATAGACTAATGCATAAGTAAATGTGTTTTAAAATAATGGATTACAGAAATGTTTAGAAGAAGAAAACCAAACAATCTGAAGAATGTTTTATGCAGGAGGCCGATAGCCTGTTGAGCAGGATCTACCAGTCAATTGCGGCCAGTTGACTGGTAGATTGTGCCCAGGGCTTGCCAACCCATGTTTACAGAGCAGTGAAGAATGGGACCTGCACCGCTAGAGTGATCAGGTGGCTGCACTCCGTCCGAATAACACTAACTGCATTCCACCTCTCTGTGTCCATCCTAGGACCGAGCAGCACAAGGAGAGGATGGTGCCCTTGGAGTAGAGCTCACATTTAGGGAAGGGGCACATCTGGCTACACAATCAGTGCTGCGGTCTTGCAGAAAACCCAGGACCTGGAACTCTCACTAAGTGAGCTTCACAGGAGGCAACACACTTCTCCAGCATACTATTCTACCCTCTACACACTGGCCGCTGCTCTCTCAGGTCCATCACAGTAAATCTCATGCCCAACTAAAGAGTGGCAAGCTGACAGCTGCTGTATGCTGCAGGATATACAACTGTGCTGATGGATGTATGGTCGGCATTGTCACTCTCCCTTCTGCTCCCCGGGGACACACTACTGCTTAGTTCAGGTTGTAAATGAGAGCAGGTGAATGGGGCCACTCTGCAAGCACACTGCAACCTTGTGCAGTCCAGTGATCAAGAGGTTAAAGTAAGTAGTGAGGTCTTGTATCACCTCCTCACCATCTGCTTTAATCCCTTTGACCCTACACTACCATGCTGTGGGGCGGCTGTGGGGTGGTTGTGGGGCATTTGCGGAGTGGCCCCATTCACTTGAATGGGTTGCAATCGACAACAGTTAGTATAACTTTTGCAGCAGCACATGTATACCCTCGACTGCTGCCTCTGTGGTTAAAGGGGGTAGGGGTCCTTGTTCCTGTGTGATTCTGTGTTTTGCAAGTTTGCAGCCCATTCATTTTAATGAGAAGAGTATCGCACCAGACTGCACAAAAAGTGGTGCATGCACTACTTTTCAAAAACACAGTGCACCAAATTGCATGGTACTGCATTAACAATGCATTGGCACCTGCAAAGGCAGTGTGTGCTTTGCATTGCAGGAAAAGCGCACAGAATGCACCTTTCTTGCACCATGTTCTGCTGTGAACTGGCCCTAACAACAGGACACTGTGCCCGGTGATCTTTGTTGTTCAGGTAGATCTCCAAGGTTCAGCACAGTGGCTAAGTGTTAGCACTTCTGCCTGGCAGTACTAGGGTCGTTGGTTTGAAACCCAACCATGGCTCCACCTGCCTGGAGTTTGCATGTTCCCCCTGTGCCTGCATGGGTTTCCTCCAGGTACTCGGGTTTCCTCCCACTCTCCAAAGACATGCTGGTAGGTGAATTGTCTCCTGTCTAAATTGGCCCTAATATGTATATGTATGAATGTAAGTTAGGGACCTTAGATTGTACACCCCTTGAGGATTAGGGACTGATGTGAATGTACTATATATATATATATATATTGCTGTGTAAATTGATGGCGCTATATAAGTACCTGTAATAAAATAATAATCTTCATCTCTCTAAGGTTGTCTACCCCTGTTTTTTATGATGAATGCAATCCTGTCACATGGGGCTGTTGTAGTAGTAGACACAACAGAAATCACTTATACCATGAAATACTATCATCACCAAGTAATCACCAATGGCAAATATATGAACCTTTGCTTAACCCTTTCCTGGCCAGTGAGTTTAATTTAACATTAGAATTTTACTTGCACCTGCACACTGGAGCTATAAAATTACAGGCCTGGCCTTGTAAGGCTTTATAAGTCTGTGAGTTTGTGGTTAAAATATTTTTCAAGCCCCCTACCAAGGCTATAATATGATTATAGCAAAACAAAAATTCCAGAAGCCAAGCTTACTCCATGGAGAACACTTGCACACAATACCAAGTACTTCCAGGATTATTGGCAGTGTCCTGACTATAGACAGGGACCACATAAAGACATAGGTCTCCATATTCCAAGTACAGCAAGCTCCGCTATTTAACAGTATGATGAAAACTGCTCTTCTAAGTACATATGGCAGCAATGGTTAGGGTATTGGTCAGCATTTCTCTACTTCAGTCTTTAAGTACTATCAAAATTTCCTTCGAATGTAACAGCTGTGGTAATTATTTAGCCAGGAATTTGGATGAAATGATACATGGAAGATAAGTTGAAAACATGTTGGGGATAACTGAGGAATAGAATTGAGAAACATTGATATAGGCCTCTTCCAGCCTCCGAAATTAATAAGCACTGCATAAACTGTTAGTGCTATATAAATCCTGTATAATATATAATAATAAAGTGACCCAAATGGGTAATTCAGACAGTAATAACATTATCTTATGGGAACCACACATGCACAGACAGGTGCAGGTATACCATACAGTTACACAATTAGGCCAAATAGGGGAACCTCTAATCACTGGCAGATTATTATTATTACTATGGTGGTTTGGGCAGCTACATATATGTCAAGGCTCCCAAGAGACAGATTCCCCAAATACAGATTTCCAGCCCATTCCACTGCATGGTGGTTAAACATGCCCCATAGTCATAGCATAATTTGTTAAGATTGGTAAATGCAACTTTCCTCTCCGTTTGCTTACAGTAACTTCTCTCTAAAGCAAGGTCCCAGGGCATTCAGCCTACAAGAGGGATTACAACTTTTTGGCTACTTTCCTCCTACCATGTGTGTAACTGAGGTAATTTTCTGTGATTGGAGAATATGTTTCTCCAATCAAGGCAAAAGACACTGGCTGCTGGGTGGAGGAACAGTTCTGTAAGGTCGGCAGTAAGCGAAGGCTTATTCTATTAAAGGATTATTACGCTGACCAGTGAAGAGTTATCCTCCTTGGGGCAACATGGGATTGGTTAAGCAAATGGAAATATAAGAGACTTTGTTGCAGAAAGATAGTATATCACAATGCATGCATTAGCCATGAGAGAATGTTCCTAAAAGTGTGTTTAATAATCTTAAAGAAGAATGCTGGGGTAGGCAAAAGAAATCACCCATTAGTACATTCTCCTACACAACACATTAGTTATGTTTATATATATATATATATAATCTCTGTAATTCATAGTTACATATAGTTACCTAGTTACATAGTTAGTCTGGCTGAAAAAAGACAAGAGTCCATCCAGTTCATCCATTAAAAAAAAAAAAGGTATAATCCTATACCCACAGTTGATCCAGAGGATGGCAAAAAAACCCCAGCAAAGATCTAATTTGCTCCTGCAGGGGAAAAAAATCCTTCCTCATCCCCCGAGAGGCAATCAGATATTCCCTGGATCAACTTTACCTATAAATGCTAGTATCCAGTTATATTCTGTGTATCTAGGAAGAATCCAGGACTTTTTTTTAAAGAAATCCACTGATCTGGCCAGAACCAACTCTTGAGGGAGTCTATTCCAGATTTTCACAGCTCTCACTGTGAGGAAACCTTTCCGAGTTAATTCAAAAGATAACAGGAGGGTATAACAGCAAAGATTACATCATATCCTCTCCTCTCTCTCTGTAGTGAAAGGAAACTACAGTTCCCATCAAACACAGGGGATTGTAGTGATTGTGGGCTGGTACACTAAGCCTAGACATGTTGAATGTGATTTAGAATCTCGGTCCACTCACCACTGCAAGTGGGCTGAATTACATCACTGCTTCTAGGAGAAAGAATTACAGAAGGGGTGTACCAAGACCAGTAGCTGGGAGAACAGGAGGCATAGCAGCCACTGGTCTTACATACAGGAAACCAAAGAAAATGAATGGCTTGATTTGAAAATGAATAGGTTATTTCAGAACAACTACTGAGTGAACCAGAAGATGGATGACATATTCAGTGAAGGCAAGGAAATCAGCAACAAGGACATGTAAAGAGGTTTTTGCCCGTAATTCTGCTTTAACTATGCCTGAGCTTTGGCTCAGGATGTGACCTTACAAGCTTCATGGAGTGTTCCTAGTACCCAATGGTACTATTGAAAGTTTACAGCTGGTCCAGAAAGGCATAGAGAAGTGGAGCAGAAAAGGAGATAGAGACGTGGCGAGGGCTGAAGGACACGACTCTGAAAAGTGGTTGCAGAGAAATAGAGAGGGGTTGCAGTTGTAGAAAGTAAATCAGCCAGGAATAGGCCATTTTGATTTAGGGAACTTTATAAAGTATTGTATAATCAGCCTTGAAAAATTGTTGCATGAACATACACAGTCTGAGAGGCCAAACAAGCATGTTAATGCACTCTGCAGACTGCCCGGACCCTGCTGAGGGGACAGCAGTTTCAGAGAAAATCTTTCTCCAAGATCAGCTGGCTCAGGGATGTGTATGGCAATCAAATGGGGCTCAAAGACATATGTGATCCAACTGTAATCAAACATATCAAGTGAGTATCTTTTCATGTCTAGTTAGTCATTAGTTTTATTCTAGGTCAAATTGAGTGTATCATGGCAGCTGGTAGCATAATAGAAGTATCCACCCATGGACAAATCTTAACGTGCAGAAGAAGGGCGTAGTCTGCTTTATTACTGTGCTGTAAGACCATTGGGCGCTATGCTCACTCCTTCTCTTGGCCACTGGTCATGTAACCCCCCCCTGTGTAGCTCCATGTTTAGTGAGCTGTGCCATAATTATGTCACAGCTCACTATAGTGGAAGGGCCCAGAGTCTCAAGCTCAAGGCTGAGATCAAGGCTGATTGACAGCCTGAGTAGTGTGCAGTGGTGTAGGCATATTCAAAAGGCTATGACTGGCACAGTAAGGATTGGCAACAAACCGGCCCACATTTACGCCCATGACCAGTGGCTAAGAGAAGGAGTAAGCATTTCCTATTGCCAGCTACAATTTCCATTGCATATTTAATAATCAAATGTCAGCCTCCACACTACCTCAGAACTTCAGAACTGATTTTCTTTAATGCCTTGCTTATTGACAGTTAAACCCAAAAACAAAAATGGAATACATGGTGACTTACCAGTCCTTACATGTGGTAGCTGCATTCATTTTCTTTTTTGGACTAAGACCATTTTCACAAGTACAGAAAATACTTTTTTTAGTGTCCTTGTCACTTCCTGTGATCTTAAAGTGGTTGTAAAGGCTCAAGGTTTTTCACGTTCATGCATTCTATGCATGAAGGTAAAAAAACCTTCTGTATGTAGCAGTGCCCCCAGCTCCCTCAATACTTACGTGAGCCCCATCGCGATCCATCGATGTGCACAACAGCCTATCCCGGATCTCTACCTCCTCATTGGCTGAGACAGCAAGCAGGAGCCATTGCAGTTAATCACAGCCACTCAGCCAATGAGGAGGGGGTGGGGCATGGCAAAGCCACGCCTCTATGTGTGAATGGACACATGGAGCAGCGTCTTTGGAACACTCCTGCTCGGGTGCCCCCGACAGAAAGGAGGAGCTAGGATCGCCAGCAGGGGACTTGAGAAGAGGAGGATCTGCATTGTGCAAAACCACTACACACTGCAGGTAAGTATAGATATGTTTGTTACAGGGGCGGACTGACCATTCGAGCACTCGGGCACTGCCTGAGGGCCCGGGGTCAGTAGGGGGCCCTATGAAATGCCCCTGGTACTTTTTATAGGCTTTTTTGGGTGTGTTTTGTGTGTGGGCAAGGACACAGGGGCCCCATGATCCCCTATTGCCCGGGGGCTCCATGAGTTGTCAGTCCGCCCCTGGTTTGTTATTTTACAAAAAAGAAAAAAAATGAACCTTTAGTATCGCTTTAACAGAAAGCACTACCAAATGTATCTTTCTTTAAAAAACTATGTATGTCATCATCCCTAATGTAATGAAATTAACATGTTTAAAGTCCAGCTTGGGTCGCTGCCCCATAGATACAATGGAGGAGTGAAGATGGCTTTTTAGGCAGGTCTTACAATCATTACCATAAAAAGGAATTCATGCAGCCTGTTCTTCAGTTTAAGAATTGTTTTAGTCAGACATTATTGCCATGGTATTACAGTTACAGTGACACTTGTAAGTACAGTTATCTTACTTTAACCTGTTTTATATACAGAATTTTGCATTGGGGTACACTGCAAGGGAACAGTAGAGCATTGGTTGGTCAGGACAGTGAATTTACTAATTGAAATGTAAACTTATTAGTAGGGCATTTATTTGTCTAAGTGAGTGTGCCAGTACCAATGTTTGTGGTATAAGAAGGTAGTGAAAAATGGACATTTACAGCATAAAATAAATAATGGTGGTATACACATATTATGAGGAAAAGACTTAATGTTCACCAGTCATGTTGCACTCACTCAGCAATCACTATATATTGGAGTATCTAGTAGTATCTAGTAGAGGGCAATTGGTATCAATGGAAATATATGATGAAGATGAGCACCAGCGAAAAATCTGACTCCCAGTCTGCCATGGCCATAAAGAGGATGGTGACTGGTCATATCCCCTCTGAGTAAATACTATAGGGTCATGCATCTTTTAAGGGCCGGTACACACTATTGCAGAGCGGGAAACAGTGCGGACATGAATCGCACCGCATTCCTGTTCAAATCAGATGCGATTCTTTGCAGTGTGATTTTAGCCATTAATTTTGTATGACTCAAATCGCACCGCACTCACAGGAAGGGTGCATTCACTTCTTTTTTTTGCACTGGAATCAAATTGCATGGTTGTTCACACCCATGCGATCCGATTCACCCAATTACACTGCATTCTTCAAACGTTTTTTGGGGCATTGTTAATATAACATGGACACCCGCAGCGGTTCACATGAATAGAGGGTGATTTTGAAGCGGTGCAGGAAACGTACTGAATTCGCTGTGAATCATGCACCACATCAGTGTGAACTGATTAGCAGTAATGAAGTTACTCATCTGAAGGGTAAGAATTTGAACCTTTCAATATTAAAAAATGGTCGTAGTTTACAAAGTATTTAACTGGGTTGATGTTTTAAATCATTTTCAGCTACACCTGGAAGGTACCTATTTCATATCTTAAAGGTGGTGGACAAAGAGGAAATATGTGGCTTCAACAGCGTTTAGGTATGTAATATAGTTTATTTTTTAATTTACATGATAAGCACCCTTACAGCTGTGGCAAAATGCAGGTCAACATAGCACAATTTTTTTTGCGATATAAACTAAAAAGAACAAAAATGTTGAAAAAAACAACAATATTTTTTACTTTCTGCTACAAAACATATCCAATAAAAAAATTTAGAAAATTTAATTTCTTCAAAATTTTGACCAAAAGTCATTCTGCTACATGTCTTTGATAAAAAAAAATCCTACAAACTATGGTATATATACTGGATCAGCGACTTATAACAGGACTTTCAGTGCAGTGGGCAATCTGCAACTAACTGATGCAGGGGGAATGACTACCTGCCACTGACATCACCAGTGACATTGATACGGCGATCAGTGATAATATTATACACTGTCACTGTACTAATGACACTGGCTGGGAAGGGGTTAACATCTAGGGTAATCAATGGGTTAAATGTGTGACTAACTCTGTCTAATGTGTGTAAAGTGTGCTGCTTTTACTAAGAGATCTCTAAGTTTCTCATGCCCACAAAGCAGATATCATTCCCTCTGTAAGAGCTCTGAGCTGTGATTGTACACAGCCGATCAGCAGGTACCAGCCGTGAATCATTGGCCAGGACTTACTGACAGGCTCCCGCTGTGTACAATCACAGGGGGTATCTGCCAGGGGGCATACACGCATGTTGGAGTTTTGGTACGTGGGTGCACTAGGGCCCTGGCTGCCATTGTGCTACATGCTAGGGTCCTGTGCGCTCCTTTGCCTTTAAGAGGGGTGGGCTCCCTCAGGTACACCTGCCCTTGATCTATCCATTAAATGCATGTGCCTCTACTATGGGGACTCTCAGAAATTGTAGAGTTAGGACCACAGATTATCAGGGTGCCGTGACGTGGCTCTGTGGCTTACGTATGTATTTGCAAATGTGTGCTAACTAAACCCCTGTTATAAACGCATACTGCTAGACAGGTTAATGCAGTTGTTAGCAAGCTGGCTGGCAAGTTGTCCAAGAACATTGTTCTCTCCCCTTTATTCGGCATACATACATGTACCTGAAAGCCAGAAGTAGGCAGCGATGTACGGGTACGTCACTTTGCCTACAGTGGTCCCCATCCATAGTACATTGCAGATAGGCAGTCTCTAAGTGGTTAGAGGTGGTAAGTAGTATATTGTCAGTCCTCAGAATGTGTGTACTAGTGCAATCATTACACTGAGTTATTTTACATGACAATAAAACAAACTTTAATTTGCATTTCTTCTCCATTCCAGACAGAAATGATGTATTTAGGGTATCTGGAAATGACTGGATTCTCGTCAACCTTGATGTCACCGGATACTACAGGGTTAACTATGATGACAGAAACTGGGATAGACTTCTCCATCAGCTGAACAATGACATATCAGTAAGTAGATGGTGTGACTTTACACTCTCATCCTAGATCTGCACAGAGATTTTCCAGCTTGCAGGACAATAATCTTAGCAGATTGGCAATGACTATCATTATGGCCAGTTAAAAATTAACACAAAGAAATGGTAGCCACCATTTTTTGACACACCCACTTACAGCATCCACTGTTGAAATTCTGATCTTTAGGAAATGTCTGTGAAATGCGCTGCCACGGCCAGACAGAAATCCAACAGTAAATGTTTACCACTGCTCAAGGTAGAGCGACTCCCAATCTCCAAGCACAACTCCTCCTGTAGGTGCTAGTTCAGCTCATGTGCTGCATAGATGAAAAGAAAGGAAGTCCGATCGGCTGTACTCCAAACAATCCAAACTCCAATACACACAGTGGAAATACAGTGGGGGACTGGCGGGTACCTGCCAGTCCCCCACTATATTTCCACTGCCTATACTGGTTTTATCTTGGTTCAATAAAGTGGATTGTTTGGAGTGCAGCCGATCGAACTTCCTATGTTCTCAGGAATACAACAATGTTCTAAAATGTGGTAGCCCTCACAGAAGCAAATATTCGTTAATTTCTTATTACAACATTCAGAAATTCAAATTACCGATTTTTAAAATATCATTTTATTGAACAAAAAAAAATGGTGCAACAAATAAGTTACAGAAAAGATATTACAAAACAAAAAATAAGCAACAGTAAAATAAACAGTGACCCTGTTACTTAGAGCACAGCTCCAAATGCCCATCCAACCCACTCCAGTGACCCACTACGATTGGGTGCTGCTGTGTAAATGCCCGTCCTCACCTGCTGTACAAAGTATGGCTCAGAGACGCCACACTCCTAAGCAGCCTATGTACTGGATCACTAGATGGAAAGCGTGGATGGACCGCCAAGGCTTCGCCCAGGTCATGGCCTCTGAAGTGTTTTGCCCCTCCCACAGGGCCTAATCATAAGGGTACATAGGCTGCATAGGAATGTGTTGTCTCTGAGTCATACTTAATAAAATAAACAGAATTGAGAGTGAAAGTTTGCCTGGTCTTTGATTCTGTGGAAAGTAAATCCAATCTGATATATCACAGTCAATGGCTTTCAGAAATGACACTTACAAATTCTTTATAGTTTCAATGGTAAGGGGGAGCTGCTGCACTGTAAATGCAGCCATCATTTCTGTTCCCCAAAGAGGACCTTTACAGAAATAACAGAAACAACCAAAGGGACTGCAGGATGTGCTGAACGGGTGTTGACATATTTTATTCTGCTCCAGTGAACACTCCTTTAATGGCATATATTATAATTACATTTATAATTCCAAATGACAAGGTTTCACAATCTGACAGTCAACATTATTATGCATGAAATTACAATTTGATAGACACCAAATATGATATGGCTCTCAGACACATTTTACTTAAAGTGGAACTTGACCCAAAAGGGGAAGTTCCACTCTTCCTCCTGCTCCCCTTCTCATCCTACAGATTTGACACATCATTTTTTTGGGTCCCCACTCCCACACTTCTGGTCAGATCACCGCAGTGATCTAAGCAGGAGTTTAGCCCCCCCGCAGCCTTCTGGGACATGTCACAGATCCCAGAAAGCTGCGGGACCAATCAGATAGTGTAACAAAGCTTGTGCATGTGCAGTGAGCAGCTGGCTGTGAAGCTGCAAACTGTCACAGCCGGTTGCCCACAGTTAGTATGCCGGAGCTGGGGGCGGAAGCCCGGTGAAGAAACCGCCTGGGTGAAGACACTGCTGGATCCAGGGATAGATGAGTGTCTAATTAATAAAAATCAGCAGCTACAGTTCTTGTAGCTGATGACTTTCAATTTTAAAATTTTTTATTACAGGACTGAAGAACCACTTTAACAGGTGTAATGTATATCATTAGCCTGCGGGACATTGTAGCATTTGCCTGTTTGGTGTCTAACTGATTGGGGTCTTCTCATAAAGCATTGTATTTACTTTCTGGATGTAACTCCCTCATGGCAATATGAAAAAAAAATTATCTCAATGGAATATGAACCAGAGTTGGGCTTTGGTAGTAAAGAAACAGATCAGAATGTGTATACTGCTCTGCTAGACTGTTTACAACTTGGTGATTTTATGACAGGGACTAATTAGAAATTATTTGAGGATTCTGCTAAAATTTTCATGACCCACCAGAATTCAATCTAAATGATCTGCTTTGTATCAATGTGCAAACTGGACTCAATGGACTTTCTCAATGTGTAACTTTCTGGCTGTCTACCCCCAGCAGTAAAGTAGCACAAGTGGCAAAACTTTTTTTTTTTTTCATTTTGGATAGAGCATGGGAGGGTTAACTCCTGTCAGACTTTTTTTTACCATCTGTGTCTCATTGGTGACATTTACCTTGATTTCCTGTCCCATAGCCAAACAGGAAGTAAGAGGAAATCCCTAGAAATTAAGGGAATTCCTTAGGGACTCCCAGGTCACAAGAACTAGTGTCCCCATTGGGAGATTTCCCCTCTATTATATTTCTGGAGACAACCCAAAATTTAGGAATTTCTCTTACATTCACTTTCAATGATAATGGTAAACAGGACAAATAGAGAGGGTGAATATCCTTAACAGGGGCACAGACAGCAATAAAAACTGACAGGGGTTCTAATACCTCTCCACGCAATCCAAAGCTGAAAATAAAAATTTCCTTCCTCTAAACATTTTGTTAACGAATTGTGAATTTGGGGGGGGGGGGGGGTAGCACTATGTATGACTTCACCATTCTCTCAGTAGTTTGGGGTCATCAGAACTTATTATTGTCACAGATGGTAACTCTATTGTGATAGCCAAAATGTGATAGCCAAAATGAATTGCTCAGTAGGGTTCAATTTACTAATATAATAAAGACTCTTGTAAAGGGTCGTGATGAAAATGAGTGACGGAATTCCCCAGAGCAGCTTTATATGTAGGTAAAATTGGTAGTATTCATATTTGCTGTAACAGAAAATATTAATCAAGCCTTTTTTTGTTATTACTGTTGTATTCTTTTGGGCCTTTCTATGTCCAAATGGTAAGTTAATTGCACCATCTTAGTTTCTTCTGAGCATTACAATGCATTTCAAAACAGATATTTTCAAAAGATTGTGAAAGTCTTTAAATTAAAGCGGTATTAAACCCAAAAAAACATTTTAATATTGCAGCTTACCGATCCGTAGGTGTGGTGGCTGCATCAGCTTTTTTTTTCTTTGACATTTTCCCGTTTTCACCTGGTGATCCAGCCAGTAAGTACAAACCTCCGGTATTAGTGAGACACAACTCTGGTGGAATGAAAACAGGACACAGCAGACAAAAGCATTGTCAGTCTGGGGGGAAGGGGAGTGTTAAATGTACCAGCAGATTTAAATACAATAACAAATTGAAGCCAACATCCAGCTCACACTTTATAGTCAGGTACAGCAAACAGTTTTTTCCTTCTGGGATAAAGGTTTTACACAAATAAATAAAAGCTGATCATTGTAAAACCCCTGCTGTTAACTGTTAAATGGTCTGTCTCATCCATGTAAATTGATACATTCTGCTATAGAGCTTGTACAGTATTTCTGAAACACAACAGACTTGCTGGCTGGATCACCAGGTGAATATAGAACAAAGAAAGCCTAAAAAAATAAAATGAATACAGCAATCACATCTAAGAAATGATAAGCTGCAATATCATAAATGTTTGCTTTTTTAACCCTTTAGGTAGATTTCATTGTGCTATTCTACTGCATCTACAGGCACCATATACTGAAAAGTTTCTGTATGTTCCATTTGCACCATCAGAGGTTTCCTTCTTCATCTGACATATTTATCCACAGTACAGACTCCATGTGTAGCTCTGGCTCATTCTGTATGACCTTTGTGCTAGTCAAACAACATTTTCTAAAAATTCTGAACCCCCTTGATCATTATCTCTGCAGGTGGTGTAGATCTTTTGTGAGTGCTGTCCTCCATACGTGGATGGGTACATTGTTTAAACTGTAAAGATCATGTGACAGTTTGATTCCATGTTTTGCAATTTGGCACCATTACAAGTGAAATTACAGCTGTCTCTAAGCAGAGGAAATAAATATGCATGTGTATATTTTCTGAGCATGTATAGCACAATGAAGGAGAAGTACCTTATCCAATATTTGCTTTGCAGGCAATTCCTCTCATCAACAAACCGTGCTCAGATCATCGATGATGCCTTTAATTTAGCCAGGTCAGTTATTAAGATTTAATATTTCTGTGGAATGTTCTGTGCTTAAAAGAGAAGTATGAGTTTTATTAAAAACAAATAAACAATATACTCACCTACGTGGATGCAGCATTGATCCGATGCTGGATCTGTCCCCCCGCCAGCTCTAAGACTGAGAACTGAGTGATCAAAGACCACTGATTGCTCAGTTCTAAGTGTTCCATGAGCAGAGAGCTGGTGACTGTCAGTCAGGAGCTCTCTGCCCTGCCCCTGCGGTACTCAATGGAGCACTGGGCTGTGGAGGGGTGGGAGCGGCAGGCTCAGTCTCCCAAAGGCATAGCTGAGAGGCTGAGCCAGGTGCCAGTCCAGGCTTCTGGGTGGATCTTGACCATATGGTTGGAATCTTTTCAGAGCCTTGATCGGCTCGGCTTTAGTCCACTGTCGGCTGAAAGTGGGTCACAGGAGTGCAGAATAAACTGCACTCCTGTCTGGGATCCATAGAAGTATAGCCTAAAAAAATTAGGGATGCACTTGTTATCAAGTTTTTAGCGATGACCAATTACCGATACCTATTATTTTTCATGCAGTGCGGTGCGATTTGAGCCATACAAAGTGAATGGGCTGGAAAAGAATTGCATGTGATCTGAACAGGAATGCGGTGTGATTCCTGACCAAATCACATGCAGTTTTTCCTGCTTGTGCGATGCGATTCGCAGTAAGCTTTGAGCCACACAAAATGAATGGCTCAAATGCACTGCAAAGAATCGCGTGATTTGAACAGGAATGAGGGTTACGGTATACTTTTACTGTGGGATGTATCAATATTATATGTATCTACACGATTTGTAACTGCACTGAGTGTACAATTCCACTGGGGAGTACACTCTTTGCAGAGGATTTTAATAGATTGTTCTACGTCTATGTATGTTCAATAAAGCAATAATTTTAATTAATACTGTTGTAGTGCCCATAAGGTCCACTCAATGGCCCACTTTATTTCCCAATAGTCCTGTCTGAATCACATGTGGTTTCCTGCATCGCAAGCCTAGGTTCACACAAAAAAAGTATCGGTTTTAGGTATCGAAGCAATACTACAAGTACTCATGCAAGTACTTAGTATTGGCACCAATACCGGTATTGTTATCAGTGCAACCCTTACAAAATAGCTTTGGCTATACTTCCCCTTTAAGGTTGTCATCCATTACTGTAATGGGATGACATTACCCAACAATGTAGACCCTCCTTAATTTAAATCTCTATTATATGAATGAAATTAGTAGAAAGAAAGATACACTGGTGGACATTCATCAATGTTGTATCACAGTGAGGCAATGCTAAATAGGAGCAATGAGACCGATTTAGCGACAGATTTACTACAAGGTCACAGCTTGATTTTAAAGTGACACTGATAGAATAAAACCTGACCTTGACCATTTCTAAGGCCCCATTCATACTTTGCAATTTGGGATCAAAGGCAGAATCGCCGTCATTCTGCCCGCAATTCCAAATGGCATGGCAATCGCTGCAAAATGGGATGCGGATTGGGTGTCATTATCCCTTAATGGCTCCCCAAACATAATGTGATTCTACCATGATTGTCACGTGTCAGGATCACATGGCAATCACAGCAAAATGCGCCTTTAAAAAAATCACACAAAGCTTGTCACCCAAACAAGAGCAGAAGATTCTTTTTGGGTGACAAACACACATAGGGTGGCCTATTCAAGTGAATAATCTGACCCTATGCGACACACAGAATCAGGTGAGAATCGCACTTTGAAAATCATGTGACGTTTGTACACAATATGTGATCAGGGCCTTAATTGTGCATCTGTTTAGAATTAAAATCGCTCATCTACAGTGATAAATCTTGGAACTTTGCAACGCTGCCACAGTTGGCTGCCAGGGATTACAGGTGTAAAGGTCGCAAATACACAGAAATACTGTCACACAGACTTTGCTAAAAGAAAAGCCAACTGTGTTGTTAATTTGCTTGACAGAGCAAGAAACAGAAAAGTGTCAGTATATTTAGGGCCCTTTCACACGGGCATTCTGATCAGATCCACCTGTCAGTTTTTCTGGTGGATCAGAACAAAAGCATGTTAGTCTATAGGCAGGTAGATGTAAACAGACGTGCTACTGTTTACATTCAATTACCTCCGATTCCCTCTAGGTCCGAAAAGGTCTGCTTCTTTTTTGTTTTTTTTAGACCTAAATGTGACATGTCAAAGTAAAAAGATGTAAATAAATGCATGTCTATTTAAATCTGCCTGTCTATAGAGCTAATATGGGTCTATTAAAGTATTACTAAACCCACAACAGTAAAATCGGTCTGTATATGCAGTAAAGCATGCTTGTTATACTCACTTTGGAACCTAAGGGGGGTTAATCCTCTGATTTGCATAAAAAGGATATTTGATCCTGTCTCCTCTGATCCTTCTCTTTTTCTACTGTCCTCAATCCATCTGCTGATAGAACAGAGCCTTGGGGGGAAAGTCTGCAAATGCTCCGTTTGGTGTGTATTGTTAAAAAGTTTCTTTTTTCTTGGGAGAGTTCATGTGATCAGCACAGAGCCAATTAGCGCTGTCCAGACAGGGGGTCAGGGGTTCTGCAGCCTCATAGGACAATCAGAGAGAATGAAAACTCCTCCTACAAGCTTTAGCCAGTGTTCGGCTGGACACTGATAGAAGTCACAAGACTACTATATACTGCTGATGAGAAAAGGTATTTAGCAGTTTATATTTGCTAAAAAATAATTGCATTTCCATGTTCTGTGTACTGTGGGAGACCAGATATAGGGAATGCAGGGTCAAGGGTTTAGTAATACTTTAAGCTCTGGCAGGAAAAAATTAGTATGTATGCACTGTTTATATAATATACTGTATTTGTAAGTTACACTTTCCTCACTCTATAACATTAAGGCCTCATCTTTTCTTCTATAGGACTTTAGCAGCTTTTCTAGGGAAATGGTCTGCTAGCAGCCTCCTGTAACATACAATGGTCTCTTCTGTTTCTAGCTGTCATTTTGAACATGGCTACCATAATAATGATTTTCAGGTAGGGTTGAGTAATGTGTTGTTGAAAAACTGAATAACTACTTGTCTTGAAAGAAATGTTGTTGCATTGTTGACCTACTTCTGAAAATTTAAGCTGTCTCAGGCTTTAAAGTATACTAATGGCAAAACTTTTTTTTTCATTTTGGTTAGAGTGGAGGTGGATTAGAACCCCTGTCAGTTTGTATTGCTGTCTGTTCCTCCATTAGGGACATTCACCCTCTCTATTTGTCCAGTTTACCATTATCATTGAAAATGAAAGTAAAAGAAAATCCCAGATCTGGGGTTGTCCCCAGAAAAATAATAGAGGGGGAATCTTCCAATGGGGCCACTAGTTTCTGGTGTCCTGGGGGCCCCCAAGGAATTCCCACAATTTCCAGGGATTTCCTCCCACGTCCTATTTGGCTATGGGACAGGAAGTGAAGGGAAATATCCCCAATGGGATACAGATGATGAAAAAAGGGGTTATAACCCTCCCTTGCTCTATTCAAAATGAAAAAAATGTTTTGCCTACTTTAATAGTTTCTGAGTTACTGATCCTAAAGAATAAAGCAAATCAGAAACGTCATAGAAATATCAAAAGTCCTTAGTTGCATATTTGTTCTTGGTTTGGGTCACCCTCACAGTCAGGCAACTAGTTTTTTCAAAAGGAGAGGTCAAAAATGGCAGCTTTCCTATTTTTCCTGACAGTTTTTTTTTCAAAGCAATCATTATGTACCAGGCTCCAAAGTATAAATCACATCAGTTAAACCATGCCTGTTTAACCAGGCCCATTTCCAATAGACCACAACCACTTACCGCACAATGATCTACTATCTGACCGTGGAAGTGGCCTTACTCTCATTACATCTGGTGGACTCCTATGACCCTCATCTGATATTACTGTATTTATATATTTTTGCCATATTTAGACATTTTAGAGATTGTAATGTATGTATTGGAATTTTTTTTTAATTTTAGAGCTAAACACTTAAGCACAACAAGAGCCCTTGACACCACCAAATTTCTATCCAAAGAGGTTGAGTACATGCCTTGGCAGGCAGCCCTGAACAGTCTCAGCTACTTTTTTTTTACAGATGTTTGATCGTTCTGAGGTGCACGGACCAATGAAGGAAACCAGCCAGCTACTTATGGCAGTTTTTAAGATATACTTAGGACACCATCTGAGCTATTGCACCTTTAGTTCCCACTAACATCTCAATCTGGTTTAGTGTACCTTTTATCTATTCCATGCTATAGTACTTGCTTCATCTTCTTAACGAGCAGGACGGCAAAGGATGGCAACTGAACTACAGCCAAGAAAAATGTTCAGAATGTTCCTTATTTAGGAGATCAGCATAAATTCTTTCCTTTGTGGTTATGATCCATTTCCAATTCAGGGTGGGAATTGTTCAGGACGTGAAGCAATTTTGAAACAGCAGCTCTACAAAAAAAAACAGATCAAAGTCAAAACAGCTACAAAAAGTTACACCTAACTAGGAATGAGGTTTGATCTAGCACAGTGGTTCTCAACCTTTCTAACACCGCGACCCCTTAATACAGTTCCTCATGTTGTGGTGACCCCCAACCATAAAATTATTTTCGTTGCTCTCTTCATAACTGTAATTTTGCAGTAGGAGGAATAGTGCCCCGTCATTGGTATCAGTGGAGGAATAGTGCCCCGTCATTGGTGTCAGTGGGAGGAATAGTGCCCCCTCATTGGTGTCAGTGGGAGGAATAGTGCCCGTCATTGGTGTCAGTGGGAGGAATAGTGCCCCGTCATTGGTGTCAGTGGGAGGAATAGTGCCCCGTCATTGGTGTCAGTGGGAGGAATAGTGCCCCGTCATTGGTGTCAGTGGGAGGAATAGTGCCTCGTCATTGGTATCAGTGGGAGGAATAGTGCCCCGTCATTGGTGTCAGTGGGAGGAATAGTGCCTCGTCATTGGTGTCAGTGGGAGGAATAGAGCCCCATCATTGGTGTCAGTGGGAGGGAATAGTGCCCCATCATTGGTGTCAGTGGGAGGAATAGTGTCCCATCATTGGTATCAGTGGGAGGAATAGTGCCCCATCATTGGTGTCAGTGGGAGGAATAGTGTCCCATCATTGGTGTCAGTGGGAGGAATAGTGCTCCATCATTGGTATCAGTGGGAGGAATAGTGCCCCCATCATTGGTGTCAGTGGGAGGAATAGTGCCCCATCATTGGTATCAGTGGGAGGAATAGTGCCCCATCATTGGTGTCAGTGAGAGAATAGTGCCCCGTCATTGGTGTCAGTGGGAGGAATAGAGCCCCATCATTGGTAACAGTGGGAGGAATAGTGTCCCATCATTGGTATCAGTGGGAGGAATAGTGCCCCATCATTGGTATCAGTGGGAGGAATAGTGCCTCATCATTGGTGTCAGTAGGAGGAATAGTGCCCCATCATTGGTATCAGTGGGAGGAATAGTGCCTCATCATTGGTGTCAGTAGGAGGAATAGTGCCTCATCATTGGTGTCAGTGGAAGGAATAGTGCTCCATCATTGGTATCAGTGGGAGGAATAGTGCCCCATCATAGGTGTCTGTGGGAGGAGGAATAGTGTCCCATCATTGGTATCATGGGAGGAATAGTGCCCCATCATTGGTATCTGTGGGAGGAATAGTGCCCCATCATTGGTGTCGGTGGGAGGAATAGTGCCCCATCATTGGTGTCGGTGGGAGGAATAGTGTCCCCATCATTGGTGTCAGTGGGAGGAAATAGTGCTCCATCATTGGTATCAGTGGGAGGAATAGTGCCCCATCATTGGTGTCAGTGGGAGGAATAGTGCCCCATCATTGGTGTCAGTGGGAGGAATAGTGCCCCATCATTGGTGTCAGTGGGAGGAATAGTGCCCCATCATTGGTATCAGTGGGAGGAATAGTGCCCCATCATTGGTATCAGTGGGAGGAATAGTGCCCCATCATTGGTATCAGTGGGAAGAATAGTGTCCCATCATTGGTATCAGTGGGAGGAATAGTGCCTCATCATTGGTGTCAGTAGGAGAATAGTGCCTCATCATTGGTGTCAGTGGAAGGAATAGTGCTCCATCATTGGTATCAGTGGGAGGAATAGTGTCCCACATTGGTATCAGTGGGAGGAATAGTGCCTCATCATTGGTGTCAGTGGAGGAATAGTGCCTCATCATTGGTGTCAGTGGAAGGAAAAGTGCTCCATCATTGGTATCAAAGTTGGGAGGAATAGTGCCCCATCATTGGTAATCAGTGGGAGGAATAGTGCCCCATCATAGTGTGTAATGTGGGAGGAGGAATAGTGCCCCATCATAGGTGTCAGTGGGGGGAGGAATAGTGCCCCATCATAGGTGTCAGTGGGGGGGAGGAATAGTGCCCCATCATAGGTGTCAGTGGGGGGAGGAATAGTGCCCCATCATAGGTGTCAGTGGGGAGAGGAATACTGCCCCATCCTTGGTGTCAGTGGGGGGAGGAATACTGCCCCATCCTTGGTGTCAGTGAGGGGGGAGGAATACTGCCCCATCCTTGGTGTCAGTGGGGGGAGGAATCGTGCCCCATCCTTGGTGTCAGTGGGGGAGGAATAGTGCCCCATCGTTGGTGTCACTTGGGGGAGGAATAGTGCCCCATCGTTGGTGTCAGTGGGGGGAGGAATAGTGCCCCATCCTTGGTGTCAGTGGGGGGAGGAATAGTGCCCCATCCTTGGTGTCATGTGGGGGGAGGAATAGTGCCCCATCCTTGGTGTCAGTGGGGGGAGGAATAGTGCCCCATCCTTTGGTGTCAGTGGGGGGAGGAATACTGCCCCATCCTTGGTGTGTCAGTGGGGGGAGGAATACTGCCCCATCCTTGGTGTCAGTGGGGGGGAGGAATACTGCCCCATCCTTGGTGTCAGTGGGGGGGGATTGGAATACTGCCCCATCCTTGGTGTTAGTGGGGGGAGGAATACTGCCCCATCCTTGGTGTCAGTGTGAGGGGGAGGAATCGTGCCCCATCCTTGGTGTCAGTGGGGGGAGGAATCGTGCCCCATCCTTGGTGTCAGTGGGGGGAGGAATCGTGCCCCATCCTTGGTGTCAGTGGGGGAGGAATAGTGCCCCATCGTTGGTGTCACTTGGGGGAGGAATAGTGCCCCATCGTTGGTGTTAGTGGGAGGAATAGTGCCCCATCGTTGGTGTCAGTGGGAGGAATAGTGCCCCATCGTTGGTGTCAGTGGGAGGAATAGTGCCCCATTCAATTGGTATTAGTGACACCAATATGGGGCACTATTCCCACTGACACCAATGATACTTACCTTGCTGACCCCTGCTCCGAGCCTGGGGGGCTCGCTCGCTCGCAACTCCCTCTCCCATGGAACACACTTACCTGTCAGCTGTCTTCCTTCTCCGGCCGCTCTCCTCCTCTTCACTCGCTCCATCTTCGCTTCCATCTCCATGTCATCCCGCCCCACACCTGGAGACGGCGGCGGCGGCGGCGGCGAGGAGCGGTGTCTCGGTTCCTAAGACCATCGGAAATATGTGTTTTCCGATGGTCTTAGGCGACCCCTGTGGAAGCGTCGTTCGACCCCAAAGGGGTCGCGACCCCCAGGTTGAGAACCGCTGATCTAGCAGGTTAAAGATTTGAAGCCCCAGTGAATCAATATGGAAATTCACCAGACTAAATTCTTTGTACTAATGTACTGCCTGGCAGTGTGCGCTCTAGTAGGAACATAAGAGGGATAGTGTCACTAATCCATGCCTTATCACAGCTTACCAATTTATTCTCCCTCTTCAAAAGGGCCAAAATGGTGCATACATCCTAGATGATGAGCCTCCACAGAGCCAATCACAAAACCAAAGTCACATAGAAGAGGTGGAGGGGGAAGAGGTGATGGAGGGGGAAGAGGTGATGGAGGAGGCTAAGAAGGAGTAGAAGGAGGAGGAAGAGGTCACAACAGCAATGCTGAACACCTAAAACCTCCATGTGGTAGAACCTCTGGAAAGTCTAAAAGGAAGCTTGTCTCCTTTAGGCTTGCCTGTCATTTTTTTTTAGGATGGCCCTTATTTGCAGAAAGGCAGGCAGCCTATGGCCACAGGATTATTTTTAATTAATTTTGCTGCTGCTTGCTCCCTCTGATCGTAGAATTTGACTCTTCCGTTTGCTGTGACTGCCCCATGGTGTGAAAGGGTGTGCCTATGGCCAGTGCTTTAGGGCCTATGCCCTCAGGTTTTTCCCCTGAAGCTATGCCTCCAATACCCTGACTATAATGAAATAAATATAAAAAATACAACTGGCTGCTGAGAGCCTGGAGAAGAAAGACTACGCTGGCAAAGCAGAGGATCTGCTGCTGATGTGCCTGGCCCCTGTTGTGTGCAGCACAAGTACTGCATCAATACAAAAAATACAGAAAAATAAGAATAAAAAATTTACATATGATAAAATAAAAAAAAAATAAGAATACAAAAATAACATAAGTAAAAACAAAAATAAGAAAATTGTGGTTGGGAATCTGCCACTCTGGAGCAACCTAAACCATCCACTATACTATATGGCAGAGGTCAGAAGTCAGAGATGGAGTGTTCAAACATTCTCCTGGTTCCAGTCCTAATCAGTTTAAAGGGTTCTGTTGGGATTAGTGGGGGAGAAGGAATAGAGTGCATCAGCAATGCTAGCTTTTTTTTCTAACAACAAACATGCACAATTCTGGGGCTACTACTTCTGCCAGTCAGTCCACCCAAAAATAGTATTTTTTTTAACTGATATCAATCAAATGAGAGTAGATTGGGGTACCGCTGCTGTCTGTCTGTAATTCCTCAGAAAAAAATATGAAGTGCACTGTAACAGAGTACGTCCCTTAAATCCAAAGACAATATCAGGATCTACCCAGGGGCGGACTGACCATTTGGAAACTCGAGCACTGCCTGAGGGCCCGGGGTCAGTAGGGGGCCCCATGAGATGCCCCTGGTACCTTTTTCATAGGCTTTTTTGAGTTTGGGCAAGGGCACAGGGGCCCCATGATCCCCTATTGCCCGAGGGCCCCATGAGTTGTCAGTCCGCCCCTGGATCTACCTAATCTATCCAATCAATTTGTATCCAATCAGGCAGGCCCTTGCACTACATTGTTGTTGTTAGATCTAAAGGAGATTGTGCAATCAGATTGTAATGTGCACAGTGAGTAATGCAGGCCATAGACGGCTCGTTTATCGGCCGAATTTTCGTCCGCACAAAAAATCAGCCGATATTCACGCCGTTAGTAGGGCAATGCTGTCGGCCGTTTTTTCGTGGATCTTCTCATTTCTTTTCATCAGTCATGCTGGAAAATCCATGAAAAACTGCCATTTTTCATAGACATTGGTGGCAGCATTGGTGACAGCAACGACTGATTTTTCGTTTTATCGGCTGACAATTCGGCCAATAAACGGCCCGTCTATGGCCAGCCTTAAAGATTATGACAATGTAGGTTGTATTTGGGCTTAAAGTTGAACACTTGGATCAGAAACCTTTCAACTTGCTACCACCGTGTATATATATTCTGTGTATCTAGGAAACAATCCAGGACTTTTTTAAAGCAATCCACTGAGCCAGAACCAACTCTTGAGGGACACCTGATATAAGATGGCACTCTGATGGGGACCCTAATGTAAAGTGGCACTCTGATAGAGACATCTGATATAAGGGGGAACATGTTTTGTTTAATCATCCTAATCTAATAAAAACCTAATACATAATGGTGTTTCCCAGGTCATGAGACTTTGTGACAGACTGTCAGTGACTCACACACAGTGCTGACATTATGCCCCCTGACTTTTTTTTTACTGCACCCCCAATCAGATTGGCTAGATCCGGCCCTGGTGCATATCACATAATATATGGCCAGCATAAACTAAACATGTCATGTTTCTCTGCAGGCCTACATGAGACAGCAAGTTGCACCATTATTTTTGTACTTTAAGAACAAGACGAATAACTTTACTGAAAGAATGCCAACTTTAACAGAGCAGTAAGTACTATAGGATGTCCATCTTCTTAGGAGCTTGTTGCAGACAGTGCAGGCTGGTTTAAAGAGACCTTGTTATCAACTTATAAAATGCAGGTAAAAACACAAAAAGTAAGTAGTTTAAATAATTACTTGCAGTTTTTTTTCCTTTTCAGAATTTTCATTATTCACTTGCTATGTACCTTTGCTAGAAAATTACACTACTCCAGGGAGACCAATTTTCCAAGCACAGCCCCCTCCCTCCTTGCACACCATAACCATCTCCTCTTCTGGGATTGTCTATTTACCGGTATATTCTGTGCAGGCCCAGCTCCTCTGCCTCTCACTTCACCCACTTACTAAACTATGAGTCTTCTGAGGCTGCTGACATTGCATCCAAGATTGTGGCACCCAGCAGCAGTCTCATGGCTTCTGGATGTCTACACAAGGAAGGCTTTTACAAGTCAATAAAATACATTAAATGCACATATAATCCTATGGGAAGGTTTTTGTTAAAATGAATGGTGTGATGACAGGGTCTCTTTAAGCACAGTGTAACATAGTATACATACTGAGATATATGGATATATTTTTATTGACTAGACTATGTAATTAATTTACCATACAATATGATTAGTGAGTACTTAATTGTCTGAGGATTATAAAGGATTTTTGTTTGTTACAACAAAGTGTACCATGTTTTATGAAGGTTTTTTCTTTTTTTTTTCTTGATCAACTGCATGTTTTGGGCATTTTTATCATGTAAATTTTTTTGTATCACTGACAGTATGGCCTTGCTTTTGGTTCATATTCAAAATGAAACAGGAATATTTATGCTGGAGGTGTAACACAGGCGCTGTGGTCAAGCCATGTAACTAGATGTAAACCCTAACTGAATGGTATTTCGTTTTTGGTTAGCACAGTGGCATAGTGGTTAGCCCGTATGCATTCCAGCCGTGGGGTCCTTGGTTTGAATCCCAACCAGAACACTACTTTTATGGAGTTAGACATGCTAGCTGGTTAATTGGATCTTGTCTAAATTGTCCTTGGTACCCTGCAGTTGGAGATAAGCGGGAAGGAGTACCTGCAGAAAGCCCACACAAGCACAGGGAGAACATGCAAACTCCAAGTGTCATGCTTGGGATGTGATCTACCTAGTGATGCAAGGCAGAACTGCTAACCACTAGGTCATTGTATTGAAATTTAATATAGGGGCTTTGGACTCAGCCATGTAATTATTTTGCACCCATATAGTCCCAAACGGAAAAATATCACAATTAAACCTAGAGTTCACCCCCACTCTAGCCTGATAGTTAGACCTAACTGATATTAGGCCATAAGCGCATTCCCCTTTAGGTGGGCCGCAGATGTACTCCTTGTTCAGGACAGAGGCAGAAAGCGGACTATGTTTCCATTTTCGGGGGTGTGGCGGAGTGGCTCTCAATAGAAAAACAAATGTCCCGGCCTCTTCTATAGCTATCTGCCGAAGCGTCCGGCAGGTTGATATTACAGATGCCGGGGGTCTAAGGAACAGAGGCACGAGGGATTACTCCGCCGCACCCAAAAATGGAAAAATAGTCCGCTTTCTGCTGGTCCCCCCTAAGGCTCCATGTACACGGGACACTTCTGAATGATGGAAACTGACTGCTGGAAAACGTAGGTTAAAAAACGTCTGTTTAGCCGCTTTGTATACCGCGTTTATGCATATTTATGTACGTTTGCGTTTAGAAACGTTTTAAAGATATTTTAAAGATAACATCAGGAGACCTTCCAGAATGCCCAGAATGCACTGAAAACAGTAAAAAAATTAACTTCTGCAGGCATTTTGAGAGAAATAGAGAGAGCAGAAGCAGAGAGAGCAGTATTTGCTGAGATTAGCTGTCTTTTTATGTTTGTTTGTGGTGTTTGGATGTGTTCCGGCTCATTTCTGTGCAGAAATTCTTGCAGCAGTGTCTAACATATTTTCTTTCATGCGAAACCTCAAAGTATGGTGTACCAGGTCCATTTGAGTATCGGGAAAACACTTTGCATGCATTGTTCATGATGAAAAAAGGCTCTGGACAGCATCTGGAAATGGAAGAGTTAAAAAATTTTCCAAACGCAAATGCTTATAAACACTGTTAGCCACGTTTAAAAGCGTTTGGCGTTTGAAACACTGATAAAGTCTACTCCTGAACGCAAGTTTGGTGCATTCAAAAAAACGACTGTAAACTCAACTGTCTGTAAACGACGATGTGTACATGGACACATAGGAAAACATTAGGGTGAGTTCAGTGGCTGCTGAAAAAATGCAGAAAAGCTCCTAAATGTGAGTTTATCAGCTGCAGTGTACATGGAGCCTAAAGCTAAACAAATGGAGTTGGGGAAAGTTTTTTATTTTTTAATAGCTCTAGGTTTCCTAAGAAGTAGGCAGTTTTATCTGTAGCTGTCCCCGCCCCCAGCCCTGATTTCAGATTCTTAGACACAGTTCGGGACTGAGCAATGGCGGGACAGAAATAAAAAAATCGGGACTGTCCCAGGCAATCTGTGACAGTTGGCAAGTATGCTAAATGTGGAAAATCAGAAGTGGAATCTGATTACTGTAAGAAAAATTATTTTCTTTTCAACACTTTTACCATGTTGCTGCCACATTTGTCAGTTTTGTTTTTGGGCTTTCACATATGATGTAAATGTTTGATTATTCACAGTATTGGAAATAGTTCTCCCAAATATTTTCCCATATGTTTATCATTTTCTCTACAGATACACTGAAATAATCGCAGTCAGCACAGCCTGTGCATATGGAATCACAGAATGTAGAGAACTAGCAACTCTGCAATTCAGAGATTGGATGGAAACAAATGTGAATAAGTACGTACAAAACCAACAAATGGCTTCCTAGTGACATCTAAGGGCTCATACACACTTGGCTTAAAAAAACTCCACTTTTACAGGCGTTCTGCGGTTTTTTTTTTCTGCTTGTAAAGACACCTCTGTGTTGGCCTATGTGTCCATGCACACAGAGATATTTACAGGCAGAAAAGAATCCCATCCTCAAGAGAGGAGCTTGTAGGCCTGGTTCACACCTGCGCATTTTTCAGTGCTTTTTGCATTTTGCAGAAACTTTCTACAGTCCATTTAACATGGTTTCCTATGAAACACGTTCACATCTCAGCATTTTCATCTGCTGTGTTTTTGGATAGGGTCAGGGACTTTTTTTCTCGCAGCAGATTGCAACATGCATAGGTGTGAACCAGGCCTTACTCCCCGGTCACACCGATCCTGACTTTGAAATCGTGTGACTTACAGTGAAGTCGCACAATTTCAAAGTCAGGATGTCATGCCGATTTCAGGTGCGATTTGCAAGAGATCTGACAATGATGTCTATGCAGATCGCACCAGACGTAGTGCATGCACTACTTTGGAAATCAGAGCGGCTTGAGCCAAGTCGGGACCACACCGATATGAATGATGTGCTTGCGGACAATAGGGTGTGACTTGGCATGCGATTGGCAAGTCGCATGGCATACCAATCGCATGCCAAGTCACACCCAGTGCGACCAGGGTCTTAGGCAGAAAAACCGCCTGACATGTGTAAACGCATCTGTTTAGCACTCACCCAAGGAAATACATTCTAAATTCTTACAAAGCCATCCACAACTTTGACCCCAGCTGCATCACTAACCTAGTCTGTAAATAATAACCTAATAGTTCTCTTTCTTCCTCCCAAGATCTCCTGCTCTCTAGCTTCCTTGTGACCCCTTCCCATGCTCACCTCCAGGACTTTTCCTGAGCCTCTCCCATCCTATGGAACTCCCTACCCCAATCTGTCCAGCTATCTCCTACTCTGTCCACTTTTAGGCAATCCTGGAAACCCTTCTCTTTAGAGAAGCCTATCCCACCCCCACCTCCACCTAACAATTGTATTTCCACTTTCTCCATCAGCTTATCCCCACAGTTATTATCTTTTGGATCACTTAACCCTCCCTTTTATATTGTAAGCTGTGCAGGACCCTCTGATTCCTCCTGTATTGAATTTAATTGTAACTGTACTGTCTGCCCTCATGTTATAAAGTGCTGCGCAAACTGTTGGCGCTATATAAATCCTGAATAATATTAATAATGACGTCCAATGTAAGGCTTTGCGTACATGTACATTTTTTTGTGCATTAGCATTGATTTCGATTGGCTGCACTACACATAATACACACAGCAAAATGCACCTAATTTGACCATGTGTACATTTTGCCACATTTGTTGCGTGTTTATTTATGTGAAAAACTTGGGGTGCTATTAACAAAGAATGGCAATGCACTAACACACTTTGTTTTTGCGTTTCATGAACGTGAGTAAAATTGCACGATTTTACATACATGCACAAAGTGTATGTATGTATTTTATCATAGGTATGCATTAATACACAATATTCTCCCATCTACGGCTAGGTTCACACCTATGCAAGTTGCATTTGGGCTATTTCTTCATTGCATTTTGCATTGCGTTTTGCGTTTTCGCACCTGCATTTTTTACGCGTTTTTGATGCGGTTTTCATTTTTTTTTCATTTTCTTACATTTTTCTTGTTGGTCGGCAGATTTAAAACGCATCAAAAACACACTATATGCTTTTTCTGCAGCATTTCCATTGAAGTCTATAGAACCAAAAATGCAACTTTTTGTGTTCAAAAAAGTCCCTGACCCTTTCCAAAAACACACACCAGGTGAAAACGTGGAGATGTGAACCTGTCCCATAGGAAATCATGTTAAATGGACTGTACTGCGTTTCTGCAAAACGCTGCGGAAAACACGTAGGTGTGAACCTAGAGTAAGTCTAGGTTCACATCTCCACATTCCTGCGGGCTGCATTTTCAGGGGGCACGAGAGCCCATTCATTTGGATGGACTCTCGTGCCCCGGGACACGCAGGGAAGAAGTATCTGCACTTCTTCAGAAAACGCAGTTCAGTTCCCTGTACGGTTGCGATTTCCAGTGCGGCCGGCGTGTCAGAATCAATAGCACCCGCCCGCCGGTCCGCATTCCTCTGTGCGGGTGGTGCGGCTGTACGGATTTTTATGCGGATCCGCAGTGGCACCACCCACACAGATGTGAACCAGGGGTGACAGAATTCCGCTTATGCTGCAGTCTTTTGAGGACACAGCTTTCAGTTTTAAAATGCCGTGCATGATCACTGATCTTACATTGTGTACAGTGGAATGACCACATCTGAATATAATCCCAGCACTGATACACAAAGTATATCCCAGTATCATTTGTATGTGTCCACAGAATTCATCCAAACCTGAGATACACTATTTACTGCAATGCAATAGCAAGAGGAGGAGAAGAGGAGTGGAACTTTGCGTGGCAAGAATTTAAAAGGACAGATAATGCGCAGGAAGCAGATAAACTGAGAACAAGTCTGGCCTGTAGCAAGGAACCCTGGATCCTTAACAGGTAAGAATTCCTTTAGGAGACGATACTGGAATGGATAGTTATTATTTTTACTATTATTATTATACAGTATTTATAAAGCTCCAACAGTTCGCTCAGCGCTGTACATTACAAAGGGGGACAGAACATGCGACAGTACAATAACAATACAATGCAAAACATGAGGGGATCGAGGGCCCTGCTCTTTCGAGCTTACAATCTAGGCGGGAGGGGATAGTGGTACAGGAGGAAATAGCTGTGGGGGATGGAGTGGTAGGAAGAGTGGAGGAGGTCGGCAAGTTAGCAGGGGGTGGGGTAGGCTTCCCTGAAGAGATGGGTTCTCAGGGTGCGCCTAAAGGAGAGTAGATTAGGTGATAGTCTGATGGGTTGGGGCAGGGAGTTCCAGAGGATGGGTGACACCCTGGAGAAGTCCTGGAGGCGGGCATGGGAGGAGGAGACCAGGGAACTAGAGAGAAGGAGGTCTTGTGAGGAGCGGAGTGTGCGTGCTGGGCCGTACTTGGATATTAGGTCGTTGATGTAGTTCGGGGCAGTATGGTGGACAGCTTTGTACAGCAGTGTTTGGATTTTGAATTTGATCCGTTGTGCAATCGGAAGCCAGTGGAGGGATTGGCAGAGGGGGGTGGCGGAAACGGAGCGGTTGGAAAGGTGAATGAGTGAGTCTGGCAGCCGTATTCAGGATGGACTGAAGCGGGGATAGCCAGCGGCGAGGCAGGCCAGTGAGGAGGGAGTTGCAGTAGTCGAGTCGTGATATGAAGAGGGAGTGGATGAGTTTTTAGTGGTTTCTGGGGTTAGGAATGTGCGGATTTTGGTGATGTTGCGGAGGTGGAGTCTGCATGAGTTTGTTAATAATCGGATCCATCCTGCGGGGATGGTTGGCTTGCTTTACAACTTACCTTTCTGTGGAGCGGGTCCGGTGTCACCCCATGCGGTTGGTGTCACCCGGTGCGGACCGCACCCCATGCACCTGCCTCGGGACGCCACTGTGCACAGTGTATGGGCTTAAAATGCAAATTACATCTGTTGCTGCAGATCCTGGCTGCAGAGTATTTTTTGCTCATAGGAAAGCATTACAGAAAATGCCATGAATGCATGACTGCTGGCGCTGGTGTGAACTTATGCACCCATATAGGTGTATTTTTCAAAACGTTAAATTTTATGTTTTGAAAAATATGTTCATATGCATGCATGACTACACACTTATACCAGCGGTTATGCACACACAGCATTTTATGTAATACAGAAAATACACTACAGCTGTGACTCATATAACACATATATTACAATGTACACCCATATGCTGTACTGCAAGAGGCCTAATAACACTGTTCAACAAACTTTTATTTTTTGCCAGTTTTGGAAACAAAAGGATCCATTTCTTAATGAATTTCACATTCTGAGTTCAAATATAACAATGAAATTTGTCAATTGGCTCTAGTTTTTCTGTAAACGGAAAGTTTTCTACTATAGGCGTAATGACTACATAATGCACAATAATTATATAGATAGATGTCTGTCCACAAATATAAAGCAAGTGATATTGACTACAGGAGATTCCACTGTTGTAGTCTTGACCCCAAAAGCTCTGCCTTGTTCTTCGGAAGATCCAGGTCTCTGATAAGATCGCTCAATTCCACTTGTGTAATGAGGTGTGGTTCAGTGGGTGTGGATGGAAGAAAGTCTGGGTCATGTGAGGTTGACGGTTGATGACTACACGCTTCAGGTTCTTCCTCACTTGACTCAACCACGAAGAATCTGGTGCTTTAGGAATTGGTAGCTCCTCTCCATGAGGAACTGGACGTATTGCCGATGGAATATTTGGATAGTGCACAGATAACTTTTTCTTCTTATTTAGCCCTTTTACAATTGGAGGCACCATACAAAAGTAACAATTACTAACATGATCTGTTGGCTCTCTCCAAATCATTGGCACAGCGAAAGGCATAGATGCCTTTTTTCCATTCAACCATTGCTCCAGTGCCGTCCCACAAGAATTGCAGCATATATGTGGTGCCCAGCTCTTGTCCTGGTCTCCTATCTTGCAGCCAAAATACAAGTTGTAGGCTTTCTTAATCATTCCTGTTATCCTCCTTTTTTGTGAGATAAAAGTTATTTCACCGCAGATATAGCAGAAATTATCTGCTTTATTCACACAAGTTCGAGGCATTACTGAGTAGCCTATATAAGCATAAAACGAAATGTAAAGACACTGTCGAACTACAATCAGCTACAGATACTGCAGCTTTTATGCAGTGAAGTGATGCAATTAAAAGCTAATATTGCATCATCTCAGTATACATGCAATTTTCTATTGGTCACCAGTATCAATTGCGCAATATGCAGCTGAAGTTGCATCATAATTTTGAATGGCTTACGTCATTAGATGGGTGAATATATCATGGAAACTAGAGCCAATCAACATTTTTTAGGGTCATTTTCGTTTTCAGCACCCCAAAATTATGTAAGATTAGCTAATTTTATGCCCAAAACTTTTTACCTGTTGAACAGTGTCATTCAAAATTGGGTATTCAGATTCCTACATAAGCCTAATGTTGTCTGGTTCTCTAACACTTTTGTTGTCCTGTGTTATTAAGAAACCAAAAATGTTAAATTTTTTGACAGCAGAGAGTGTTTTGATGCAGTTCAGTTGATTTAAATGGAAAAGGCATTAGGTTACTTTCAGGAGTTTTTTTAAGTGTTTTTGCGTAAAAAAAAAACGCCTGAAAAGCTCAAGAAAAACGCTTCCCTATATATGTGAATGTATAGCTATGTATGTTTTCACACTGAGATGTTGTGCTTGCAGTGCGGTTTAAAACCTCCTGGTTGCAGCATTTTGGGGCATGTTTGGGGAGTTAAAAAAAACACCCCAAAAATACCTCATCCCATTGAAATCAATGGAAAACGCCTGAAAAGCGCCTCAAAAACACCTGAAGAGCGCCTCAAAAATGCCTCTGAGAAGCGTTTTTGGTGTAGTTTTTAAGTCACATGTCCTTTAAAAACGCTCAGAAAGCGCTGCAAAAAAGCAGTAAAAACACCTATGCGTTTTTGCTGTGTTGTTATGGCGGATCAGTGTGAAAGTAGCCTTAGGCAAAGCCACAAAGTTGTGAATCCAGCCTTATTCCACACCTGTCTCAGTAACCACCTGTCCCGAGAACTGGAAGTGAGCACACAGAGGAAACACAGAAAATTGTATCAAATATTTAATTTTCCTTTCCTGGAGCCAATCCATGGCATCATACATGTGGTAGTATACTGCCATGCTGGCGCCAGGAAAGTGGAAAATTGTTTCAAATATTTACTGTAATTTTTTCTTTTCTGGCTTCAGTCCATAGCAGTATACTACCACATGTGTGTTCCCATGTTGGCACCAGGAAAATGTTTATATCTTGTCCCTGTTAGAGCTGATGTAGATAGACATATGCCGTGTGCTTTCAGGTGAATTTAACTTACGTTTGAGATCAGATGGGTTTCTTAGTACAGCTGCACCTCGGTTTACGAACGCCTCGGTTAACGTAATTTTCGGTTTACAAATGAAAATCCATTGAAAATAATGCCTCGGTTTACATATTTTTTTATGAATTTTTTTGCAATACAAAGTAAGTTTCCCCAGGATGCATTGCTCCTGGGAGGTTTATAGCACTGGCCCCGTGCATGCTGGAGTCTGTGGGTAGCACGTGGCGTCAACTGTGGAAATGTTGGAGTGGTTTTTGCATCAAGTTATTGCTTGATTAATCATGTCCCTGTACAGTATTTATGCCTTTAAAGTGCACCTTATAAAGAGTTTTGAACAGATAAGACTTTTTTTTTTTTACTTTCTTCTGACCTCCGGAACAAATTAATTGGTTTGCAATGCATTCCTATGAGAAACTGCGTTTCAGTTTACAAATTTTTCGCAATACGAAACGTCCTGGAGAAAGCATTACATTCGTAAACCGAGGTACACCTGTACTGTCTATCGATGCAACACGATCAATGATTTTCCGCCTTAGCTAATTCACTCAGTTTTATCAAATCAATCTAAATCAACTGGAAGGGTAGTTGTGCCTACTCAGTTTTTTGCTGTATTGATAGTTTTGATCAAATCACATGTAGATTTGATAATAAAATCAAAGTGTGTATGACTACCATTAAACAGGATTTTCCTCACTTCCCGTCTTAGTGACAACCTGTGATCTGGATGAGAAGTGAAGGGAAATCTACCTAACAGAGACACAGGTAGTGATGGGCCTGACATCCATTCTAACACCTCTCTGCCTTATCTAAATCAAGAGTTTTGGTGGAGTTTCCATTTTAGGGCCCGTGCCAGCAAGTTGTTGTTCATGTCAGAACTGCTTTTCTGCCCATACAAATCAGTGGGAATGGAAATGGAGCTTGAAGCAGCTAATGCAGCTTAGAAGGAGGTCAAATACATCTGACAATGAACTCTAAATAATCTCAGAAATGTCTCAAACTAAAGTCATATGCAAGTGGAATGTACCTGAAAGCAGTCTGCATTTGCCAATAGACACAAGCTCAAAGCCTAATGAGAAGGGGGAACTAACCTTTGCATTGCAATATACAACCAAATTTCTTAAAGTGCAAAAACAAAATGTCCAGTAGTGGTGTGTTTGGGGGGGAGGGGATCTTTTTCAACACTAAAACTGATCATCTGGGTATAGTGTTATAAAAAAGAGTAGCCAATCTCAAAATCTGCAAGAAAAGACAGGAAGACAGGCAATACAGTTAGCTAAACATTCTGTAACCAGTGACGAGCTTGGCGTGTTCAGACTAGGATCTAAACCCATGTGTGCGCCCACCAGGAAGCTGTCACCTGTACAGGCCAATCATCTGTGGCCAGGGCATTCCCTCATATAAAAGCCTCTTGTGTATAGTCTGAACACGTCCAAGCTCATCATTAGCTGTAATTTACAGTGCTGTAAAAAAGAATTTTCCCTCTTCCTGATTTTTGTTTTTTTTTTCATATTTGTCTTACTTAAATTAATCAGATCATCAAATAAATTTTAATATTACACATAGATAACCCGAGTAAATACAAAATGCAGTTTTTAAATGACAATTTCATTTATTAAGGGAAAAAAGCTGTCCAAACCTGCTTGGCCATATGTGAAAAAGCAATTGCCCTCTAAACCTGATAACTGGTTGTACCACCCTTGGCGGCAACAACTGCAATCAAGCATTTGCGATAACTGGCCATGAATCTTTCACATCACTGTTAAGGAATTTTGGCCCACTCTTCTTTGCAGAATTGTTTTAATTCAGCCACACTGGAGGGTTTTCCAGCATGAACGGCCTTTTTAAGGTCACACCACAGCATCTCAATCAGATTTAAGTCCGGACTTGACTAGGCTGCTCCAAAAACGTAATTTTGCATTTTTTGTGAGCCAATAAGAGGTGGACTTGCTGATGTGTTTTGGATCATTGTCCTGCTGCATAACCCAAGTGAGCTTGAGCTTGAGTTCATGAACTGACGGCCAAACATTCTTGTTGAAGATTTTCACAGAATTCATAATTCCATCAATTATGGCAAATCATCCAGGTCCTAAAGCTGCAAAGCAGGCCCAGACCATCACGATACCACCACCTTGTTTGACCATTGGTATGATGTTCTTCTTATGAAATGAGGTGTTCATTTTATGCCAGATGTAATGGGATGCACACCTTCCAAAAAGTTTAACTTTTGTCTCATCAGTCCACAGAATATTTGCCCAAAAGTCTTGGAAATAAGATTTTTTTTGGCAAATGTGAGAGGAGCCTTTGTGTTCTTTTTGTGTTCCCATGTATGCCATTTTTGCTCAGTCTCTTTCTTATTGTTGAATCATGAATCATCATGAATCACTGACCTTAACTGAGGCCTCCTGGATGAGCCGTTGTTGTGTTTTTGGAGTCATTTTTGTAGGCCGGTCACTCCTGAGAAGGTTCACCATTGTTTCAAGTTTTCTCCATTTGTGGATGATTATCACCGTGGTTCCCTGGAGCCCCAAAGCCTTAGAGATGACTTTGTAACCCCTTCCAGACCGATAGATTTCAATTACTTTGTTTTTCCACTGTTCTTGAATTTCTTTAGATGCGGCACGATGTGTTGATTTTTAAGATCTTTTAGTGTGTTTCACTTTGTCACACAGCTTCTATTTAAGTGATTTCTTGATTTAACAAGTTTGGAAGTAATCAGGCCTGGGTGTGGGAAGTGAAATTTAAATCAGCTTTTCAAAACAAGTAGTTAATCACAGTTCATTCATGATTTAAGCTGGCCATACATGGGTCAAATTCCAAACTAATTTTCTTTCGAAAATCGTAACACCATTAGTGAGCCACAGCAATGGCCAATTTTTGTGTGGCCATCGGAATTTGAGTGATCGAGCCAGTTGGAATCTTTCTGAAAAATGAATGAATTTCTAATCATTCATGGGAGAATCGTGCGAGAAGTATAATCGAAAAAAAAATGAGCATGGGCTGTGACCTGGAAAGAAAAGAAGATTCCACAAAATTTATTTTATGGAGCAACATGAGGTAAACCTAGAGGCTTGGCTGGTCAAATTTCAAAATTAATGGTGGCTCTATTGGATTACAAAATGTACAAAATTTCCAATTTGTGAAAGAAAATTAGGTCAGAATTTGAACCCATGTATGACCTGCATTCAGGGGCGGACTGACCATTTGGGCACTCGGGCACTGCCCGAGGGCCTGGGGTCAGTAGGGGGCCCCATGAGATGCCCCTGGTGCCTTTCATAGGCTTTTTTGGGTGTGGGTTGAGGACACAGGGGCCCCATGATCCCCTATTGCCCAGGGGCCCCATGAGTTTTCAGTCCGCCCCTGCCTGCATTAGTAAAGGGTGGGCAATTACTTTTTTCACGTAGGGTAAATCATCATGTAAAGGAGAAGTACAGCCAAAGCTTTTTTGGCTGTACGTCTGTGGATCACAGGAGTGCAGTTCATTCTACACTTCTATGACCCGATTACAACTGATAGCGGGCTGAAGCCCACTGTTGACTGGCGTCACTGATGCTGCCCAGGCTAGGGAAAGATCCCGACATTAAGGTTGGGATCCACCCCAGAGTCTGGAGCGACACCTCGCTCAGCCTCTCAGCTATCTGCTGAGAGCCTGAGCCAGCTGCTTCCTCCACAGCCCAGCGCTCCAGTGAGCGCAAGGGGGGGCAGAGCAGACAGCGGTGACTGACAGTCATAGCTCTCTGCTCACTGTGGCAATAAGAACTCAGCAATCAGTGGTCATGTAATCGCTGAGTTCTCACCCTTAAAGCCAGCGGGGGACTAATGCTGCATCCACCTAGTTAAGTATGATTTGGCAATAAAATAAATCCCATATTTCTCTTTTAAAAACTGCATTTTGTATTTACTTGGGTTATGTTTGTGTAATATTACAATTTGTTTGATTATCTGAATTATGTAAGTGTGACAAACATGCAAAAAAAACGCAAAAAATATCAAAAGGGGACAAATACTTTTGCACACAACTGTATACAAGGACCTAGAAGGATTTTTTTCTTATAATATAAAGTTTTTATTATTAGTGAAATGGGCTTATATATTGTAGACACGGATTCTGCAATATAGCTTAAATAGAAGGAATGTGTTACAACTGCAAAGTTATCAAACTGCTGAAGACAAATGAAATGGGAGGTCTAATCAGAAAGAATTTTGTTTTAAATTTGCTTTCTTTTAACAGAACTGAAGATTCCTTGTAATTGTGCTTTTTTTTAGACTGTTAGACTATGCAACGGATTCCACAAAAATTCGTAGACAAGACTCTATTTCCACAATTCTAAATGTTGCCGGTAATTTGGTTGGTCAGAGTCTTGCCTGGGACTTTGTCAGAGGCCACTGGAAGACATTCCGTGAAAAGTAAGTGCTTCATTACTATTATAAATGTAGCACCCTCTTAGTTAGGCTGCTAGAAAAATTTAGTCTTTGGCTCCTTCTGTAATCAGCAGAGCTTGATTGCTTCCCTCTGCCTCTAGAAGTTTCTGGAACTTAAGAAGGAAGAATTCAAATGACCAGCCTGAATATTGAGCAGGACCTAGCCAATCCCTGGGGAGGTGTGTCCAGATGGTGGCTGGGATGCTGTTAAATAGTCTGGAGCCCTGAGGAGATTGTCTTTTTTCCTGCTGAGAGAAAAGATCCATGAGTTCAAATGTGTGTGTGTTTAAGGGGGGGGATACTTGCCCCTGGAGCTCTTTGGTCTGGATGCTGAACTACTCTACAAGAGACTGGACCTATGAACTGATCCTGTTCTGGGATTCTGTGATTAGAGCCTTTTTTTCTGTGCTGCACCTCGCTTCATGGTCACCAGCTGTGAACCCATAGACCACTCCAGTCTACCTTTACCTGTTCTCAAACCTACTTCATGATCCCCAGTCATGAACCCATAGACCGCTCCAGTCTACCCTAATCTGTTCTCAAACCTACTTCATGGTCCCGAATTCTGAACCCATAGACCGTTCCAGTCTACCCTAATCTGTTTTCAAACCTACTTCATGGTCCCCAGCTGCGAACCCATAGACTGTTGCAGTCTACCTTTACCTGTTCTCAAACCTACTTCATGGTTCCCAACTGAGAACCTATGGACTGTTCCAGTCTACCTTTACTTGTTCTCCAACCCAGTTCATGGGCCCCAGCCATGAACCTATAGACTGTCCTAGTCTACCTGTTACTTGTGCTGCTATTATTGAGCGAGAAGTGTCCCCTGCTAACAGTACCTAAAGTTTTGGAGAATATCCCATAGCTTGTTGCCTTTCCTTGTTTTACTACCAAATAAACTTCAAAAAGACATCCCCTAGACTGTTCAATGAGCCAGAGTGGGTGGACTGCAGCTGTGTGCTTGGCTGCCCCTGCACTAAGCTGGGAAAGAACCTATTGAACTATAGCGGCCCCTACAGGGGTTGCACTACATAAAAAAGGAAGGTACTTTGACTGTTGTGAATACAATTCATATTAAATATGCTCTAAATGGTGAAAAAATATATATAAAATTTGAATAAGCTCTTAAAGTTCATTCAATAAAAAAAAGTGCATGAACCAACACCATGTAACATATATCCGTGCTTCGAATTTGCTTTGCACACTATAGTGCCACCTCAGTGCTCTCAGAACTCTCACTACCAGCTTTCTATTATGTTGCGCGTAAATAAAATATCTCCACTTTTAGCCGCTATCTCCTCCGACCACTAGGGAAGTCTTGTGACTTCTATCACTGTTCAGCCGAGCACTGGTTAAAACTTGTAGGAGTTTTCATTTTGCTCTGACCTCTGTCTGTGTCTGGATAGTGCTGATTGGCCCTGTGCTGATCACATGCACTCTCCCATGAAAAAAAAACAAACATCTGTAGCAATACACACCAAACTGAGCATGTGCCGAGTAAGTCAACATGTCTTATCAGGAGATAAGAGGGGGACAGTGGAAGAAGGGGAGGATCAGATAAATCAGGATCAAACAGCCTTTTTACACAATGTGGAGGATTAACCCCTTAGGTTCCACAGTGAGAATAACAAGCATGCTTTAAAACCTAACTGTGCAAATAAAAAAATTATCCCTTTAATCCTGTATTACATTATCACACAAAGCTATGAACATACCCTGAGAGCTACTTTACCTATTGCCAGTCCTGGTTCCATTACAGGCAACAGTTTGATACCTGTCCTGTTGAGCCCTTAGAACAAGTGCCTTTTAACTCTCTCTTTATTGTTTACTAATATTTTTATTAATCATTTTTAAATGAAAGAACAAAAAAAGCAGATGTACCGCCAGTACAAAAGTTTTCTGATAAAATACTTGAAAAAAATTGTAGCACATTTACAGAAATGATTAACCAATATTACATACACCTCTAATACAGTCAGCGGACAGAAAGAGAGAACTTGTCCAACTGTGATTGGTAAATAAGTGGAGAGAGCACAATAACATCCACATAATGGAGGGATGATCCAGAGGATTGTTGTAAGGATGTTGGAATCACTTAGAAGAGATATGCATACAATAAATTCTATATACATGACTGGGAACCCTAAATCATGGTGTTCCTCTGAGTTGCTGAACAGAAGCCAGCCAGCCCATACTGCATAGAAGGCTTGGTGGTCCAGTCTTCCAACAATTGTAATTTCTTATTTATATTGTAATTGCAGCGCTAAAGATAATAATAATAATATATCAGATATGAATGGCAATATAAAGTGACAAGTGAAAAAACGCTAACAAAGAGCGCAACTAAGTGACAACAGTGCGTCGTCCTTTATCGGACGAATATCAGTGACATAAATGCACAATATAAACGTATAGCAGTCCACAAATTATTTTTCCTTAAACGTGCTTATATCATCCAGTGTGTGGGGATGTTGGTCGCTTCTCACAAGTTTCAAATAAAAAAGGAGGGCACTAGTGGTCATCTAGGAATTGATGGGGATAAGGCACTTCTCAGGTACTCGTTACACCCTGGAAACGGACTCCAGACCTCTCTGTGGGACCCGAACAGCAAAATAGGGCAGCTCCTTGGTGTTAGCTAAACCCAGCTTCACAGCAACTCAGCAGCGCTAGATATCCACCTTAAAGCAGCTTTGTCAGTATAACACGGCACCTCCAGACTGTGCTTACCGACGTATGGTGATATTATGGAGCAGTATACAATTAGCAGTATACAGTATACAATGTAACAAGTACCTGAGAAGTGCCTTATCCCCATCGGTTCCTAGATGACCACTAGTGCCCTCCTCAATACCATTTACATGCACATTGTGAGTGCGCAGCCGGTGAGTGCAAGCACACCTCATTTCTCTTATCCACAAGAAGTCATTAGCACACGGGCGGACTGACCATTTGGAAACTTGGGCACTGCCCGAGGGCCCGGGGTCAGTAGGGGGCCCCATGAGATGCCCCTGGTATCTTTTTCATAGGCTTTTTTTTAGGCAAGGACACAGGGGCCCCATGATCCCCTATTGCCCGGGGGCCCCATGAGTTGTCAGTCTGCCCCTGCATGAGCACCTTATTTATATGAAACTTGTGAGAAGTGACCAACATCCCCACACACTGGATGATATAAACACGTTTAAGGAAAAATAATTTGTGGACTGCTATACGTTTTATATTGTACTTTTATGTCACTGATATTCGATATAGGACGACGCACTATTGTCACTTTGTTGCGCTCTTTGTTAGCGTTTTTTCACTTGTCACTTTATATTGCCATTCATATCTGATATATTATTATTATCTTTAGCACTGCAAATACAATATATATGATTTAAAGGATTTAGAGGTTTTTTCCTTTTGCAAGCTGCTTTGACTGTATTTATTTCTTTATTTAGTCTAAACAGCGCTCGCTTGATTATCAATTTTGTAATTTCTTATTTACATTTATTTTTTATTTTATGTATTACAGGTACTTATATAGCACTATCAATTTACACAGAGCATTACATACATATTGTACAGATTGTACATTCACATCAGTCCCTAACCCACAAGGGGCGTACAAATCTAAAGTCCCTAACTTATATTCATACACATACACATACTAGGGCCAATTGAGATGGGAGCCAATTAACCTACCAGCATGTACATTAAATACATACATGATTTAACCATTCTAAACCACTATTTATCAAATTAGGGTGGTGACTGTGCTTTTCAGTATAGGAATCAAGGTTTTTGCAACAAGTGAAAAGTGAGATATCATGGAGATTTACTTGAAAACCTGAGCATTTAGCCAGAGAGAGATAGAGGTAACTGTATGTGTTACTATACCTGGATAACACTTTTCTAATTAAATTTTTTCTACTTTAATTTTTGGACAGGACCTGATATGTAGAAATGCTCCTAGTAGACATGTGCAATTAGTTTCCTTACAATTGAAATTCAGATGACATTTTCATTATTTGGAGATTCGGATGTATCCGAATCATAGTATTAATGAATTTCAACGAATCCAAAATAAGTTATAATAAAACAACAAATGCATTTGTATTCATTTGTTTGTGACTTCAGGGGTTCTGTAAGTTCGGCCAAAGCAAAAGGCACAAAACATGAAAGTCTACGGGCAGCACAGTGGCTAAATGGTTAGCACTTCCTCCTGGCAGTAGTAGTGTCGCTGGTTCGAATCCCAACCACGGCACCACCTGCGTGGGTTTCCTCCGGGAACTCCGGTTTCCTCTCACACTCCCAAGACATGCTGGTCAGTTAATTGGCTCCCATCTAAATTGGCCCTAATATGTGTATGTATAAATGTGAGTTAGGCACCTTAGATTGTACACTTCTTGAGGGTTAGGGACTGATGTGAATATACAAGATATATGTAAAGCGCTGCATAAATTGACGGCGCTATATAAGTACCTGAAATAAATAAATAAAAGTCACACTGAAGCGGCAAACAAGTTGCAATTCAAAGTTGCACTGAAAGTCACACAACTTTGGTTCACACTGCTGCAGAAGTGTGAACCAAGCCTTAATGTTTGTAGCATCTGAAATAACATAACCAATGAATCCAAATTTTCCAAAATAACTTCTGAAAATACAAATCGATTCAGAACAACAAATATACAAAACGAATCTGAATATGCGAAACAAATCCTGAATAGGAATCATTCTACCATAATGAATATGACGAAACAAAATGACTGACTTAATGAATTAATCTGAAAGGAAACAAAACATTTTTTTGTTCGTCATGCACATCTCTAGTCCTAGTTCCCTACATCTCTGCCCGTAGAGAGGAGATTTTATATATTTGAACAGGCATTCTCTACCATCAGGCCTTTCCACTTTAACCATAAAAACATTGGAGACATGTTTGGAATGTGGGAGAGTTTTTGGGATAGGTTTCTTTCTCATTTGGTCAGATAGCCAGAGGTGCTCCAACAGCTACTGAAAAAAGCCTAATATGGCAATGGAGAGCTAGATTTTCATGGCAACATTGGTAGAAAAATAATTTGTTAAAACATTCTTTCTTGTTAAAATTGAGTCAACTGTTTTCTTTTGAAAGCCCTAAAATTTCCTGCAGACCTGCGACTTAAATGGAATACCAGATGTATAAAACAGGTCTCATTACTAGAGTTGAAAATATTTATAGGATGGAGGAGCTATGTCATATGGAGGAGGATAAAATGGAAAAATTCAGGAAAACGTGGTGTAGTTGGTTAAAATTTAAATCCTCTGAAAGATATATGGAACTGGTGGGAATTGGGGGGAGAAATGTAGAAGCCAGGAGAGAGCATTAATTGTGAATTTGAGGGAGAGCAGTGTTGGAGATAAATAGATAAATATGAGTGAAGATATAGGTCAGGAAGAGGATGTGGATGGGGGGAAAGGGGATGGGGGGAGGGGGAAATGGTGTGTGTGTGGGGGGGTATATGGGGTAATATGGAATGTGTATACGTGAATTATTTTTATAAACATGTTGTTCTTTTTATACTAGAAAATCAAATAAAAGTTACAAAGTTACATTACAATATGTACAATTTTTTTCTAAGCAAAATTTACTTGAAATTTTTTTTTCATCCTGTTCTTTTGAACAATAAAAAACAAATTTCAGTTTGACCCCATTATCCATCAGAAAATTGAACGAATGTTCTACAATAAAAAAATTTCTAACAAATATTCAAAAGTCTAATATTAGTAATGAAATACAATATGGTGGATTATTCTAACAGAAATTGTTTTTCCAGCGGGTGGTAATTACTGTATCAATTCCATTTTTGAAGTTACCCTTCTACTAAAATGTGCCTAATGTATTGCAATTATAAGGGTAAAGATCATTTTAAACTATTTTTATAGAACGTCTGGAAATTAAACACGATAACCAGTAAAGTCTATATTTTTACCTACCAAAGGCAAAAGAATTTTAACATTTTTTACTTTTTTTTCTCTAGGTTTGGAAGCTCTTCATTCTCTTTTGGTTACCTGATTTCAGGAGTTACTAGAAGGTTTTCAACTGATTTTGACATGCAGCAGGTAGGTGCTTACTAGGTAGTCACAAGGATGTACATGTGTAGAGGCTTTTAAAAGCATGAATTTACAAGCAGCAAAGTAGACCAAGGTTTGCCTAAGGCTTATTTATAAAAATTGAGAAAAGATGGTGCCTGAAGTAGCCGATGACTGGTTAGTGTTTATAGAAAATATGGTACAAACAGTCTAAAGGGTTGTTATGGGCAATAATAGCACATTTATCCCGGCCTGTTTGTACAAATCAGTCTGAATGTCTTTAGGTTGTCAGATTTTGGCTAACATTTCGGATATTGTGGAAAGCATCCTGATTTGTAGACGGTAACTTTTATAGAATGAAATACCATGTAATCGTACCCACATCCAGTAGATGTGCAGGAATCCATTTGCTTTTAGTTTCCTCTTAATGATGACAATTATGTTTTTTTTCTCACCAGTTTGAACAATTTAAAAAGGATAATGAAGCAGTTGGCTTTGGCTCAGCTACACGAGCTCTGGAGCAAGCAATAGAGAAGACCAAGGCAAACATCAAGTGGGTAAATGAAAACAAAAAGCTTGTTAAGGAGTGGTTTGAAGGAGCAGTAGTAAAGCCATAAATGACAACTGTATACCACTGCTACCTGATACTTGCGAAGATCAAGCCTACCAGCCACATGTGCCTCCTACAAGGACTGCTTGCCACTCTCCAGTTTATGGAGCTGCTATGGCTTACCGACTAGCACTTCCACCTTGCAGCATTGGGGTTCCTGTTTCCAATCCCAATCAGGACACTAACTGCATGGAGTTTGCATGTTCTCCCTGTGCTTGTGTGGGCTTCCTTTGGGTACTTTGCTTTCCTCCCACACTCTAAAAACATGCTAATAGGGTAATTTGCCCTGATAGGTGAGTTATGCCTGGTACACACATTCATTTTTTTTTTGTTTAACACAGTGGGCTGAATGGAGAAAAAAACACTTAGAGATGATTGTACCAACTAAGCAATGTTAGCGCAGTGATCTCTCCTGCTGTGCCTTTGTGTTCTAACAGGGACATCCTCCTTAGACTGGCTTCTGTCAGAAGGACAGCTGTTCACATGGTCTGAATGTCATCTAGTTCCTGCTGTACCAGGCTTTAGGGACCTTAGATAGTAAGCTCCTTGAGGGCAGGGACTGATGTGAATGTACAATATGTTAACCCTTTGAAGACCAAGGGACGTATTTGTCCCATGTTTTTAATTGCGTGTATCATCTGATTAAGAACTTAAAACTCTTTTTTTTTTGGGGTTTGAGTCAAAATATTAGTTCTTATCAACAAACAACAAATGGATCTAGCTTTTTGCCAATTATTTCATAAAATGGCTTAGTTACAGCAACTGAAGTGTACGAACTTTAAAAAACAAAAAAATTTATTCTTTTGGCGTTCCAAAATCTTACGGTCCTCAAAGGGTTAAGTGCTGAAAAAGCTAATAGTGCTATATAAAAGCCTGTAATTAAAAAGAAAGAAAAATGGTTGAACAAGAACAAGATGTAATCTTCTGCTAGTTTATTTTTCTATCATTGCTTTCTGTGAACTTTCTTTTTTTAAATTTACTGAACATTTGTTTCAAACCCTCCATGTACATATGACAAGGAATCTTCTTTTATTGCTCAGGGCTCAGTTTGCTTATTTTATATGGAAGAATATCCTGCTCCCACCTACACTACTCTATATCATAAGCAAATCAATGGGTCTAAAGGACATGAAATGATGCCAGGGGGAATGACCACAGCAAAAGATTATCTGACAAGTCCCTTCTCATTAGCTGCCCTCTTGACTACTGAGACTGTTACTTTCCAGGTCGCCAATACTGTCACTTACCTAAACCACAAATCATTCTTTTTTAAAGTAGGTAAAAAAAATCAATTCCTAAAATCTCAAATTACAATGTTGATTTAATGTTTAAATGTAATTATACATGCTATTTTGAATGTTTTCCAACTTTTAGTTTTCCCTATTTATGACTGCTCAACACCTATGTGCAGCTGCAAAAGAGTGGGCTTTAACACCCATATTCAGCAAATATGCTGGACTCACTGCACACTCTCAGCACAAAGACCTAGCTGTTAAAGAGCTGTCGGTCTGGAGTGACCAAGGATGCTGAGGCAGGCGTGAAGGGGTTAAATAACATCCATTGAGCAGAGACCACCATCACTATCTGCCCTGAGAAATACCCTATAGTTATCACTAGAGGCTAGAGCGCATGAACGAAGCCAGTATGTGGCTGCAAAGGGGGTACAGGAGATCAGCTGTGCTGATATATAATATTTTATTAGAAATAAATTATAAAAGTGATAATTGTTTAAACTATATGTCAATCAGTAAGGGCTCATTTAAGCAGGATCTAAATTCAGCCGGTTTAGCAGGAACTGTCCAAATTTCAATCCATTTATAGGCAGGTGGGTTGTACTGAAGTTGATCTGTCAATCAACTTCAGTACAAGCAGCCCGTAGTTTTTTTTTTTTTTGTATGACTACTCAGAGAACACTCAGTGGCTGAGAGCGCTGATTGGGAGCCGATCAGCAGACCTTTTTCCATCATGCCCCTTCACCCCTTCTGTTCGACTGGCTGCTGTATACACGGTATGAATGTCGGATAGTTTCTATTGGCCATTGGTGCCCGACATTTGCATTTGGCCCGTGTGTGCTAGGCATCAGACTTGCAGTTTTGGGGGGGGGCTTTAAAAACATGCAGTTGAGATGCATTTTAGTTCCTCCCTGAGCATATGGGGTTTTACTATGTCTCTCCTGTCGCATTTAGGTGAATGGGAATGGTGCACTAATTGTGAGGTTAAAACGGGCAGTGAGGAGGCATCACATTGCATCGTCACCACCTTTCAAATGCCTCTGAAAAGGATTCTGACCGTGAATCACTTTTCACAGGCACTGCAGTTTAGATACAAGTCTAAACTTAACCTCAGGGTATACATGTACTTTAAAGTAGAACCCTGGGTTTTTCTCTTTGTTTTTCTTGGTATTGAGATTGGAGATTAAAGATTAAGTTCATTTTTCATAACAAGTTACACCCATATTCAGGGTGTAACGTGTAACATGTTATGTTCAGACCGGCCCCTGCTCCCCCAGATCCCCTCTTTGACAGCTAGCAGGGGATCTTCTACCCCCTCGCTCGCTAGCTGTCAAATTTAAAAAAATTGTGGCCATGCAGGGCTCCACTCATTCTCAGTTCTCTGTGAATGAGAAACTACAAGTCCAGACAGCCTTAGCAACTCTCAGCTTGTAGCCCCCAATAAACAGCTACAGCTCCGGGGTAGTTCATTCATTCTTCCTGTCAGTATATCTGCTTGCTCGTACATCACGTACAGGCAAGTAGATATACTGACAGATCCGCTAGGCTCCTGCAGACAAAAATAATAAATGTACATTTTTTTACCTGCAAAGACATGCATTTATTATTTTTTTCTAAAAAGTGAACTTATCCTTTAAGCTTGGATGTTAATATTACATTGTTCCTGCATAGCGGATGTAACAGTCCAGCATAGATCTATATTCCACATGAGGAGTGGATAAACTCCCAGACACTCCCAGTTACCGAATAACTTGTGAATATACAGGCCTCTTCTGTCTACTGAAAACTCCATGTTGGGGTCCCCTAAATTAATTAACAAAGAAATCTAAAAGAATTTTGAAATGGAGTCAGACCTGAGATCCCAGGGTACTGGTTGTGGCTAGTACCTCCAATTCAGTCCTACTTTTGCAGCAGAGACTATACTTCGGGACCAATTCACTTTGCATCTTGCTTCATAGACCTCATCAAGTATATGAAGGTTATCTACATGGGAGCCTGAAAAAACATATTTTACTATCTCTATGTAAAATAATATGAAATAGACTTTTCAAAAAGATACAATGAGAATTTTTTTTTGTTTGTTTTATATTCTAAAATGTTAAATAAAAATCTAATAGAAACCTTTATTTTGTCATTTTTGTTTTTCTAATTAGTTTGTGATGTTGTTATTATTATTATACAGTATTTATAAAGTGCCAATAGTTCGCTCAGCGATGTTATAGCAATAAATTACACTAATTAGACCACAATTAGACCAGAGGAATTAGACCACAACCTGGGTTAACTTTATGCAACGTCTGCAACAGTGTGCAGGAAAGTGATTGATAGGAAAGGAATGTCAGTGTTTACTAATTTGGTTGGTGTATGGGACTCTCTCACCCAATCAATGGCTTCCAGCAGAACCTGGCAGTCTCTCTCTCAGCTGATGAGGGCCCCCAGCAGTTCTTCGATCCCCACTGCAGCGCTCAGTCCAGTCACAGCACCCTAAGTTGCTTGCCAACAGGATGTCTCTCTCTCTAGGCTTGCGATGCTGATTGTCAGCGATCCCTCCTGGCTCCTCTCCTCTCTCTCCTCTGTGGCCTGGTCCAGTACTCTGGCGTCCCCCACACAACTCTCTCTCCAGTTCTGCTTTCCCTTCCTGTTTCCCAGGCTGTTACATTTATATCTTTCCGCCCGTACACAAGCTCTCCTGGGAAAAATGTAGTCCTCCAATTAGCAGCCTTCTAAGAAAGCCCTGCATTCAGACTATAAGGTCCATTAAGTTTTTACCAAAGTGTGTGTCACTGGCACCTTGTGTCTCTTTTAACATCCTGCAGTCTGGACCATAGCAGGGTGTTTCATTAGTGTATCTTTATTCAAATATGGACAGCATGAATTCTAGCCACATCTGTGTTGTAGTTTGAAAACCAACTTCCCCCATACACTACAAAATTCAAACACATGGCTGCCTTGCTTCTGTTTTAAATGTCCCTTTGTGCATTGAGATACCTCCTTAGACCCAGTCAATCCAGATAGAATGACCACCTGCTGACTTGCCACCATCCACAAACAAATTATTTCTTCAATGAGACACAGAAGTTGAATTCAACACAATTGTTTACTTCACATTATTACAGTAAAGAGGATGTTTTTTTTTTACAGACCATTAAAGTGTAAGACAACAATGATTCTCCCAGGGGTGGACTGACAACTCATGGGGCCCCCGGGCAATAGGGGATCATGGGGCCCCTGTGTCCTTGCCCAAACTCAAAAAAGCCTATGAAAAAGGTACCAGGGGCATCTCATGGGGCCCCCTATTGACCCCGGGCCCCCGGGCAGTGCCCGAGTTTCCAAATGGTCAGTCCGCCCCTGGACTCTCCTAAACCCTGTCTCTGCAAAGAACTAATACTGACCGAGGGAACATGGAAGATACAAGGAGGGTCAAGCTTACATAGAACTAACTCGCTCTAAGAGAAGACAGAGGGAGATACCAATCAAAAAGTAAACACATTGTAGTGGCCCACTACTATGCATGATGTCAGCGTACTACAAAACAATAGAAACCCAATGCATTTCAAGACAACACAGAAAAAATACATATACTGTATATAGCTGGAACAGAATTTTCTTGATCTGACATACACGCGTATAACCTAATCTGTTCAACATCAGTCTATTTAATAATTCATATTTAACTTTTTGAAAAAAGTATTAAACTATACAATATTAAACCATTACTTAAGGAAATACAGTATATATATATAAAAAGCAATTAGAAGAGAATATGCGTGCACATATATGTTAAAACAACGGTCATGCTGGAGTTTCTATAAACACCATTTGCTATGGTCAGATTTGTCAGTCTGGATGTCTGTGCCAGTACATGTCAAGATGTCAAGCAGAACTTCGAAGCAAATGATGAAGTGACCAGTTGTTTAAAAAAAATGTTTAACTTTATTTCTTGGAGCTTATTATGACAGATAAGTGTACAATTTCTGCAAGGATTTAATGAACACATTTGTTTTTATTCATTTCTTCACTGGGTGGCTTAGGTCTATCAAACATGGTATTTATGTCATCGCTTGGGTTCCCCGTAACTATGATCCAATGATTTTCATTTTCTTCAGCCTTGTGACCATTTAAGTATGTGTGGGCAGTGACTTCACATTCCTTGCCAAATAAAGTCCTGAAATATTGAGAAGATAAAGAATAAACTCGATCCATTTTCTAATTGTGACCATTAGCAAGTTATCTTAACCATTCAAATAACATCACAATGGTTGTACTGAATGACTGAAATATATCTCAGATTGCTGAAACCTTCATAAAGTACGCGCCCTATGTTATCCATATGGGTTGAGATCTGTGGCAGACTGGGCTAATTTGTGGCTAATTGTGTTCACTTCAAGAGAGGTCCCTGAAACTTCCCCATCCCCCCCAAAAAGAGTTTAGTCCATAGACAGGAATCTCTTTTGAACCAGTGGTACCCCAAAAGTAATGTGACAATTAAGTTACCTGGCCATTGGGGCACATTAGTTGTTACCCTAGCCCAGCCTTTCTCAACCAAGGTGCCCAGGCACCCGGGGTGCCTTGAGGATTCTTCAGGGGTGCCTTGGCAAAATGTGCAGAGATTGCCCAAAACATGTACAGTTGCAAGAAAAAGTATGTGAACCCCTTGGGATTACGTGGAGTTTTGCATGAATTGGGCATAAAATGTGCTCTGAACGTCATCTAAGTCACAACAATAGAAGAACACAGTCTGCTGAAAATAATACTACACAAACATTAGATGTTGCCATGGTTTAATTGCACATAACATGTAAACATTCACAGTGCAGGGAGGAAAAAGTATGTGAGGCCCTAGCTTAATGCCTTCTCCCAGAGCTAATTGGAGCCAGGAGTGAGCCAACCTTGACTCCAATCAGTGTGATGATATTGGATGTGTTTCTGACAGCTGTCCTGCCCTTAAAAAAACACACACCTGTTTTGGGTTTACTGGTATCAAGAAGTACTGTCTGATGTGAACCATGCCTTGCAGAAAAGAGCTCTCTGAAGACCTACGATCAAGAATTGTTGACTTGCATGAAGCTGGAAAGGGTTACAAAAGTATCTCCAAAAGCCTTGATGTTCATGTGTCCACAGTAAGACAGACTGTCTACAAATGGAGAAAGTTTAGCACTGTTGCTACTCTCCCTAGGCGTGGTCGTCCTGTAAAAATGACTGCAAGAGCACAGCGCAGAATGCTGCATGAGGTAAAGAAGAATCCCAGAGTGTCAGCTAAAGACCTACAGAAATCTATGGCACATGCTAACATTTTTATTGACACATCTACAATAAGGAAAACATTAAACAAGAATGGAGTACATGGGAGGACACCACAGAGGAAGCCATTGCTGTCCAAAAAGAATATTGCAGCACGTTTGAAGTTTGCAAAAGAGCACCTGGATGTTCCACAGCACTACTGGCAAAATATACTGTGGACAGATGAAACCAAGATTGAGTTGTTTGGGAAGAACACACAACACTATGTGTGGAGAAAAAAAGGCACAGCACACCAACATCAAAACCTCATCCCCACTGTAAAACATGGCGGAGGGAGCATCATGGTTTGGCGCTGCTTTGCTGCCTCAGGGCCTGGACGGATTGTTGTCATTGATGGGAAAATGAATTCCAGAGTTTATCAAGACATTTTGCAGGAAAACGTAAGACCATCTGTCCGCCAACTGAAGCTCCACAGAGGATGGGTGATGCAACAGGACAATGACCCAAAGCATACAAGTAATTCAACAAAACAATGGCTGCAACAGCAGAGAATACGCTTTCTGGAGTGGCCCAGTCAGAGTCCTGACCTCAACCTGATTGAAATGCTGTGGCATGACCTTAAGAGAGCGATTCACACCAGACATCCCAAGAATATTGCTACACTAAAACAGTTTTGTGAAGAGGAGTGGTCCAAAATTACTCCAGATCGTTGTGCAGGTCTGATCTGCAACTACAGGAAACGTTTGGTTGAGGTTATTGCTGCCAAAGTAGGGTCAACCAGTTATTAAGTCCAAAGGTTCACATACTTTTTCCTCCCTGCACTGTGAATGTTTAGATGTTATGTGCAATTAAACCATGGCAACGTCTAATGTTTGTGTAGTATTATGTTCAGCAGACTGTGTTCTTCTAATGTTGTGACTTAGATGACGTTCAGAGCACATTTTATGCCCAATTCATGCAAAACTCCACGTAATCCCAAGGGGTTCACATACTTTTTCTTGCAACTGTATGCAAGCCAGTGGGTGGAACAAGCCTGTCTTTTAGTCACACAAAGTCACAGGTTTTCATTGTGCACCATTACGACCTTCTAGCCATCAGCGACCTGACAACCAATGACACCATCAGTTGAGAAGGAGGATGTCAGTTGCCTGCACAGCATCCTAGTGTGACCCTCCCCCGCCCCTCTCCATCAGTGCGGGGGTCACATTAGCTCAGTGATGGAGAAAAACTGAGGGAGAAGAGAAAAACTGGAATACTAGTGTTAATACCAGTGATATATCACCTCAAATGTTGGGTGTCCTACGCATGTGGATGTTGCTGCGTATTTGAATATTTTTTTACATTTTAGAATAGGGTGTCCTTTTAAAATTATGGACAGTCTAGAGGCCACCATTTTAGAATGGAGTGCCTTGGGACTGTGCATAATTTTAAAGGGTGCCTTGACTGAAAAAAGGTTGAGAAACACTGTCCTAGCCAAGGTGAACAGATCACAGGGTCCTTTATGCAAGCACAGGCTTTTAAAGAGAACATATCATAAAAGACATACGGTGAACTCTATTGTTATTCCCCTTCTGAGATGTTATATTTCCACTTGTTACAATCACCACTAGCTTCAAAATTTATCCTAGAAAACAAATGCAGATCTGGAGTGTCAGAAAAACGTTGTCAGTGTTTATCTGCATACTTGTTCTACCATCATGGCAAGATGATCAACTTTTACTGGTGGATCCATGTTTAGTATTTGTCATATGTGATTTTAAATGAATAATAAAAATATTGTGTTAACATCTGTCAGGAATTGCCAAACTGTTTAATTATGCGTTGGAAGTTCTAAGAGAACATGACGGTTGAGCCTGAAACCCAATTTTTAGTCAATATTTTCAAGGTGAGTTTACATAATCAGAGGTCAGAAATGGTAGCCTCTGTTTTTCTCCCATGACAGGTTTCTTTTATCTTACTTTTAAATTCACCCCATCACCACCACTCACCACTTTATTCAAAAAAGGTTTAAATTTATTCCAAAAGGGTTTTTGTCATATCACACCAGGTTAGGTCTTCTTCAAAAGGCTCCTTCTGATGTTCAGATATTGGAAACAAAACACACCACATCTTTAATCTGGAGCTTCCTGAACTAAAATGTCCAAATCTCAATAAAACTTGCACTAGCAGCCTTTGGGCCTGTGTCAGTGGGCTTTGGTCTTGTTTTCATGGCATCAGTTTGAGATGCTTCTGAGATCATTCACAATTCACAAACAAACATTGACACAGGCCCTAAATGATCTTATTAGCTCACAACATGGAAAGTGAGGAGAAAAAAATGTCCCAGAATCCTATTCTTTACTTATTTAATGGATCTCCACAAGATTCACTCGGATTGTAACTAGACGGCATTAAGTAAATACTACAAATTACCATGAACCACTCGAAGGCCTAGTTCTCATCTGTGCGGGTTGTTGCGGGTGTAGAAATTGCAGCCATTCCTGCACCACTGCTGTTCTGAATGGCACCCCCACGCATCTAGAAACGAAGCATTTTTGGTGTGGGAACTGCAGGGAAATCACAATGCAAAAGCACCATATGATTTCCCAGCCGCTGCGTTTTGAGAATGATGCAAAGACCTTTTTCCTGCGGGAAACACAAGCACAGCAGCCCATTCAGATGAATGGGCTACCGTTCCCGTGCAAACGCGGGTCGCAAAACTCGCATAGATTTGATCCAGGTCGAAGGACCCGTGTTGTCAGGCTTGTGTCAATGGTATCAGTTTGATATCAGTTTAAAGTGGAATTAAAGTTAAAATTTTAAAAATGGCCAACAGGAAGGATTTTTATGACAGAACTGACCCTGTTGATTTTTATTTTGTTTTATGTAACTGCCGTTTCTTGCCTGTCAGCCTTTGTGTACACTGAGCCAGACAAGTAGCACAGCCTACATCCACAGGATGGCTCTTTGCAGAGATGATATGACTCCCATGTGCATATGTGGGAATGACGTCCTCCCAAACCAGCCAATCAAGCGGCCGATAGGTTTGAACTCAAAAGAAAGACCGGGAGCAGATGGAAGTGCCTGAGATCTTTCAGAATGTATTGACTGGTGCATTTGACCTGCAGTTTACCTCCTTCTGACCTACATTTGACCTGCTTCAAGCAGGTTTTGTATAGCCCTGAATGCAGAACCCATTTAAAGTGAACACAAGCTGTCGACATAGGCCCTAAAGAGACTTTTTTTCCAAAAGCATTCAATATTAATGAACAGTCTGACAGAACAAGGCAAAGTGTTTTGGAGTTACAGTGGTTCTAAAGGCATTCTATGCAGTAAGGTAAAAAAACCTTCTGCATGCAGCTACCCCCTAGCCCCCCTAAATATTTACCTGTGCCTGATCTCGATCCAGCGATATGCACAAAAATTAGTGGCTCGCTCTCTCCTCACTGGACAAGGAGGCAGCAGCACGAGCCATTGGCTTCTGCTGTTGTCATCAACAGCCAGACAGGGTAGAGCAGAGGGCGGGGTCAAGCCATTGACACACAGAGCCGACTAGGAAGTGAGCATGCATGAGTGCTCCAATAGCAAGCGGCTTTCTATGGGGGCACTCGGCAGGGGGGAGGAGCTAGCATCGCTAACATGGGGGCCCCAGAAGGGGAGGATGGGGGCTGCTCTGCGTAAAACCATTGCACAGAGCAGGTAAGTATAACATGTTTGTTATTTTTAAATTTTTATTTAAAAATTTTGTTTTAAGAATCACAAGAATGAATCAAGTGATCGACAGGAACAGTTCATTAATATAAAATATGAAGACCTTGTATATTATGATGCAAAGTTTGTATTTACATACTGAAGCAGAATGGAGCATTCACAAAGATCAACTAAGAGTACAGGTACTGTACTGTTAAAGTGACTGGGAAGATAAATCATTTTACATGAATGAATTGGTTCCAAAGTTGATGGGCAACATGCTAGCCAGTGATTATTTATAATAGCCCAGACTGAAAATGGCTAGTGCCTGAATTACTATTTTAGGAGCATCAATAGTAATGTAAGGGTGGATGTAGGAGGGGAGTTTTTTTTTTTTCTCTTAAATTAAAGTACAGAAACTTTGAAAAATATTTGATGTTGAGGAAAAGAGCAGTTCATCTAGACACCGAGTTTGTTTATGGGCCAATGTTGACAACACTATTAGCTGAAAGAAATAATTCAAATATATTGCTGTTACAAGTCTATTTAAAAAAAAATGAAAAAATTGCATAGCTATTCATCTTCATCAAAACTGTCACGTACATTTGTTCTGTGTGTACGGGGCAAAGTCAAATGTTCTAAGGCTATTTCCCCTACAGGCTGAATGTTTCTCATTCATGAAAAATGAGTTGTTTAGGAAAATACTACAATTTGGCTACTAGATGGTGCAGGAGATCATAGGAAATTAAAAGTTTATTTCCTATGGTCATCAGTGCTGTCTAGATAATGTGGTAGGTCCATGTGGCACTCATTTTTCATGAATTAATTATTTATAGGTAAAGTTTATCCAGGGAATATCCGATTGCCTCTCGGGGGATCAGGAAGGAATATTTTTACCCTGTTGTAGGAGCAAATTGGATCTTGCTTTATTGGGTTTTTTTCCTTCCTCTGGATCAACTGTGGGTGTAGGATTGTAACTTTTTTTCTTTTTTTTATGGTTGAACTAGATGGACTTTTGTCTTTTTTCAGCAAAACACTAACTATGTAACTATGAGAAACATCGACCTGCAGAGAAAATAGCTTAAGAACATCTTTTTTCCCCTATTCGCACCTAACAACTGTACATACCAGACGAATAGCTATGTACATTTTGTTTATAAATAGACCTGTTAGTGAATGAATGAGTAACTAATACTTCAGTTTGTACTAAATATGTTTAAGAACAACAAGGTTTCTCCAATGAAAAAAGTAATAATCATTTTATATCATCATATCTTAGCCTTAGGCTCGGTTAACTGTGCTGCGACTTCACAGTCATGTGCCTTGCTAGTGACTTTTATGATTTAACATTGCAGTCTATAGCACTCAAGTCACACTAAAGTCACAAAAGTAGTGCAGGAACCTTTTTTTAGTTGCTGCGATTTGAATCGGAATGATTAAGATGGGACCCATTGAAATGCATGTGTTTTGACTTGTCATGCAACTTTATGGGTTGCAGGTCACACGATAAATCGCAGCAGTGTGAACCAGGGCTTAAACTGGCAATAGATGCATTGAAGTTTGTCCAGATTAGAAGAAAGTGGATGAATTTCAATCTATGTTTGGCCCCCCTTTTTGACAGAAATCAATCGTTAGAATGGGAATGTCGGAAAATGTTTGCAGTCAATGATCAGTGTATTCTGACAGTGGAGAGTCCCGCCGTCAGAATACAATGTCCTGGTGAGGGAGAATCATTCATCTACCTTATTTGTGTAGATGGAGGAATCTGTTCAATAATCCCGCTTTAATATACATTATTTTATCATTAAACTGTATAAAATTAATACATTGCCAGTATTTTAGCTGTTCATATGACTGACTACTATATGTATGTGAGCAACGTAAGTGAGGTCAAGTAAATAAATAGTATTTAGTTTTCTCTTGCCATTGAAAACCAGAAAGAGAATTGTATGCATTAAAAAGGGATAAAATGCACTACAGAAATAAGGCAGACCATACATTAGGCAATTTTCTTTCCTTCAACCACAGGTTAAAGGAAAGAAAATTGCTTAATTTCCCCCATCAACACAGTCAGTGTTGTTTGGGGAATCCCTCCCAGGGCTCTATTGTATTCTGACAGTGGAAAGTTTCCTCACCGTCACAATACAGTGATCACTGCTGGTGGCTATATTCGCCATCAGAATACAATGATCACTGCCGGTGGCTAAATTCACCATCAGAATACAATGATCACTGCTGGTGGCTATATTCGCCGTCAGAAAACAATGATCACTGCTGGTGGCTATATTCGCCGTCAGAATAGAATGATCACTGCCGGTGGCTATATTCACCATCAGAATACAATGATCACTGCTGGTGGCTATATTTGCCATCAGAATACAATGATCACTGCTGGTGGTTATATTCGCCGTCAGAATACAATGATCACTGCTGGTGGTTATATTCGCTGTCAGAATGCAATGATCACTGCTGGTGGTTATATTTGCTGTCAGAATACAATGATCACTGCTGGTGGTTATATTCGCCACCAGAATACAATGATCACTGCTGGTGGCTATATTTGCCGGCAGTGAAAGAATGACAAAAACCCGATAGGCCGGTTGTACTGAAGTTGATCGATAGATCGACTTCAGCACAGCCAGCCTGCTTATAGATGGATCGATATTTGGCCAATTCCTGCTGACCCAGCTGAATTTCGATTCATCTGTGCCCGGCCTACGTCAGCATTTGTAATCAAAGATTCACATTTAATCTGCAGGCATACATCTGAGACATCAGGACATAAAGAGAAATGACTGTACTTACCATAGGATGTATTTCCTGAGAACAGCGAGACATCTGTTTGTTTTGCTGTGGACAATGAGGAGTTTTGCATTTGCCTGTATATACAAGTTGTTGTTACTTTTTTTTGTAGTATTGGATTTAAAAGCAATAAAACAGAATTAATATAAGTATAAGGTTTATCTATCATATTTACAAACAACAGATTTAGGCTGATGGCACACATGGGCGATTTTCTCGCAGTGATCACCGATTACCCTAGACATCTATGTTCACTGAGAATGCAGCAGGTCAAGAGCCAGCTCAGAATAAATACAGAGACATCTGCCAATAAGGAAGGAAATCTGCAATTTTTAATACATTTTTAATTACTTTAATTTCTAAATTCTTAAGAGATTTTCATTTGTGTATAGATGCTTCATTGTTATGTTTTATGCACATTCACTAATTAATAAAATATATTTTTACATGGTTTATACTAAAATATTAAAGTCAAAGAGGAGGTCCAGGCTCCCCCCAAAAAATTAAAAATCATCAGTTACAAATACTGTAGCTGCTGACTTTGAATATAAGGACGCTTACCTGTCCAGGGGTCCAGCGCCATCATCACCCGGGCTAGTTCTTCACTAGTATCCGGGTTCCTGATGCCGGAATTGCATCGAAGGGAAACTGGAAGTGAAGCTATGCGGCATCACAGCTGGCTTCCTACTGTGCATGCGCAAGTCAAACTGTGCCTTGAGTTTAATCCCGCACAATCTTCTGGGACCTGTGAAGTGTCCCAGAAGACTGGAGGGGAAGAAGGGGAGCCAAACTGTCAAAACTAGGTATCCTATCCCCCCTCCCTCCAGGAAAGTTTCAAATTTGGCAGTGGAGGGGGGGAAGAGGCAGGCAAAGTGGAGCATCCCCTTTTTGGGTGGAGCAGTGCTTTAATTGTACCATTCTCCAAACATGAACCTTCATCTTCTGCTCCATGAACTGTCCTAAATGCCTTCCTTCAATTCAACATCTTAAGCCGGCCATAGATAGATTGAAATTCAGCCACTTCAGCAGGAACCCGAAAAAAACTTCTATGGGCAGGCTGGTTGTACTAAATTCAGTCTATCGATCATTTTCAGTACAACCAACATGTCTGGGGTTTTTTTTGTGCGATCAGTGCCATCAGCTATAGCCACCAGCAATGCTCATTGTATTCGGTCGGTGGGGAAGGCTGGAGAGATTACCCCATTGATACTGATTATATTTATGGGGGAATCAGCAATTGTCTTTCCTTTAACCCATGGTTGAAGGAAAGAAAATTGTTTAGAAAATTGCATAATCTATGGCTAGCCTAAGTCCTTATCTCCATTTTTAACTACTTCCTCTGACCACTGATGCATGCAGAGGGCAGTGACACATATTTGTCACAAGAAACCAGGGTGACTTTGACATGCTGTCTGATTGACAGCCCGGCTTTACATTCTCTAAGCTATGGAAGAAACAAGATGAGGCATCCAACAGTGGAACAAGGAGGTCTTGGGGCACAGACTGAACTAGATTTTTTTATCATCAATGCACAAATGAGCTGTTTGAAATATGAATTGTTTATATATGGTGCAAGTTGCAGTAAACATTGGCAAGAGAAAAAATTAAGACTGCCATAGATGGCTCAAATTTTGGATGATTCTTGCTGAATTGGCTGAACTTCAAACCACGGGTTGCCCTGTGGGCACCACGTGGCTTGACAAGGGTAGATTTTTCAATTGTCCTTTCTCAAAGGTGCCGGTGGAAAATTGTCAGCTGAACAGTGACTGGATCCAATTGGGAATTCTGATAGCCACAGGTATCAGCTATCAGAATACAATGTAATGTGGGCTGAGAAAGAGTAATCTATACATGTATGGCTAGCTTTACTTTTATGCCCCATTCACACCTGATAGACACTGAAGCATCACGTTTTTTTCCACTTTGAGGTGCCGTTAAGTTATAATGGCTCTGCAAATGTATTGTGCGTTGTAGCCTGTTTTTAGCCTGTTTTCAGAAGCTCTTTTCTGACCCGATTCTGCTGTGCTTAGGTGTGAATGGGGCCTAATTCATAGCTGAATTTAGTTTAAGGAAGTATCGCTTTCACATGTCATAGCTAATACATATTAGCATCAGGGCTAACACATAAAGATTTTGAAATAAAAATGTTTTACTTATCTTAACTTCCAATAGGCTTCCAACAATCATTTCTACAGTATAAGACTGAATTGACACAAATGAAGTTCCACTACAACTAAAACAAGCTATAAAAATATTATCCAAAACCACTAACAAATCACAATAGCTTACAGAAAGGTAAATTATTATGATGTCCCATTGGTAGTAAATTGTTACATCATAATAGACACTATAGCAAGGGTAAACTTATCATTTAAAGCCTAAGCACAGCCAAAATTAAAAAAAACCCTGAAAAATCAGCACAAGGTACATACATTACAGTCAGTAGGATGTGTCCCTTGTGCTGATGTCTCTTCTTTTAGGTGAAGTCCTCCTCTGTTCATGCCCACCCCCACCCTCGCCACCCTAATATTCTGGTGTTCATAGAACTAAGGGGCTATCATGGTCCCTCATCAAGTGAGCCCAACTATGCTCGCCCTTTCCACCCAGCCTCACCATTCACAGAAGCTGTACTACAGCTCCTATGAATTAAACATGAACTACAGTATGAATGGAGAATGACTGTACGATTGAAAGGTCTCCCCTCTCCATTCATAGATTGCATTTCATTCATAGAAGCTGTAGTACGGTTTCTATGAAAGAAGGCACTGGGCTGAGAGTGCGGGCATAGTTTGCGAAAAATTGCGGCAGTGAGGTGGGGGGGCATGCACGAAGGAGAATATCACCGAAAAAAGAGGCATCAGCACAAGGGGGGACACATCCTACTTAGTGTAAGTTATGTCCCTTTTGATGTTTTTTTTTTTTGCTGCACTTAGGCTTTAACCAATAGAAGGGTAGCAAAGATTGGGATTTTTAAGTCACCAAAAATATATTTTCAGACAACATAAAAGTACTAAATATATTATTGTTCATTTTAGAACACCATGCATATAAAAACATGGCAACAAAAAGGATCCTTGGACAAAAATTAAAGCCACAGTGTAACACATAAACAATGCATGTAGAAACCCCTACGCGTTTCAATTCTTCACACAAATCTTCATCAGGGAAATGTATCACAGTGGTTAAATAGGACCAAGAAGGGCAAAATCATCAAATTTCCCAGAAGGGGAGAACCCCCCTAAAGAGGCCCAGAACACAAAGGTCTCCATGGAGTATCCCAGGAATCCAGAGACACTGCTAGGTTTAGAAGTCTACTCAGGGTAGATAAACAGATATTTGAGAATGTGTTCAGCCACATAAAGAAAAGGGGAGAAGACTGGGTGGTGACTACCAAAATGCAGATATACAAAAAGAGGAGTTTTCTCACCAAGATAAATAGGACATGGGGGCCTGCTCAGGTATGCAACCATCCAGTACATTTTGTACTTTTATTTTTGTCTGACAATATATTTTTTGGTGCTTTAAAAATCCCGATCTTTGCTACCATTTTATTCATTCATTAATGGGATGTGGCACTTGTCATAACCAGATAGGGCTACCTAGAGTTATAGGCTTTAACCTAAAGAATGTAGAGAAGATAGACAGCGGCGCCACTCTAAGTGTAGAAGGTTTCATAACCGGCAAATTTAATGGTAAAATGCACTCACAATGGTAGGTAGCAAGTAGACATGTCATAAGAATGGAGGTCCAGTGGAGCATGAAGTCCTGGGCCGTGCTCTGATTGTATCCCCGCAGGTCCAGTGGCTCGAGGAGTAGCAGAGAGGCACAGATTAAGGATTAAGGAGTCAGTGGTCACCAGCTCTGTATCCCTGGAGAAGTCACGTGTTATCATGACACAAAATGTCAGACTATAGCGTGGTGATGCAATTACGCACGGATGGCAGCCATATTTGAACTCCCTATGCAAGCACCCTGACTGTGGGTTATACAGTGCATGCCTGGTGGGTCTATGACCCAATTGTAATGTGTGAGAAGGTCTTTGGCATTTGTGTATGGTATAATAAACTTTACTCTATTACACTATGGTGGCTTTTTCTCTGATTCCCTGTTTATGAGCCATTGGGAGAGTGGAGGAGTTTTGTAAAGGTGCCTTACCATTGTAATGGTTGATTAACCGAGGGCTGTGTGAAGCTAATCCTGTGTCCATCCAGAGAGTGAGATTGATCCCACCTGGGACTAACTGGTGATTTGTTATGCCTTATGACTCCTTGAGGGTCAAAGATTGGAGGTAAGCATGCACACTAGATGGTGACAGATGGTTTGATGCACTTGAGCACGTATTTACTTTCATGGTCGAAGATTGATTCATAACAGTTATACGTTTGGGACTTTGTGCTATATGATTTATGAATATTGTTCATTTATAATCACATGTATTTATATTTGGTTAATATTTGTTTCACTTAAATCACCTATCACTTATATTTAGTCACATTCTTGATGGCATGTTTTTGGGATACACATTAGGTGCACAACTGTACACCTATATCAATTCATATAATTTATGTATTCACCCATTTAATGTTGAGTCCTTTATTAATTTTTTATGTCAATTATCACATGGTATTAGCGCTATACCACCTTATCTACTTATGTTTCATCCGTTCTAGTCTAGTTAGGTGTCAGCAGCTTCTTCGTTTCAGAATCTTTGGAAGCGCATGAGTCCACCCCCCTTCATTTAGCCCTGTATTGCTCTGTATCTGGCACCCTTAGTGTTACCAACGGCTCTCCCATTTGCAGTGTGGCTCAATTGGCATAATTGCCCTGCCCACTCGCATTGCCCTTATTAACCTCCACTAAGAGGGCCACCGGATCAGCCTGACAAAGGAGCGTGCATGCTCCAAACGCATGCCATCTTGGAAACCCGGTCCGAGCTGTGACGCCATCTCAGTGAGCCTCCCTGCGCCTCTTTGCTACTCCCTGAACCCTGGACACCACTGGAGTGGTGGGGATACACCCAGAACGCAACCCAGGACTTCATGATCCACCGGACCTCTATTCTTATGACATGCCTACTTGCTACCTGTGAGTGCATTTTACCATTACATTTGCCTGTTTTTAAACCTTCTACACTTAGAGTGGTGCCGCTGTCTCTCTTCTCTGCCTGCATATAGGAGTATCTACAAGCTCTCACAGTCGGTTGCCTCCTCTCACCAACCCACATATCCACAAGCCTTCCATCAAAAATGGAATTGGACAATATTTCCACATGGACCTTAACTCTTACCAACCATGGTCCACCCCCTACCCCCCACAGGGTAGCTGATCTAGCGCTCCCTATCCCCATTTATTTTAACCTAAAGAATGCCGTTCTTGAGCAAGATATGTTCCTTTTGCAGCACTGAGTAAAACCATATTATTATATTATTATAATATATTAATATACAGTATATTTGCTCTGTGTAATGTGAATTACCAAAATAAATCTCATGAAATCATTTAAATCCTTGAAGAACAACACTATACTAATAATATATACTTACTGGAACAGGGAATCCTTCATGTTCCATTCTCATTTGTGGATCCAAATAGACAAACTGCCAGCAGGTTTCATATGATGGCTGATCTGTTAAGCTAACTTCTTGCAAATGAGATTTCTTACTGCTTTTTAGAAATGTTTTTTGGTCACTTGTCAGATATAACTGGAAAATATATAGATAAATAAAAGGATAAATCACTTTAGTTTTGTTATGTGTGTAGCACCCTCCTAGACAGGTTGGTAGAAAGGCTAGGTAAATTTAGCTTTTTTGGCGTCTCTGTAATCAGTGGTGGAGTGTGATTGCTTTGGGCTATTCTAGGTTTCACTAGTTACAGGTTTGACTGCTTCCCCCTGCCTTCTGGAGGATTAAAGAATGTAGTGAGTTGGAAAAGGCAAATTGGCTGCATGAATATTTATGTTGTCTCACCCAAACCCTGGGGAGGATTCCTAGTAGGTGGCGGAGGAGTGCATAAATCATCTGGGGCCAGAGGCAGCCTTGCTCTTGTCCAGGAGAAGTTCCCAGTCTGAAGAGCTGCTGCCCTTCTGGGTAGTGCAGCTGAAGCTCATCGAGGTCCCAGCTAAGCTAGAGCTGGGGACCTCCTTTTCTGAGAGCTGATCAAGGAATTTCACTGAGGGTTAGGGGTTAAAATTACCCTGTCACTAAAAGTAAACTTTACATTCATTTGACCCTCGAAAAACAAAAACATTAAATATTCCCCTCTTCTGTTACCAACACTGTTGATCCCTACAGTAGTGAAGAGATACTGGTGCCTTAAGAACCTGCAGAATCCAACACTTCTGGGAGTGTCAACTCCTATCTCACTACAGGATACAGTAGTGACGAGGCTGGTGGATTAAACCAGCACAGAAGGAACCAAGAATCTTACACTACCAGAACTGATGAATTCAGGAGGATCTTCAGATACCATCACCTCTTCCCCACTCCAGAGTTTGGTGGCACAGGCAGAAGAGCAGCTAGTGTCCAGGAACAGTCATCTTTCTCTAACCATGGGTAATCATTGGCTGTACAATTACATAACAACAATGGATAGCCTCTGTCAGCTGTCATCCACCTCTACATCCAGTAGCAGGATTCTGCTAGTTTCTTGATGCTTTTGGAACATTTTTTCCAATTTAAATGAGGCCTTAAACTTGTTAACTAGTAGGTTTGAGCCCTATTACTCTTGTAAAAGTGTAAACCAGCGGTTTGTTAAAATCCCTAAATTACCAGATTGTCACTCCAGGTTTAATTCCATCCTAAAGTTATTCTACCTTTATATTTTGGATCATGTAATGAATATTTTAGGAACACTTTTGATAGAAACTCCATCTATTTTGTTTAACATTACAAACTGCTCTGCACTTTCAATGTCATCTCCTCCTAGAACAATTCTATCTGCCTTAGTGACATAATCCTGTGAAAATAAAAATTAAAAGAGTTGTGTGGTGTATTGTGAAAGTGGAATTTATTTAGGCACTGCTAATTAAAAAGGAGTGTTTTATGGTCTCAGTGTATGAATTATGTTCTTGCTTCACTTACATGTCCCATGAAACCATCTGTTGTCCTTAAGGCAAAGTTCTGTCCATAATGTAGAGGCTTCCCATGTCCACTGCCATCCACACTGTTCCCCAATAACATGGAAAAACATTAAATAAAGTTACTTTAGAAAAGTCAGAGTTTAAGAGCTTTAGAGTAAATCTAAAGGGTCTGTGTGGCAGTTTAAACAGGTCTTAGGCTAGGTTCACACCTATGCAGTTTGCTTTTGATCAGTTTCTGCAGTGCTTTTTGCGGTACGTTTTTGCAAATGTATTTTTGATGTGTTTTGCAGGGTTTTGTTCTTCTTGTTGCTAGACAGATTAAAACGCAGCAAACTCATCAAAAGTGCATCAAAAACACAGCAAAAACGCACTACATGCTTTTCTGCAGCATCCCCATTGAAGTCTATAGAACCAAAAACGCAATGTTTTGCTTTTAAAAAAGTCCCTGACTCCCAGATTGCAAACAACGCACCTGGTGAAAACATGGAGATGTGAACATGTCCCATAGGAAATCATGTTAAATGGACTGCTGTGCGTTTCCACAAAACGCTGCAGAAAAATGCTTAGGTGTGAACCTAGACTAATAGTATATGTAAGCCCTCACCCTGTAAAACACTCCATTCAGTTTAAAATAGAAATGCAAAGCAAAACATTTGTGTATATACAGTACAGTGCAGGTATGAAGAAATGCTGTAAAGTAAAAAATGCTTTAAAAAATATATATTTTAATTGTTTATTTTTATCAATGTATCAAATGCAAAGTGAGTGAACAGAAGAAAAATCTAAATCCAATCAATATTTGGTGTGACCACTTCAAACCAGAATCAATTAAATTCATCAAGCTCTTTTGAAGAAGCACAAAGAAATGGGTAAAGATGAGAGCCGAAGATGCAGTGGTCGTCCATGAAAAGATACATCATGCTTACTGTCCTTCAACACCGGAAGACTTCCAGCAGTGCCATCAGCACAGAACTGGTGGAAATCAGTGAGACCCAGGTACACCCATCTACTGTTTGTAGATGTCTGGCCAGAAGTGGTCTTCGTGAAAGAATTGCGGCCAAAAAAGCCATACCTCCGACATAGAAGCTATGCACGGAAACATTGGAACTGGGGTTCACAAAAATGACAGCAGGTGCTCTGGACCGATGAGTCAAAATTTGAAATATTTGGCTGTAGCAGAAGGCAGTTTGATCGCTGAAGATCTGGAGAGCAGTACAATATTGAGTCTCTGCAGGCAACAGTGAAGCATGGTGGAGGTTCCTTGCAAGTTTGAGGCTGCATTTCTGCAAATTAAGCTGCAGATTTGGTCAGGATCAATGGTATCCTCAATGCTGAGAAATACAGGCAGATACTTATCCATCATGCCATACCATCAGGGAGGCAGATGATTGTCCCAAAATTTATTCTGCAACAGGACAACAACCCCAAACATACAGCCAATGTCATGAAGAAATACCTTCAATGTAAAGAAGAACAAGGAGTCCTGGAAGTGATGGTTTGGCCCCCATAGAGCCCTAATCTCACCTTCATGGAGTCTCTCTGGGATTACATGAAGAGACAGAAAGATTTGAGGCAGCCTACATCCAAAGAAGATCCTTGGTTAGTTCTCCAAGATGTTTGGAACAACCTACCTGCCGAGTTCCTTCAAAAACTGTGTGCAAGTGTACCTATTAAAATAAATGCTGTTTTGAAGGCAAAGGGTGGTCACACCAAATATTGATTATATTTAGATTTCTCTTCTGTTTATTTACATTAATTGTGTTAATTGATAAAAATTAAATATTAACACTTCTATTTCTAAAAGCATTCCTAATTTACAGAATTTTTTCATACCTGCCTATAACGTTTGCAGAGTACTGTGTATAAAAAAATTATAGACACCTTTTTCTTTTTTAATAAACAATCTCTGTTCCCAGCTGCATACGGGGAAAAGAGCAGTATACTGATCTTCCCAGTGATTAGTTGTATGGGGGGGTCAGCATAAATCTGTCTATTGGATTACAGGCAGGATGTGCACCCAGCTCAGCTAGAAAACTGACCATGTTGGGATGGATGAGCTTTTATGCCTAGCATCAGTTTAAAATAGGACAGGAAAGGGGTGACAGGATCACCAGGTATTCCATACAAGGGTAGCATTACTACGAGAACAGGATACTTTTTTAACATAAGTACAAGGTACAGCAGACACATATCAGGAATATGAAATGTTGGGGTAACAAAAACACTTTAGATTAGAGGAACTGAATTTATTCTCTCTTGAGAAGAGAAGATTAAGTGGGGATATGATCAACATGTATAATACATCAGTGGTTCATATAGTGAACTCGGTGTAGAGTTATTCACCCTGAGGTCATCACAGAGGACAAGGGGGCACTCTTTACGTCTGGAGGAAAATAAATTTAATCTCCAAACACGGAAAGGTTTCTTCACAGTAAGAGCTGTGAAAATGTGGAATAGACTCCCCCAAGAGTTGGTTCTGGCCAGCTCAGTGGAGTGCTTTAAAAAAGTCCTGGATTCTTTCTTAGATACACAGAATATAACTGGATAGTAACATTTATAGGTAAAGTTGATCCAGGGAATATCCGATTGCCTCTTCGGGGATCAGGAAGGAATTCCCTGCAGGAGTAAATTGGATCATGCTTTGCTGGGTTTTTTTTTTGCCTTCCTCTGGAGCAATTGTGGGTATAGGATTATAACTTTTTTTTTTTAATGGTTGAACTGGATGGACGTTTGTCTTTTTTCAGCCAGACTAACTATGTAACCTTATGGCCCTATTCATGTATAGTATAGTTGTCTTTTCTGAACTTCATCAGCAGTTACACTATAGTGCATATATATAAAATGCTCATTGGGTCAAAAACACGGCGTTTAATTGAATAATATCCTATACATGCAGATTTGGTACACTGTACCAAAGTTGCATGGGTGCCATATTATTCAGTTAAACACTGTGTTTTTGACCCAATGCATGTTACATATACTGTATGCACTGTAGTGTACTGTATGTGCGCCTCGAAGTTACATGTTTAGGACCTGTCTGTAGGAGAACTAAAAATAATGAATACATATGTTTCTATCATTTTTTTAGAGTTTATGTGAAACTGTGATGTGATGATATCATGTACCTTGTTATAATGAAAGCATTCCTGGCACATGGCTTGACATTGCTGCTGCCACTGACGCCACACGGTGCTGTTAGGTGGCTCTTTAAATGTAAAGCACTATCATCTGGGTTAGCTGAGACGGTGTAGTTCCCACATACCGGGGATGGGTTACTTAATGACTGCTCGCTGTTCTCTGGATTCAGCAGCATAACTGCATCACCAAAGTGGAGAAAGCCGTCCTTGGAGATGGAAAGCTCCGCCTAATATAAAGAAAGGAAAAAGAAATCAGTTCACAGCACTAGCCATCAAAAATTCCAGCGTACCTCATTCAAGTGATAATAATTTTTCTAGACAAAGTTAATTACAGGTGGTCATGATACCACTCCTTCACCTTTCACACGCTTTTCCAACAAAACAACCCCCCCTCATCCCCCGTGTATTCCAACATCCGCAGGTCATTACATACCACTGCTTTTTAAAAAGGTGCTCCTTTTCCAATCTATTGCAGTAGGCTGTGGGCAGCCTGTCAACAAACACTCTTATGGCTCATACACACAATGAGAATAATGTGCTACACAGAGTGCAGAGTTCATGCGTGTGCTACATACAGAGTGCAGAGTTCATGGGTGTGCTACATAGAGTGCAGAATTCAGGGGGGTGTGCTACATACAGAGTGCAGAATTCAGGGGTGTGCTACATACAGAGTGCAGAATTCAGGGGTGTGCTACATACAGAGTGCAGAATTCAGGGGTGTGCTACACAGAGTGCAGAATTCAGGGGTGTGCTACACAGAGTGCAGAATTCAGGGGTGTGCTACACAGAGTGCAGAATTCAGGGGTGTGCTACACAGAGTGCAGAATTCAGGGGTGTGCTACACAGAGTGCAGAGTTCATGGGTGTGCTACACAGAGTGCAGAATTCAGGGGTGTGCTACACAGAGTGAAGAATTCAGGGCGTGTGCTACATACAGAGTGCAGAATTCAGGGGTGTGCTACACAGAGTGCAGAATTCAGGGGTGTGCTACACAGAGTGCAGAATTCAGGGCGTGTGCTACACAGAGTGCAGAATTCAGGGGTGTGCTACATACAGAGTGCAGAATTCAGGGGTCTGCTATACAGAGTGCAGAATTCAGGGGTGTGCTACACAGAGTGCAGAGTTCATGCGTGTGATACATACAGAGTGCAGAATTCAGGGGTGTGCTACACAGAGTGCAGAATTCACGAGTGTGCTACATACAGAGTGCAGAATTCAGGGATGTGCTACATACAGAGTGCAGAATTCAGGGATGTGCTACACAGAGTGAAGAATTCAGGGATGTGCTACACAGAGTGCAGAATTCAGGAGTGTGCTACATACAGAGTGCAGAATTCAGGGTGTGCTACACAGAGTGCAGAGTTCATGGGTGTGCTACATACAGAGTGCAGAATTCAGGGGTGTGCTACACAGAGTGCAGAATTCAGGAGTGTGCTACATACAGAGTGCAGAATTTAGGGGTGTGCTACACAGAGTGCAGAATTCAGGGGTGTGCTAGATAGAGTGCAGAGTTCATGGGTGTGCTACATACAGAGTGCAGAATTCAGGGGTGTGCTACACAGAATGCAGAATTTAGGGGTGTGCTACACAGAGTGCAGAGTTCATGGGTGTGCCACACACAGAATATAGAGTTCAGGGGTGCTCTCATCTTCTCCCCCACTCCTTTAGGGCTGGCTCAAACCAAATGTAGTCCAGTGTGTTGTTTTTTTTTTTTGCATCAAAAGCTCATGGATAGTAGTTTATTAGGTTTTTAATGGCATAGTTCACACCAGTGCAGTCAGTTCCAGTGCATTCCAGTTCCAGAAAAAAGTAGAATATGCAGCATTTTTTCTGCACTGAACTCTACTGGAACGCTGTAAAACGCAACAAAAATGCACCTGAATGCATCTAAATGCAAGGAAAATGCACCAGAATGTACATGTCCTTATTTAGGTATAGAAAACAAGAGGGGGAGAAATGCACTGGAACGCATCAAAAATGCTCTGGAACGCATCAAAAATGTTCATGCAGAAATGCATGTGGAACGCATTCAGACTGCATTGCTAAGGTGTGAACGGGCCGTAAAAGCTCCACCATCTTCCACATATCTTACTTTTGTTGCCATATTAAGTTGAACCACCCAGTCGGCTATAGGACCTCCCCACACACTGCAAGCAGCTCCACCTCTTTCACTTGCAGGAAGATCATCCAATGGTGTCATCGGCATCCTGGCACCAGGGGAAAAAGAGATCACAGAGGGTGCAGCCTACCACATGACCCCTCCTGTCCATGACTGAACTGCACCCCAGGCATCAGCATCTGCCTTGTCCTCATCCTGCACTCAGTGGGATCTGCTTAGGAGATCTGATCTGTGGGAGACGTTGGGAGACAAACTATCTCTTGTAAACACAGAAGCTGGACTTCTGTGATTACAAGTGTTAGTGGTGAGGAGGCAGCCTTGGCATGTGTTAGTAAACCTGTACATATCATTGCACCTATTTAGTATATCCAGGTGATAAATGCTAATGCATATCTACTGATTTTTTTTTTATTATTATTTTTCAGATTTTTTTCTGTTTTCAAAGAAAAACTGGCCCATAATTGTATTTTTAAATATACAGTAGCTATATATTTCTAGCCGTTTCCATAACCCACTGGCAAAAAAACAAAATACATGATGCTACTCTTGACATTTGAGCAGAATATATTATATTCTTTATATTTTTTAGTATATCACTTGTTTTTTTTATTATTTTTATTTTTTTTCATTTAGTATATTTGTTTTTTGTACCCACAAAGCACCAGAAAACAATAGTACACATTTTTTTTTTTATCCTACCCAACCACACTTATACTAAGGCTAGGTTCACACTACTGCAATTGCTTTTAGGTCCACCTTTCGGTGCATTTACGTAGTGCAACTTGGATGAAGCTTCATGTCGCTTATACAGTATATTCTATGGGACTGAAATCATGCTGGAATCACATCAACATAGTACAGAAACCTTTTCCAAAAACACGTTGTGCTGAGTTGCATTGATGTGAATGGGCACTATTGAAAACAATGTGATTTCCATTGTCATGTGATTCTGGGTAACTCAAGTCGCATATGAAATCGCATTAGTTTGAACAGAGCTTAAATTAATAAAAACGTTTTTTTTTAATGCTACCGAAACCAAACTGACCCTGACCTTTGATAGAAACAAGAAACAACCCACGGGCTTGTTTTTTTTTTTTTTTTTTTTTTCGTTTTATTAGGGAATTGAACTAAGATGGGGTAAAGGGGTTATGGAATGCCCGATTTGATTGCAGAATAACAATTTGAGGACAACATCCTTCTCTAGAAAATGCTACAACAATGGCAGATGAATGACTGTGGTCCAGTCAGAACACTGACAGTCTCTTTAGCAAAATACGGCAACTTGCAGGAGCTCTAAGCCCCAGGGGCGGACTGACCATTCAAGCACTCAGGCTCTGCCCGAGGGCCCAGGGTCAGTAGGGGGCCCCATGAAATGCCCCTGGTAACTTTTTTATAGGCTTTTTTTGAGTGTGGGCAAGGACACGGGCCCCATGATCCCCTATTGTCCGGGGGCCCCATGAGTTGTCAGTCCGCCCCTGCTAAGCCCCCTTGAAAAAATTTTTAGCAAAGCCCAGACTTCTAGGAGCTCTAAGTCCCCTGAGATACTCAGTCCACCTGGCTACAGTATCTGATCCCAGGACAAGGGATTGGGTAAGCTATGAATTGTCCCCTGAAGACTTGCCAGAACTTGCATCCAGCAGACTTCTCCCTTCTAGGCCCTGGGGGTGTAGAGGTACTCACACTGTTCGTGTCCTGTAGCTATGGATAGAACTGCCTTCAGGCCTTTGTAGCTGGGCTGGTTCTTCTCCAAGCTTTGCAGGCTGTCCTTCCTTGGTGGACTGCAGAGCAGTGAAGCTCCCTCTTTCAATTTTTCTCCCTCAGCTTCCAGCCTCCAACCTGGAAGCAAGACCCCCTTCTCCAGAGTTCACTCCCAGGCTACACAGCAGCACCTCTCAGCACTCTATCTTCCACCCGACTCCCCTTCTGGCAGGGCAGTGGATAAGGGGGTACCACTAGTCCTTCTGTATGGGGCCCAGGCCAGCAGGGGGGGCCCAGGCAGCTGAGTGAATCAGATGTGGGCAGGGAAGGTGGCTTCTTCTCCTCTCCCACCCTCTGGCTTTTAGCTGCCACAGAGAGAGCCATACAGGGGATCAGTTCCAGTAATTGCCCTCGTAGCACCCATCACCCTCACTGTGCATCATACATTTCCCCCTGCTACCCAAGTCCCCCAGTATGCCCCTACAGTGCTGTCGGCTTCCCTCTCCTTCCCACCAGCATCTACAAGCACATAATAGGATCCTTCATGATGGAGAGTGGGGGAAGGGTCCAGGAAATATGTCCCATTTATCAGCCTCTTCCTTTCTTGAATGAACACAATGAGTGATCAGTAACAATTACTCACTGCATTAATTCATAACTGAAGCATAGTAAACTGTGTTTTTTTTTGTTGGGGTCCCTGTCAGGTTGGCTGTATGGGTCCCTGTGGTTTCTAACAGCAGCCCTCCCTGCTGGCCAGGCTCTGGCATATTTATGCGTTGATAAGCCACACTGCCAGGACTCCTGCCTGGGATTGGCCAGACTCCCATAAATATACAAATTAGTCCTTCCTCACCTCCACCTACTGACTTCTAGGCAGCATAATGTTCTCCACGGCTTCTCCAGACCTTTTCACGTCTGTCACATGTGCTCAGGGTGAACCTGCTCTCATCTGTGAAAAGCACAGGGCACCAGTGAAGGACCTGCCAATTCTGGTGTTCAATGGCAAATGCCAATCGAGCTCTATGGTGCCGAGCAGTGAGCACAGGGCCCACTAGAAGACATCGGACCCTCAGAAAAGACAAAACATGGCTCTTCTGCGTTAAAAATCCTGCCTGTCCGACCATTTTCATTGTGGAGCTTAAAGTTCCACTTTAACCAAAAATCCCTGAAAAAGGATTGTGATGCAACCAGCCTAAAATGCAAATTGAATGAAATTCCAAGCTGTGTTCCAATTGTCATCAGACTACATATGTACAGAATTTATATACTTCATTGAATATACTTTTATTAGTATTTGCAACAAATGTGTGGTGAATAATGGATTTTTGTTTTATATGATGTCCTCCCCAATACATGCCTCACATGCTCCCCACAGGCAGCGCTGTGGCACAATCTGTCACCCGCTGTGTCCACCAGACACGATATAGAAGTGTATTTCCCTCTTACACCCTGGTCACATCGGGTGTGACTTGGCATGCGATTTGCATTCCATGCGACTTGCAAATCGTATGCCAAGTCACACCCTGTTGTCTGCAATTACATTGGTCAAATCGGTGCGGTTCTGACTTGGTCGGAGCCGCACCGACTTCTAAAGAAGTACATGTACTACTTTTAGTGCGATTTGCATAGACATCTGTGTCAGATGTCTTGCAAATCGCACCTGAAATCGACATCTCACCAGACTTGGAAATCGTGCAACTTCACTGTAAGTCGCACTATTTCAAAGTCGGGCTTGATGTGACCGGGGGGGGGGGGGGGGGTAAAGACACTGGTGTAACTGCTCTTTGTGACCTGGTGAATGTATAGGTGAATCTTCCTGTATGGGTGAATCTGTTATACACACATAACCACTTACCTTTTGCAAAACATTTTTCTTGAAATGACTGGACTTTTGCAAAAGCAATTCCCCTTTTTCTCTTTTTTCTAAAAAAAATCCTTCAAGAGATCCTATAATATAGAGAAGACAATATATAAATCAAGAGGAAAGATACAGTGAAATAAACATGAGGGGTTTCAGAACGCATTTTGCCACAGTTCAGAGGATGTAGCACCTCCGATCAATGTGTACCTTTTGACAAGCCTGGGTTCGCACAGGAGCAGTGGGGAAACAATCGCATTCCTGTTAAAATCGCATGCTAATCTTTGCGGTACAATTTGTATTGATGCAAATTGCACCGCAAAGTATTGGTTTCCAGGTTTCAGGAGCATTTTCGTGAGTACTCGTGAAAATGCTCGGTATCAGTGACAGCACCCCATGCAGCTTCCCTGTCACATTCTTTTTTTCACTTGGACAGGTGGGGTGTCGGGGGCAGCATATACAGGAACTGATCCTCTCCATTTCCCCCCCTGCAACCGCTGAAAGTGGTCATAAAATAGAATGACGGGTTTTGCTCACCTCATCCAGGGAAACATCCTCATTCCAGTTCCCGATCCGGACTGATGCGCTGAAGGTTCGGACACTCATCCTGGCTGTGATATTTCTGCTCGCTGCCCAGTCTCAGTGCATTCCTGTTGTTATAGCAACCATTTGTTTACATGTTACTATGGATATGGAGCCCTAAATGAATGCAGTACAATGCTATATATATCTGTGTGGCAATGCTGACATCTAGTGGACAAAATGAATATTGCAGGCACCTTAGCTCTCCATAGGGCTTATTCAGCCCTCATTCGCAAAGTCAGAGCTGCTGTTAGAAACCATGGGGCCCCATACAGCAAATCTGACAGGGTCCTCCCCACCCCCAAAAAGATAATATACTATGCTTCAGTTATGAATGAACACAGTGAGTAATCGGTACAGATCACTTGTTGTGTTCATCCTGAAGGATCCTGTTCTGTGCTTGCAGTTACCAGTGGGAAGGAGAGGAGGGAACCAAGGAGCACTATGGGGGTGCGCACACACAGAGGGGCCTGGGCAACAATGTACAGTGCACAGGGAGATTGATGGGTTTGGCAAGGGGGCAATTACTGGAACTGATCCCCTGTATGGCTCTCTACAGCAGCTGAAAGCAAGCGGGAGGGAGAGGAGAAGAAGCCAGTCTTCAGCTGCTGCAGAGAGAACCATACAGGGGATCAGTTCTAGTAATACCCCCCCCCCCCCACCACCACCACCACCTCCACCATGCTGATCACCCTCCTTACACACATCTGATGTACCCAGCTGCCTGGGCCCCCCTGCTAGCCTGGGCCCTGTACAGGAGGACTGGTGGTACCCCCTTATCCACGGTCCTGCACATAGTCTCCTTGTCATTGTATTCACTGCTGCCCTATATTAGAACTACTGCTACAGGGCGGCAGGACTGTGCAAACGCACGTGTGTGTATATATATATATATATATGTGATTTGCATTTCTGGGTAGGGTGGCACGCGTGTGCGCAGCTCTACCCGCGCTGCTATTGGTGGCTAGGGATGTCATTTCTCCAGATCCCAGCCAGCGATTCCTGGCTGACACAGCAGAGCAATGCAAAGCTGCTTGTCTATATAATAAAAACACACACAGCTAACCCTTTGATCAACCCAGATGTTAACTCCTTCCTGCCCAGTGTCATTGGTACAGTCTCAGTGCTTTTTATTATCACTGATCACTGTATTGGTGTCACTGGGGATGTCAATGGCAGTTAGTTCCCCCCAGTGTAAGAATGCCTGCAGCTGTCCCTCTATAAGTCGCTGATTGCCACCATTACTAGTATATAAAAAAAATACCAGTATCTATACCACCATTTGTAAATGCTACCCTATAAATTTCACGTAAACAAATTAATTTACAAATATTGGGATTTTGTTTAGCAAAGACATGTAGCAGAATATATTTTGGCCTAAATTTATGAAGAAATTTGATTATTTAAATATTTTTTATTTATATTTTATAGCAAAAAGTTAAAAAAAACTGTTCTTTTTTTTCCAAAATTGTTGGTCTTTTTATGTTTATAGCGCAAAAAATAAAAAATGCAGAGGTGATCAAATACCACCAAAAGAAAGCTCTATTTGTGGGGAAACAATGACAGAAATTTCATTTATGCACAGAGTTGCATGACTGCGCAATTGCCAGTTAAAATAATGCAGCACTGTATCGCAAAAAAGGGCTTGGTCAGGAAGGGGAATCCTCTGGAGGGCAAGTGCCGCCAAAGCCATTTTCGCATTTTCTGCACACACATTTAAAAAAGAATTTTAGGCCTGAAAATAACATAAACCCCCCCTTACCAAAACATTATTTTCTGAAAGCAGACACCCTAGAGAATAAAATAGTGGTCGTTCCAATTTATTATGTCACACAATAGTAGCACAATGGCTTACGAAATGCAAAATTTCAGTAAAACAATAAACTAAAGGTAATTTTAGAGCTCATAAACACAATGGGGGAGATTTACTATAATTTTAGAGTGCAAAATCTGGTGCAGCTCTGCATAGAAACCAATCAGTTCCAGGTTTTATTGAACAAGGTGCAGTTGACTGGCTACCATGCACAGCTGCACCAAATTCTGTGTGCACCAGTTTTAGTAAATCTCCCTCAATATATTACCCTTTTTTGTAGTAAAACATTTACAAAAGAAGTTTAGGTTTTTTTTTTTCTGAAATCATACTTGCCTAGGTGGATGCAGCAACGGTCCGATGCTGCATCTGTCCCCCATCGGCTCTAAGTGTGAGAACTGACATGACCGTTCTGCCGCTGTGAGCACAGAGAGCTGACTGTCAGTCATCACTCTCTGCTCTGCCCCACCTGCGCTTACTGGAGTACCGGGCTGTGAAGAGGGAGGGAATGGCTGGCAGATTGAAGATTGCTGAGAGGCTGAGCCAGGTGCCACTTCAGACTTTGGGCTGGATCCCGTCTTTAAAATCAGGATCTATCCCCAGCCTGGACCGGCTGAGTGATGTCAGCCAACAGTGGGCTTCAGCCCACTGTCAGCTGTGTAGCACTATCCCTTTGCTGAAGGCTTTGGGTCTCCCTATAATCCTACACAGCCAGGCAACACGCATCTTCACACAAGCTAGAAAAAAAAGAAATAGGGGGACTGCTTTTGCAAAAATCAAGTCATTTCAAGAAAAATGTTTTGCAAAAGATAAGTGGTTATGTGTGTATAACAGATACACAAGGAAGATTCACCCATATCTAGCACTACCACCTTAGGTGTCACTAGAAGATTTGTGTCCCCCTATAGTCCTGCACAGCCAGGCATTGCACATCTTCCCACAAGCTTGTATCCAGAGTCAGAGATCAGTTCTTGAGCTTTGGTTTTGTTTATTTTTATTTAGGGGATTTAAACTGGGATAGGGTTAGGGGTGTACAGGATGCGCAAGGAAATTGATGAACTGAGGACAACTTCCTAAAATTATTTACAAGCCTTCTCTGCAACACAGTCTTTGTTGGAGAGCTAGCCAGTGTCTCCTAATGCACCACGCCAGACCCTCCTCTTCCTTCACCCAGCAATCTGAAGGTATCCCTGAACAGGGGATTTGGTGTCACTTTAAGAGGTGGACAGTCCCAAGTAGGTAGCAAATGTGGTTTCCCACCAGAGTGCTCCTTCCCTTATTTGCCCAGGGGGTGCAGGGGTACTCACTCAGATCCTCTCCTGTACCGCTGATGGGTTGTTGGCTGCTACCAGACCCTCTATCTGGGCCACTCCTTCCCTGCTGTACAGATGGTCCTCGCTCTGAGGGCCAGTGAAGTCCTGAGCTTTCCTCCTTTCCAGCTCCACTGCCTGTAGGTGAACCCCTCTCTCCATCTGGGCTCCCTCCCAGGCTCCTGTCTTCAGTCTCACATCTTCCTATCTTCCACCTAAACTCTCCTGCTGCTGAGCAGGCTCGCTTACTTTGTCCTGGCCCCTTGCCAAGCCTCCTGTCAGGGATTGGCTAGGTTCCCTCAAGAGTACAGGCCAGCATCTCCTCAGATCCACCCACTGCCAATAGGCCTTCATCCAAAGCTCTAGAGCAGGGGGAAATTCCAGAGGGGCTGGTCTGCAGAGACTCTCAGCTCCTGGCCCAAATTTTAACTCCTGACTATTACACCCAGGCTGCTATTCAGCCCTCCTCAATCAGGATTCTAGCTCCCCCTAGCTGATTAGGAGGGTGCTACAGCTACAAATAGGCCACAGGGGTGCAGAAAGAACTGCACTCCTGTGATCCACAGGAGAAGTACAGCCATAGGAGCTTTGGCTGTACTTCTCCCTTAGAGATGTGGTTGTCCTGAGTAAATAGATACCAAACATGCCAAGCTTAAAATTGCATGCATCTATGTAACTTGGTACCCTATATTTTCCATAGGCGATACTTTAAAAGCTTCTACAGGTCATCAGTTTGCTGTGAATAATGGGCCCAGAATTTTGGCTCTACTCCAGCATGCATGGCAAAATATAATGTGCGTAGCACAATAGATGTTTTCGTGTATAAACACCTCCAACATGTGCATTAATGTTCATACGTGCCTGTATGGGGAAGGGGGGGATATAGGGGTGAAGGATTTTAAGTGCTTGGTTGTAACTTTAATTTATACACTTTTTTTTTTACTAAACTTTTTTTTTCATCACATAGGGAAAAAAGAGAGCCCTATGTGATGCATTTTTTGACAGGTTCTCTTTTCATGCTGACGGTATTCAAATTAGCAGCCCCACTGCACTGGGCTTTATGACGGGGCTGCTAATTTGCGTACCTGTTTTTGTGTTGGAAGTGCGCTACACGGTGTGCTCTCAGCACAGTGACCAAGATCTAATTGAGAGTTCTAACTCCTGATTTGGGGGTCACCTGATCGCTGTGATAGCCTCTAATTGGCTATCATAGTGATCAGTCACTGTGAAGCCAACCCTGTTTTTTCTATGTCTGAATGGAGGAGAGAGATACATTGTATCTCTCCCTGTCCTTTCAGAGAGAAAAAAAACAAGTGTGTGTAAAATAAATAAACAAAAATAATAATTTTTTTTTTTTTTTTTTTAAATACCTAGATCAAGGTTTGATCTAGGTCAGTGCCAGGGTTAGTGTCTGGGTCAAAGGTCATGGTCAAAGGTCAGGGTCAGTAGTTTATTTATTTTTTAAACCACTTTAAGTCTGGAAATTTTCACCCCCTCCCAGTCCAATTTTCAGCTTTCAGAGCTGTCACACCTTGAATGACAATTGCGTGGTCATGAAACACTGTACCAAATTACATTTTTAGCATTTTTTGCGACAGATAAAACTTTCTTTTGGTGGCGTTTATTCACCACTGGGATTTAAAATTTTTTTGCTATATGAATGAAAACCACCAAAAATGTGAAAAAAGTGTTTTTCTTATAAAATTTTGCAAATAAATAATCTTTCTTTATACATTTTTGCCAAAATTTAATCAGCTATCTTTTTGGTAAAAAAAAAAAAATAACTCAAATCCCATTTATAAAAAAATGATAATTTTTCAAAAATGTTTTTCACATTTTCATTTTTTAAATAATATTATTATTATTATTTTTATACATTATTATATATATATGTTTTACATACT